GTTGGATTCACCCAGTCAGGATTCTAATCTGCACAGTCTCCCTCTCCCTCTCCCTCTCCCTCTCTTACTTCACATTAAAATTGTTGGAGAGTCTGACACTGCCGTCTAGTGGAAGGTTTGATAAAACATGCAGAGGACTGGTTGCTGCTCTCCCTTCACTCAGCCTTATCCACAATAGGAGTAGATAGCTAATAATTAGCCTTTCTATGTGAGCTAATAAATCATAAATAACTTAAATGAGAAGATGCCAGCACTATTTTTGAACCAATTGCTTGTTAACAGGATCTTTGTTATATTGCTTGTAGTTTAAACCGTCATGTTTTAGGACTTTTTGGCTGTAAGCTAGGCTATCTGTAAGCTAGAGTGCTAGTTAGCAGGCTACTGCCATTGGTTAGCAATTTTCCTGTGTAGGCTAGGTGTTCTGCGGTTATACTTAGTATTGTTTATTTAACAGTTGCCTATATTTCATTCTGTTGTTGCAAATACTTTTAAGAATCAAGTTTCCTGTTTGTTATTATGCTTGATGCAATTATACCTGACTTATATTGTTATTAGTTTGTTACAGTTCTCCTAATTGCTGTATTTAGTCAGACATTACTATTCTTTCTATAACAAATGACTGTCAGTGGTTTTATGTGATCACATACAGCGTATCACAGTTCACCGATCAGTTTTTTCTTGGAAACTTCAACTAGAGCTATAGCAGCCAAGTAAATCTGTAAGACTAGGTTCCCTCTGGTCATTTAAGGCAAAAGCCTAAGTGGCATTGGTGTTAGTGGTGCTTGTTGGCATGTGTTTTCTGTAAAAGATGAAAATTATTATTTGAGACCAAATTATCTGAAGAAATAAAAAATGAAGTAATAAGCCACAGAACATCTAGGTTTTGCTCTTCTTTCCTAAAAGGGATTTTGCTGAATGAATATGTTTTCTAAAGCTGCAGAGAAAAAAAGAAGGGTCCATTATTCACAGAAAAAAAAAGGTTTTTGTGTGAAGCACCTGAATACTGGTGTCTATGGGTCATTAGCAGTTTTAAGATGGAGGAAGGCTGAATGGAGCTTTTTTTATCAGGTAGAATACAGAGCACAGGACCCACCAGGCCTCTTTGAGCTAGAGAAGAAGGGATTTGTGAAGTACACCATGGATCAAACTGTAAGTGAGTATGAAATCAAGGTAAGTGAAGAGATCTAGGCCAAGGGGCTGGATTTGAATTCTAGCAAACAGAGTTATATTCTTTAAGATATTTGAGAAAGAGCAGGAAAAACACAAAGCAGTAAATGAGACATGACCGAAATAGAAATAGGAATGGTTCAACATGGATATATAGGAACCTACTGTAGATATCCTGAATACCTAAGTACCATGACCTATATACAGTAGACTATTTGGTTTCAAGGGCAAGGACTTCTCAAAGTACATGAGTCAAAGACTTGGGTTCTGGGCCCAGACATTCAAAGGTAATCTTATTTGAATAAAGCCATCAGAAAGGCTCAAACCCTGAAAACAGGTTTAAAAAACAAATCAAGACTTCAAATAAGATCTGGGTTGTATCGAGATCGAACCCTCATTTTGTTGTTTAAAACACTGAATGTTGTTAAGTAGGACTGAGATTATTTCAGTCCCAGCAGAGGGCTGAATTCAAGATTGGTTAGGAACAAATCGTTATGAGACTTATTCACACAAATACAGCATTTGCAAATGATGTTGATAGTCTAGACGAGAGTAATCTTGTAAATATCAAGTTGGATGTGGAAGTACACTTGAAAAGAACAAAATCCATATAAGCCACTTGTAAAGACTCAAACAGAACACTCAAAAGATAAATAAGGAATCAACTCTGAAAGAATTTCAACTCTGTTAGAAAAGATGGAGCAATAATACATAAAGTGTTGATGTGTCCTCTGGTGAAGCTGTCAGTAACAAAATGATCGACATGCAGCAGATCAGATATCATGTTTTATTTTCCCTTGCTAGATTTACGTGTCTGCACGGTCAGAGCAGGATTTGCGATCACTCAAAAGAAGATTGTGTACAGTACGGGACAGGCACCGTACATTAAAAATGTGACAAGCATGTTCTTGTAAGGTGTCAAAGAAAGATAGACAGAATGAGAAGTGAAGTGAGACACATTACAGATGCCTTCAGCATGTTACATAACAAGAAGTATGTTTGTACATGGAGGGGCAAGATTGCCTGTCAGTTTTGTAACAGAACAATGAGAAGAGCAGGAACTTGTCCATGAGAGCAGATTCACCCAAAGCCCTGAAAGATGTTCTTCTTTTTTTGTATTCATTCTGAAAAAAGGAACGTATTTACAACTCCATTTTGCCCACTTTGTGATCTCATTATCTGTCAGCATAGTTCTGTGCTGGAAATAGCCTAATGATAAAAATGGGTCTTTCATACCCCTGAGAGCACAACAAAAAACATGTCAGTAGTTAAGGCAGACCCTTTGATCACATCTCTCTTACTCATTCTGTTTTTGAGAAGGGTAAAAAAGAGAGCAAGGCAAGTGAAGCAAACCTGAAAAATAATTGGAGAAACAACCAAGAAAAACACTTAAAAAAAAAAAATGGCCTAAGGTGTTTTATAGCTTCACCACAGGGAGAACACGGACAGAACCAATACAGCAATTCAATCCCCCAAAAAAGGGGGATTTTTTTTTTTTTTGTCTGAACCTCCAATGTTTTGAAAATGAAGACTTGATTTCAGGGGAAATAACAGAGTTGGCATGCAAATGAAGAAACTGAAGACCTGACCTTTAATTGACATTAAACGTTTTGGTCTCATCCACGATGACTTATGGTCTGTGTTTAAAATTGCAGCATAACTGCAGTCAAGTTGTAGAGGCAGTCAAATGGGTTCAAAGACTTCTATATGTTTGAGATTACAATACAGTGGGCAGTCCTATGAGAGATGCTCTAAAATAATAACTGTTTTTTTTATTGTTGTTTCCAATATATGGTTGGCAGCACCTAAGTGATAAGAAAATATCACTGCATGTTTAATTGTTCTATAATTATAATGTGTATAATTACATGCCATTTTGAGACACGATGTTTAAAAGTGTAGCATGTTGGCATGTTTTATAGCCTCACAGATTCCTCATGTCCTTCGCACCTGAAAGTAGATTTTCCTGAGGAGGTTGTCACTACATGCCATATATGTTGTGTTTTAGTTCAAGAGCATTTCTTAATTCATGCAGTTAGAAATAAGTGATAAATTTCATGTTACGTAGACTCATCCCAATAGATTAAGGCAGACGGCCACCCACTGACATTCCGGTTCTCCTGGAGACGTCTGGCCGTTGGTAGAAATTTAACGCACCATGAGTGCATTTATAAAGACTTACTGCTTACTTTTATATGAACAATGAGCACTATAAAATTTACCTCTTGAAGGTATTATGCTCAGTGCTTTAAACACTTCATTAGCACTGCTATAAGCTATGAATGTGTACAATCACTTAAGAGGATTGTTTAGCCTAATAGACGTATTTATAAGGCTTTATAAATCTGCTTATGATGCATCATGAGAGGTAGGTTCATACAAAGTATTAGTGTGTTTTTATGCACTGTAAGTTTGAAGCAATCTGGGGTTGGGGTTCCCCCCCAGGTCTTAGAAAGTTATATCTTATCTTAAATAATATAAAATGCAGTCAAAGCTTATGGAAGACACTGAAGTACAGCCTTTACAGTGTTGGAAAAAGGTTTGGAATATTTTCTTCAGTGTTTCGTGTAACGTGAATGATCCTCCAACAAACGTGGCTGAACTGACTCAGGCTGTGATCCAATGCTGGCGAGAAATCCCGGTTGAAACTCTTACCAACCTAGTGACCAGCATGCCCAGACGTGTACGCGCATTGTACAATGCTAGAGGCGGTCACACAAAGTACTGACTGTATTGTTGTTATCGTCTTGTTATGTTTGATGTTGCTTTCAAAGATGGTCCACGTATTTTGTGGCAATTTAAAATTACAGCCGTTTATTTATTAAATACCGACTCATGATTTTATGCGTTATTTCTATGGCTTTTTGTGAATCATGAGGTGTCCGCCCTACGATTTTTTGAGAAACAAAACAGTTTGATGTGAATTTCAAAAACATATCACAGAGACCAGGGAACATTAAAAAGTCTTTGAATAATTCTCAAGAAAGCAGCAGACCGCATTAAACACGAGGCTGGGGTTGAATTGACAAATATTCCAAACTTTTTTCCAACACTGTATTTGCACTATCCCTGTCAGTCTGAATATATTAGTTGTCCCCTGACAACATGACACTTCAGACTAAACTGACATCTAAGCCATCCTGGCAATGCCTGTCCTTTAAAAATGACTGTTTGCAAATATCTACATTCATACTGATTTCTTTCTCCTTGTGGAGGGAGTGTGCGTGGGACTTGAATAGACAGAGATGCAAATGTTCTTCTTGCAAAACACTGACACCCTGATGGTAAGACTACTGACCTTTTCTAAGGAGATTTTTCTTTTGCAGACTAGTGGGATTTAAAAGGATTATTTTTTAGACGACCCTCTGTTTCAGTATGCCTGGCCTTCTTGCACTCACTGTATATTATATTGATCTGTAAAAGAAAAGTTATGAAAAGTTGTATTTCAGAAGATGAGGAAATAGAGGAAATAGTCTCTGGAGACACATGTCCTTGCTTCTTGGGAGAGTATGCTTTCTTCATAAAAAGCTTGAATGGTATCATTCCCCTTCCTAAGACAGAAAATAACTGACAGCTGTGTCTTATCTAAGTGTGCAAACTCTGCTCTGACAGGCAGGTTTTGAATAGACAGTGACCTCTTTCTCAACAAGAGAATTGTAGCTGGAGGTTAGGCGTCATCCAGTTGCATTTAAATGACATACATTATTTAGATAGTAGGGCTGTCTCACTATCACATTTTCACCTCATGATTAACATGGCCATGAAAAATACAATGATGGGAAAAAAACCTCAATCATATATTCAGCAAATAAAGGCAAAAGGATGGAGCACCAGGATCCTCCATTAGCTTCATTACTGCCTCGTGAGATTACTGTAGTGATGCATTTATTTTGACATTTTGTTGTTTCCTTATTCAAAATAAATCTCTGAACATCAGTTTTAAAAGTGTCTGACCATTTAAAGGTCTGCTTCAGCTAGCTAGCTTGCCTGTCATGATTTTTCTTTGTTTTTCTTCTGTTTTATGGTGGGTAGCAACCAGTGTGGTGACCACTACTGCCTTCCATTACATACAACACACTTACACGGTATTACTGGAAGCTTATTTTTTTAACATGATATCACCATTTCATATTGAAAAAATAAGTTTGCCATCAATACTAGTATACAGTAACAGCCCTATAGCAAATGGATTTATTATCTGAGCACTTGCAAGACTGGCCTTGCGGATGAGGATACGCTGCACGTCATGTCTATTTGTGTCTGCAGATTTTCAGTAATGGATCAATTCAGCCGTGCCCATCTAATCAGGTTAATATATCCCCCAGGAACAAAGAGGCAGCCTTTAATATTATAAACTATGGCCTGTGCCAGAGTGTCCCCACTATTTATTCATCCATCACAACAGATCCAAGAACGTAGATGACGACAAGGCAGCAGTGTCTCAATTACTTAAGCCTTAGTCAGCTAGTTTGAGACAAGAAAGGGTAAAAAGGGTCTCATGAGGACACTTTCCCCCTTCCGTTTTAATGGCAATAAAATGACATTGGTTCCAGCCCTCTGATGATTTAAGCCTCTGAGGAATGATTTTGTTTGAGCTCTCCCTGTCTTGCTCTGCTTCCCTGCAGACAGTGGGCAAGGTGCTGGATAAAATGAAAACATGCCAAGCTACAATCCAACAGTGCCACCATCAGAGAGTAAGAGGAATTACACTAGGTCAGATGTGATGATCCTTAGTTTCCTACTTTTAGCATACAAAGCCAAACATAAGGCTTGAAAAAGGAAGGTTTTCATGAAATTGAGCTAGGTATAAACTAACCTAACAGGACCCCTCGTGTGGCAAAAGACATACATTCCAGTTAGTTAATATTATTCAATTAAACATCATTAAAAAACTAAAAAAAAGGCAAGTATAAGTATACTGTCAGATCATGGGCATTTTGTGAACCAATTTTAAGAAATAACCTTTTTATAAGGAGGTACGAAACACTGAATCTGAGAAATCACAAAAAACACACACTTAGCAGTAAATAAGGTTTTAAAATGTTTATTAAAAAAATAGAAAAACTTACATAGAAAAACAAGGTATACATCTATATGTCATTTACACATAACCTATCCATATGAGCTTGTGTGTGTGTTGTATGTAATTATGGAACACGCTTCCTCTAGACAACTTAATAAAAGCTGCTCTGAAGACAGGAGGATAACACTGACAGTATTGTGATGGGTCAGTCAGTTTGGTATGCGTTGAAGTCAAATTATCGCACTTTTTCATGATGTAAGACTTCACCCATGTTTTGGTTTTGTTCGTGGCTCTACCAAAACTCCTGTAATGATGAATCTGTTACATCCCACACTTAAGTACTGATAGGGTTTGCTGGATAAATGTAGCTTCATGAAACCTTGTCTTTGATACGGGAAAAGGAAAATCTCTTATACAACCAGTTTTTGACTCTCACTTTGAATTTAAAAAAGAAAAATAAAGATGTGACATGCTTACAATCATTTACTGCTGTGGGAGTGAACTTTTCAGGTCTACTCCCAGAGCATCCAGCTTGAAGCTGCATGTAGAAAATAAAAGCCAAGTCAAACCTGGCAGTGCTTATAGAAACAAATACACAAAGCTGGCTACTTACAGGGAAGAGGGCAAATTTGGTCGTTTAAGAAGGCAGTTAACCTGTTGCTTCAACAGAATCCAAAGAAGATCTAAGGCAAAACAACAAACACTTTGCTGGTAATAAGTAGCACCAAATATCTCTGAAATATACTTTTAAAAGGTGCAGTTTTCCTCCACAGCCGGAAGTCTGACAGGAAAGCTGACACCTACTTAATATTGATAAGTGTAACTGAACAACTAGAGGTGAAAAACATTTGGATAGGCAGCTGGAAAAAATTCAAGTTATTGTATTGCAATGGTAAACTAAATAAGTAAAATTGGCATCATAGGATTTTTGGCACATTTCTCATGTTGTACCATAGCTCCCCCTTCTGCTGGAAAGCTGTACACACATAAACACATTCCTTCAAGGCCCTTAAATCCATCTATTGCACTGTAGTCTAGAAATATAAAAAAAAAAGCAAACTAATACTGAGGGAGGCCCCTAAAAATACAACTAAAAATGTGAAATAAATTAAATAAAAGCAAGTCATTATTGCACATGAACGCAACAAACATAGAATAAGGTGGTAATGTTGACAAAATGAAAACAATAGTGCCAATGTGAAAGAAAAATATCCTCAGTGACAGAAACGAGAACAAAAACACAAAGAAAAGGTAACACTTTGTACATTCAAATAAGTCATCACAGTTTAAGCACTTGAGACAAGGTCCGTTTTGTGCCATCACACCAAGAACATCAAGTCAGCGTTGCGCTGCATAGGTAGAAAGGTAGTGCTTCGCTTCACTTCAGAGTTCAATTTGTCGATGATAGTCCAAGCTGTAAGAGCTCCGAATCAAAGAGCGTAGCTGATAAGGAGATGCATTCAAAAGATCAACTGAGCCCAAAACCTGATAAAAACGGCTCATCAAGAGTCAAAACTTCAAGACAGACCAGGTTCAGTAAACCAGTTTGGCACGTGATGTTGCTTTCAAAAAACTGATGTTGGAAACTCCAGACTTGACTGAACTTTTCAGCTGTCCAGACAGACTCTTTAGGCAGCTGGGGAGAGAAACTGCTGCGAAAATCTGGTCTTGGAAATCTTCTTCCCTCCAACAACTTAAAGTTTGTGCTGGTGTGCATCAAATTTTGAGGAAGGGCTTCTGAATCCCATCAAAGTGAGTGACTGAGATTAGGCTTCGGGTTGTTTCAGAGTCTTGTTTGCACAAAGCAAGCCAAAATGATCATTCCACACAATCGGGGACAACTCTGAATGACTTCAAAAGTCCAGGGTGAATTGGGTCTGCCTCTGGAGCCTCCAACAAAAGATCTGATGTTTCATGACTCATTCACAGCTTCTCAACAATGTCATGGTGCACTGATCTGGGCCTTCAAAAACCAATGCCAACCAGGTCAAGTCATGCAGTGTCAGTCTTTCATCTGCTCTGGTCCAGAGGTGGTGGATCGTCCCTCTTTCTCCGCCTCCAGGTGTTCTGGTTGAAATGCTGTTGGTGCCTGAAACCCCCTGTCTGCTGAGTGAACCGACACTGGGGACTAAAGTTACCTTGAGAGTGGTTTTGACCTCGAGGGCAACCATGGTTGTGCTTAAAGCCCACTTTTTGAGGCTCCAGCGAGTCGTGGGAGTTAGACCTCATGTTGCAAGGGTGGCTCTGCTGCTGCCCTCCTACCTGAGGATGGTGGAGCTGGTGGAGAGGGCTGTGGAGGGGGCTCTGGGAGTTGGTGTGCTGGGAGACCTGTGCGGCTTGGGAAGTGTGGCGGTGCACGACAGTGATGGAAGGCGGGTTCTCATGGTAGAAATGGCAATCAGGGAGTGGGGGGATGGTCAGGTTCTCTGGGAATGAGATCTGGACCAAGAAAGAGATGGACAATATGGACTGAGAGGTGGGGACTATTGCACTGGTGAAACAGAGCTAAAAACTCTGTCGAAAGTTTTATTTGGAAATGAGTTAACATTAAAATCTACAAGTGCCCATTTACTCATCAGAACAAAAATATGATTCATTTTAATTTAATAATAGGGAAGAGAAAAAGAGCGGGCTGATGACATTTTTAAAAGTTCATGTCGAGTTTTTGCAAGCTGAGAAAAATTCACCCTACCTGAGGCGTGGTAAAGCCTGCTGAGTGTGTGGCCCTCAGGTCAGAAGCCATCTGGATTACAGATTGGACTGAGGCCAGGGAGAGGGGGTGGAGCTGAATAGCAGTGTTACTGCTGGGTGGAGAATCAGACTCCTGCAGAATAGACAATGTTGTACAAAACTGAATGAGGGAGAGAGAAACCTCTTCATTTCAGGAGTTATTTAGATCACCTTTCACTTCTCCATATAAATGCATAACAACTATTTCAATTCACAGCCAATTGATTAGCATTATGTGTTTCCTTAAGTGTTGGGAACCTCTGTGAAGTAATTCAACACTTGTCTTGCCAACTAGTTAAAAAGCAATGTATCCTGAGTGCTTACAATGTCACTTCCAGAGGAGGAGGAGAGTGAGCATGCAGAGGATGATGATGATGAACATGAGTGGTGCTGAGGGCTGGGGAGGAAGACCGGAGAGAGAGAGGGGGAGTCAGCGCTGAGAGGGGAGGAGGTGTCCCTCTGATCCTCTGAAGAGGCCAGCATCAGCCTTGCAAGGTCCTGCTCACAGGTGTCCACATCTAAAACCAAACAAAACACTGCTGTTAAAAGAAAAAAAAGGAAATTGAACTGATTTGAAAGGAACTAATCCAGAAATTTAGTTTAAGCTACAGGAGGAGGTTTGTTTGCACGTAGAGTTACCATGATTCTCAAGTTTGGCGTACTGCCTGAGCCCCCACTTTTTGATGGTCCAGTCCCTGTAAGCCAACACCTCCGGCCTGACTTTGATTATACGACCCAAAGTACTGTAACACAGAGAGGAAGAGTAAATAAGGACATACTCAAATTAAGTGCATCCTAAAAGAAAAAAAAAGGTGACTTAGGAACTGACCTGTCATACTCTTTGTTTGGGTAAGCACGAGCGAGAGGAGACACACCATGACTCAGGACCATGTAGGCAAAATCAAACACCTGCTTCACTTGAAGGACGCCATATGAGCTCCTGCCAACATCGTTACCTGTGAGGATAATAACAAGTATAGAATGAAGGTCACATCCCAGAGCGGGGCACAAAAAATACTCAAAACATGGTTACAACAGGCCCAGTGAATCACACACCTGTATCCTACTTCTGTCTCTTTATCACTTCTCTTGAATTTGTTCATGAACTTGAGTGAACCACACCTCCCCATTGTGTTTTCCTTCATCTGAATTTATCGACTATACCTCAACTACATTCACCTAGATTCCTACCTGGTTGAATTGGATCCTCTATGCACAGCATGGATGGTCTGTTTCCGCTCCCCATGGCTTTGAGCATTTCCTCCTTTGACAGGTAAGCCCCTCCGTTCTTCACCCTGATGCCGGTCTTCATGTAGTTGAAATCACGGCCGTACAGCTCGAAAAACTCAATGAGCAGGATGCCCAGGTTGATGTTGGTACGCCGTGTGTCAATCCGAGGGTGTAACTATGATCAGCAGGACAGAGAGAACTCATTACCCATACATATGTTGCATTTCCACCAGGTGGTCTGGATTAGTTTGGAACAGAATGGTTCACAATTATCCCCGTTTCCAATGTCAAACATAAAGAATCTGTTTGCACCATCCTTCCTTATTGGCAGCCTTGGGCTGTCACCATATCTCTTTGTGTAAGTGGAGCTACACACACTGTAAATCATCGTCTGTAAGTTATGAGATAGAAGGTTTTGTGACAGCTTTGGTCTCATCATGAAACAGTCTTGCTTAAAATTGGGTGCTTCTTTGCACTTAGACATTGAGATGGAAACACAGGGAAAGATCACAAAAGAAGAAATACTTCCTGTAACCTGAACTTCTAAAATAATTACCACAGCGTACCAACAGACATTCAGAGTATGCTTGAACAAGGAGGATTTCAATTGACTTCTTTTGCTTAATAACTGTCTGAGACATAACTTTGAAAAAAAAAAAAAAAAAAAAAGGAGTTGTGTGAACAAAAGGTAAGTCTGTCCACAGGGCAAACGGATCAAACTAATGCTTTGAAAACTTTCTGCCATGAACTGTTTTAATGCTTGCAATATATATCTCTACTAAGGAGCCAATACAGCCATTAATGTATTTATTACCCATGTGTTTAAGCCAAGATTCATGTATGACTCACGAAGAAGCTTAAAAAATACCCACAACAACAAGCCTACTGCGTTCTACATTTACTCACACAGGGGGTCCGACTGGTCTAATATGTTTTTAGGATGCATGCTGGAATGAAAATCAAGCTGTTCTGAAGTGCCTAAAGGTAGCTACGGAAACGCAAGCAAGATCTGGGTCAAGATCAGCTGTTCAAAATTTTACCGATTCAAACCTAGCAACAGAGTAACAGACCGTCTTAAAATCTGTTCACTGACAAATCAAAGCAGGTGCATTTAAAACTTGAGAGAGGTGTTTTGAGAAAGAAAAGATGTGATTCATGACGAACACAAAACGATTTCAACTTTAAAAACAGACAAAGCTTGTGTCCATTTCTCTCAGTTTTTGTTCAGAAGCAAAAGGAAGTACTCAGTATAGATCTACAGTATTTCAGATGTAGCATGATAAGCTTTGTGTACCTGCAGAAAGCTGATGGCCATCAGTATGAGGCTGTAAGAGCTGATTCCCCCCGTAAAGACTTCATTCAGATCCCTCTGCAGGAGGAACTGCTTCAGGACAAATATCAGCGGTGGCAGAACCGTGTACTTCTACAAGACAGAGAAACATTGACAGTAAAGAAAACACACAAAAAGACACAATTGTGATAAAAAGGTTTAAATTCTAAAGGCTTACTTTGAGATAGCTTTTGATGAACTGTGCTGCTTTGACAGCAGTCTCAACATTGAAGCTAATGTCCACCTTCACCTCTGTTTCATGGTCAGTGAGCTTGATGATTGGCACCTGAGGACACATAAAATAAGAGATGTTCCTTTATTAGTCTTACGAGGGGAAATTCCAAAATCAAGCGTCAACATCTCAGATCCATCAAAACATATTTTGACACGACACTTTTAGTTTGAACGTGGCAAATCTAATCTTGTGAGTTGTTAGAGCAAAGACACACACTGAGCTCCTCATGACTTACTGTAGCTTTGTCGAGGACCTTAATGGGATAAGGGCCGGCCACATTGTGTTTCTTCAGGGCTTGTTCCAGTTCCTGTAGTGGGGGATGGTCCCATTTTCCAAACACCACCAGGTCAATGTCACTGAAAACAAAAGCAGAACATTTTTTGATACCACTAAATGTTCATCCAAGGAGTATTCGATCCACTCCTGTGAAGGCCAAGTGACTGAAAACACATGGTCAGGTTAAAACTTACAACCACAACCATCTTTTCCAACTTGAAGCTTAAAGGTTTAGAGCTCCCACTGCTGATCTATACTGCTGCCTGCAGTAAGAGTCGTAAAAACCCTCCCTTGAAATGTTAACAGATGACGCAGAGGCCAAACCTAAAGATTATAAACACTTCAAATAAATGCGTCTCAAACATGGTTCTGTCTTGGTAGTGTGTTCTTATTAAGCTGACTGCTTGCTTTCTGAGTTATTTGATTTTAAATAAGACAGTACCACATCATGACTGACAGCTCTGTGAACAAACAAGACACCTGTAGTGTTCTGGACCAGATGAACACAGCAGAGGAGGAACAAACACATTACAAACAAACAGAAGAGTGATTAAACTTTCCACAACTAAGTGAATGCTTCAGATTAACACAAAAATCAGTTCTGCTGTGGAGTGGGGGCATTTTATCTGTAAGTTTTATGCAGGGTCTTGATCACTCACTGGACAAGTACTCTGATAAATTAAAAGAAGAGCAGTCATCGGGAAATGTGTTCATGATATGGTCTTTATGAAGATCTAGTAGCAACTCAAAAATATGTTTGATCATAGGGTTTAGCCCGATTAAAGAGTACAGGGTGAATACAGAAGTGCAATGTTGTAGTAACTTTTGGATTTAACAACTTGATTACCTCTCAAGATTCATTTAAGTTGTCTATCTTAGATGCTCTTACACATGCTGAATATTACCCCCCCCCCCCCCAAAAAAAAACAAACAAACAAACAAACAAAAAAAAAACGTAATTTTCTGATCAAGCCTGAAGCTTTGAACAAAATGTACCAGGGTCAAGTTATGCCGCTGAACAGTCACAGAAAGTACCCTGCTAAATCATATTACTGAAAATCCACAGCAAAAATGAACATGTCAACTTAAAAGTGCTCCCACTTGCTTACACTGACATGATAATCGGACATTTGAAAAGAGGCTCATGTAAAAGGTCAAGCTGTACAAGAAGAGACACAATTTTTACCTTGTTGGAAGATAAAGTCCTGTGCTGAAGCTGCCAAATATCTCCACCTGCAGAGAAAAGCGAAACAAATTAATGTAAGCCTGATTTATGCCAAAACACATCACTTGGACATTTATCTGTTTGATTGCTCAAGGATTACCACTCTGGTCTTTGTGTTCACTGGCAGTTTTGCTAAAAGGTTAAGAAACACTGCTTCATGGCTGAATATGGGGGACTTTACAGAGATTGAAGGCTCATGTTAGCAGGATTACACTTGGGGAAAAAAGGAGAAAAAAAAAAAAAGAAAACGCCACCACTTACACTCATGTACCAGAAAACCATGTCTTTTGTGGGCTGCTTCTATTTAAAAGTCTGCGCTAAACATGGTTTTTGCAGGTACAATCGAAATCTCGTTTATTTGAGTAAAATAGGTTTACAAGTCTGCACATATATTCACTAAATGAGTTTTCCAGCAAACTACTAATAACCATGGTTGGTTTTACCGGGCCAGCTGAGCACCATTAACTCCATGATCAGTCTTCAAAATATTAAAAATAACTACAAGAGGCATTATGTGGGGAAACGATGCATATGTGACATTTTTGGATCTGGGACCACTGCCACAGCTTTGAAGAAAAAAAAAAAGAAAATTCACAAATTGGTCTTTGGAGAGAAAATTAGAGTGAGGCCCTGCAGGACTTCTCAAGGCTATTATCAGCCCAATGTTTATAGTGTCAAACTAAAAGAGAGAGAGAGAGAGAAAAAATCTTTATATTTGCTTAGAAGTACTGCACTCAGCAGCTTGTTGGCAACACTCAATGGAAAATTATTCACTCATGTTAATGTGGGACTACAAGTGGCAAACCTAACCATTGCATCTGCTCAACTCTTTTCCTGTACATGTGCTGTTAATTAGAACACTGACCTCAGTGTGGACAGACACAGTATATATGGATGGCAAACTAATGGATGTACTGATGGTTAGGAATGTAAAATATTAGATTAAGACGCCCAGCCTCACGTCCACAGCTTAAATATCTCCAAAGTTCAATAATCACCTCTGACTGTTTCAATAAACTGCATTATAACTAATAGATTCAGAGGCTCTTCAGTGCTCTACTTCACAGCTGCACTGATGAGGTTGCTGAACCAGTTGATTACATCGACCGGTGTTATCGGCTTCAACCATGTCCATCTCTTTGGTACAAGAGGGCTTTTCTGTCTTTGAAGGATGTGGAAAATCTGAAAAGTGGCGTTAAGCCAGGTCAAAAGGGACCTTCATCATAGAACTGAGCATCATGATCACAAACAGCTTCAGATACCTTACCAAACCTCTGCACACTCACCCTAGCTGTGGGCCACAAGTCCTTGATGACATTTTCTATCCTGTTCACTACGTCTCTTCTCATGGCCTCCTCTTCTGGCCGCGGTGACATGAAGCTGAAAAAGTCCACTATTTCTTCATGAAGCCTGTAAGTAAACAAGAAAAAAAGGGATAAGATGCATATTAAACTTCATGTGCGGTGTTGGGACTGGGCCTACCTGTGAGGAGAAACAAGAGTGTAAGTTGGAAGTATATATAGAAAATGGCTAAGAGTGTGGAATGCAACCGCCCTTAGTCACAGAAACTAATGTAAGAATTCTGAATAAAGCTTTCTATATATTTCCATCCAGTACCCTGGGGGAAGGGGGACTATTCTGATAATTTCTCCCAAGTGTGGTGTAATGGTCCTTGAAAGACAGGGACGTGGACAAAATGTACATTTTAGTTAACTGGTGAAAATCCTTTGGGGACATAGTGACTTGACAGTGAAATCTCTTTGTGTCCTCACCCGTTAATGCCTGGGCTGTAGCGCCGGGTTTTCCACAGGCTGCAGGTTGAGTCCACTGAGTGTCCATTGCAGCCAAAGGACAGCAGCGGGTTGATGCCGTGGAAAGTGTTGGCCCTGTTCAGATGCCTCCTGCGGCCGGATGAGTGTGGCTGCTGGTGGTGGTGGTTGTGGTGGTGCTTGCTCCCGTACTGGTTTTTCATCCCATTGGGGGTGTGGCCGAAAGGTTGTTGCATGCTGCGACAGTGGTGCTGAACAGCGTGAATAGGAGGAGGGGGATGTTGCCGCCTGAGATTGTTCTCGTTCAACTCGTGTTCGCCGTAGTGCAAAAACCGGTGGGCCTCCTCTGCGACGTTCAAGTTGTCGATGTGGAGAGAGGAGCCGGAGGGGGACGAGCTCTCGGCCTCCGAGTCCAGAGAGGAGGAGGACGGCGACAACGAGCCTTTCCTCCGGACACTTCCCCTCTCTCCGCCGCCGCCGCCTCGCTTCGCTAGTTTTCCAAACACACCTCCCGGCGGCGGTGCGGCGTTTTTGTAGTAGTCACCGCGTGTGTCCGTGGAGTTGGCATTTTGTACTGCAAAGTTGCGTTGATGGTGAAGGTGGTTGTCGATGCCAGAGTTTGCCCCGAATCCCTGAGAGGTTTCCCAAATGTGCATCCACAGGGAATTGGCAGGTCCCTGCTGCTCCGGCTGAATCCAAGCGGTCCTAAGATCCATGGGTCGACTTCAACGAGAACCTCTCCACAGAGAAATGACGGCCGATTTTGGCAAATTAAACACTTCGCACCACAGGACACAGATAATTCCACACCGTTAAAATTACTTGATATCCTCGAAACACTTCATGCCTGGAAACTGATTTGATTTTTCAAACGGCTTACCCAACTCCACTCCCCATGTAAGCCAACCAATATGGCGCACCCAGCAGCACAGATCAGCTTCTGCGAATGTGAGGGATTTAAATCTTTGAACACACCCCTTTGGACCAACACATCCGTCAAGCTACCCGTATTCAAGGCCGAAGGAACCGGAAACAGTCTTAACGGTTACCTTTTGAACTGTTTCAGTGCTGTGTGCCCCCCCTTTCTCCAAAGTACAATACCAAACATGAAGAAAAAAATCCCTTCGATTAACCCTATCGATTAAGAACATTATCGCCGGGTGATATTCACCCGACCGAACATGTTTAGGTGTTTTTCATTATATTGCGTTTTTGGTTATGAACAACTATCACAAAGAAGTGATTTTCAAGGGAATTCATATGGTGATAAGAAATATTTTAGTCAGCTGGTCATTTTTACTCACTCAAAATACGCCACATTTTAGTTCTCTCTCCTGCAGCTGTTACTGTGCCAATGACCCTGAGTCTTCACCAGGGAAGACTCACATGCCCCAGGAATGGGTGGAAAAGAAGCTAAGTTTGAGATATCATATATGTAGAGATATAGATATATTAGGAATTTTTTTGTCCACGAATGCCTTATTTCAGTTATTGTGTTGCATTTTATATGGTCCCCCTCATGGCACCCCCCCTTAGACATTGCACGGTTAAAAATAAAACTACTTTAATTTGTCATGTATTGTCCTATTTTGATATATTTTAAAGACAAGTACTTTTTCTTGGGTACATTATTTCGGGTAAAAATCACCCGGCGATAGTGATGGTGTTACTAATTTTAGCGATAGTGTTCTAGGGTTAAGATCAATAAATAGTAAGAAGAAAGATCAAATTGTATCACAGGTATTAGGCGCAAAGGGACTTGCACTGTTGACACAATGTTTGATTTAAAACAATGTTACATTTTATGTAATTAAAAAGGTTTAAGCACCATAATCTAACACCGCAATTTCTCTGCAAGTTCAAGAATTACTTTAAACTCTTTAATATTAAATTATATTTATACTGTTTCTCTATTTGAAACCGATTTTATATCGCTTTTTAAAGACGAATATGTCTCGTATATTGTTTTTTTTACATTTCAGAAAGCGAGATTTGCTGCCATCGCGGATCATGTTGTAAACTTCGTCTGGACTACTCATGGGCTTTTACAACGAAGGCTTCCGGAAACAGTAGCTTTTACGTGCGTTACAGTACTTCACAAAGAGCAAGCCGGGCATTACAAAACGTGAGAGTTGTAGTAATCTCGTAGGTTTAAGAGCTGTCTCCGCCATGAGTCGTTACAATCGTTTTTGGTAAACATTTAACAGAGCTGTAGTTTTCTTTAAATTCTAGTAATTACATGTCATGTCAACACCTAAAGTACGTTTAGGATTAGCATATCAAGGCTTACACCCGTAGTGTACTGTAATGTAGCTGCTGACGAGAGGTTGCATAAAATACACGATTAGTAGAAAATTTTAATGCAAATGATTAAATTAGTCAAATTTTTCCTTTCAACTAAGAATTTTACAAATGTAAGAAGCACTTTTTTTATATACTCTTAAACTCTTTGAAGAAATACATTTACAATAGAATACAACCATAATCATGGAGCTACATTTACAATATTTTACAGAATAACCTGGAAGTACCAAACAGGCCAGGGGGTTATGCCAGTTCATTGATTATAGAGTGTTGATGGTTAAAATCCTGGGAAACAGACTTTTATACTTCATAGACAGGTTAAGGAAAGACGTGCTACAAAATAACAGAAAATTACAAGGTAAGTTAGCTTTGGAGTAGAAGTGCACATGAAAGTCTCTAAAATGGACACAGACTACAGTGATGTTGCTCTCAGCTCTTTATCAGTCTGCAGACAGAGGCTAACTGGTTAATGTAGCTTGTCACAGTAGGTGGCACGCTCTGGGACCTTTCCCCTCTCCATGCTGCCAGAGCATCCAGCGCTTCTTGAGGATTGACAGGAGACAGGTCATAGATGCAGTAGATGGCTGCTAGCTGGACTTCCCAAGGTACACCTGGAGAGAGAAATCAAGATATTTCAAATGTGGGTAATTGAAGGAAAGGACTTGGTATCATTTTTGTCTGTGTGGCACAATTATTCATCATACTAACACACATGTAAGTAAGCAGAAGATGAGGCTTGAATATCAACATCTGCTGAAACAAAAAAGGTTTTTGTTTGCCTGAACTTGAAAATGTTGAACATCAGATTTGTGTGTCAAATGCTAAAATTAATGAAATGCAGCTGTGAGAGAAAAACTCTCTGCACTCTGCACACAATAGAGGACTGTGTCTGAAATACAACCCGCCGGATAACTCTATTTTGCCAGGGTTTCTCATCTACCTTCAGTTCGTCCATGTCTTCCAAAAGTGTTGATGACGTTGGCAACAGTTATTACAGAAGAAATATTTCTCTCTTTGATTCCCAGCTGACTTATGCGTCCTGTTTTAATACAAAAGAGACAATAAAATCAGCTGCCTTCAACTGCCCATCATGCCACTGGACATAAATTGTGATGACATGTGCAAGTAAATTAACAAATTAACTGACCTATGAGTCGAAGTACAGTACTGACAGTCACATCAGAGACAGGTGCTTGTTGATCTCTGGGCTGTGTCACCCAAGTGTTCATCAATGGCCATAACTCCTTTCTGTGAGAACAATAAAAAAGACATCTCATAAGGTGTTGCTTCTTCAACAGATTTGGATTATTTGTATTTTCTTTAGAATGAACATTACACATATAAAAACATACCCTAATATATTTTCATAAGTCCACTTCCACTTCTTGTGTGCACAAAGAAGGTGCAGGGTGAAGACACACTCCCAAGCCTCAGTCCCTAGATCCTCTCCGTGTCGACTGTGTTGAGTGAAGGACAGGCCTGACACTGACCGGATTTTGGACAGTGTTCTGGAGATCAGCTCGTCAATATCACAGGGAGGACTCTGCAGAGATACAGGGAGATTAGGTTTTACACTGCTAATTATACTGAATTTACAAAGGCTGCGATGGTAGGAGATGGTGTGAAAAGGCACTATTGAGTTGGCTACACAGGTGGCACACTGAATCCAAACCTCAAGGCGTAGGACAAATATAGAACCAGTGACTGTATAAATGTAGATAATGCACCTCTATCTCCTCTTATTGCAAGAATTAAGCCAAAATACTGCCTCAGTGGGTGCTGACATACTGATTTCGTGAAACATTTTCAAGCAAAGGCATCTGCAAAAAAATCTGGCTGGTGAGGCTGTGGTGTTGAGACCATGAATTTTCCGCCAACCGCAGAAAACATTAAACTTACTGAGGAAACACCAAAGATCCCTCAGGTGCCGTACAGATTCTTGTGTTAATTTGAAGCAGACACTCGTGGTTCGAGACATTTATCCTTGCAGTACCTTTTCTACTCTGCTAAGCTGGATGCTGCAGAAGCTCCAGTTATTGGCAGAGCTGTCAATCATAAAACCACATCCTGTCTTTCTTGCATCAAGTAACCAATAAAACAAAAAACCCCAGACAAATGACCATTTGCACATGAATCAGCATGATTGGGCATGAGGTGGGCTTCATGATCTATACTACAGCCAGTCTCAGAGGGGAGCTCTGAATGTTTTGGTTCCCCTTCTAAGGTGCCCTGGTGCTAAACAGTACTTTACCTTATCCCAACTGAGGAACACAGACAGGCAACTGAGGAGGTCTTCTTGTGCTATCAGTTTGGTGACTGTCTGTATTGCCTGGCACAGAGAACTGCTGTGTGAGAGAACAGTGGGCCACGTTGTCACTATGAACAAAATCAGCTTAGCAGCATCTGGAAAGTCTAAAATATGGAGACACAATGATAAAAAACAATCACATGTAGGCTTGAGGTAAAATAAACATGAATTTTGAATGGCTTTTTTGTCACAACGCAAAATGTATCTTAAAATACAGTTAAAACAAGAGACAATTTTGTCAATGACACGCCGAAATACCAGCATTGAAAGTCTACAGGCAATCACAGAGATTACTAACCTTCAGTGAGAATGCTGTAGGCCAGGATGTGAGCCTTCTCCCAGTCTCTTTTCTGTCTACAGATCCCTGTGTGGACTCTGCAGAGGGCCTGCAAGTAGTTCACACTGAGATCTCTTTTCTCCGCTTTTAGTTTGTTCAAGATGGCCAAAACCATATTGTCTGCCTTTAACAGAAGAGAGAAGCACAAAAGGTCATGAATGATCTTTCGCAAAGACACAGAAAACAACACTCCTTATTTTGGAAGTAATGAGTAGTAATAATAATTCCACACATTAAACCAATTTGACATTGTTTAGACTCTGTGATTCTGTGTTTAACTATATAAAGGAAATCATAATGATTATGGTTTTTCACTGACCGACGCCAATAATTAGAAAGCAGGTCAGCCAAAAGCATATATGTAATGCTGATGTTGTGTTGATATTTGTTGTCATTTTCAAAGAGAAACAAGTCATGTATAAAAAACTCTATACATGTGACATGTAACTAATCGAGTTATCTTAGCCAGTAATGTGTGTGATGGATTTTTCTAGTTCATTCTAGAAATAATCAAATATAATGGTTTATGCTGTATCAATTCAACAAGCCATAATAATAAAACTGCATTAGTCTATATACAGTAGTAGAATTTATATTAAAAACTTGCCAGTGACTGTTTTAAATTTGATATTCTGTCATTTAGTATGGAAGAGGTGTTATAATTTGGAAAGCACAATGGTGACTGAGGAAATTTAGGTTAATATTTAAAGTGTGCATGAGAGTTGTATTTAAAGCACAGAGCTCAAAAGTAACTTTTTCACCACCTTCCCAAAACTGTCCAGAAGCATATTACTATGTCCTGATGGTTTTTTGTTTGTTGGCAGACTCAGTTATAAGCCATCATACCAATCTGAGCAAAAACAAAACATGCACAATGCAGCCACAGTGACAAGACTGCCAGCAGTGTCTGACAACAGCCTGATTATTCAGCCAGCCTTTTAATCAGTAGTCTTTCTCTGATGAACTGAGCTAAATTTTGACAGTTTTTTCCCCCCATGTTTTCTTCCCATAAGACCAGCCAATTAGTTGGAATTCAAATTTCTATTCAAACAACTAGAAAATAAGTCACTTTTGAACATCCCCAACTATCTCACATACATGTCTTTTCAAAATACCAGTTTCTGCCAATATAACGTACTTCAGAGTAACTTATAAATAAATAAATAAATATAACGTCAATACTTACCAAGTTGCTTTGACAGATCTCAGAGATGACCTCCTTCTCCTCATCTGTCATAACTGGCTTCTTGGGCAGATTACCAACAAACAGGTGGCTCCGGATCACAGGCAGCAGATCAAAACAGTTCTGTTCAATTTTCTTCAAGAAGCTGTCTATAACATTTTGCTTTGTTGGTTTTATGTCCATAGATGGAGAAGTCTCATCCTGCAGCTTTTTGAGTTCAGGAGTCTTGGGTGAGGTGGTCTCCTCTCCACTGTTCTGAGATGAGGAAGGCCCCTGCTGGCAGCTGATGGTAAGGGGGCTGTTTTCTAACCTGAGGCATTTCCTTTTGTTGGGTTGAGGTAAACCATCAGCCTGACGTTTCTCTCCCCTTGTCTCGGCCTTGGTGAAGGCAGTAGAAGTTGAGGTAATAGTTTTAAATCCAGACATCTGACTCATGGTTGTTGAAGGTGAAGCTCCAGTGTGAGATGAACAGCTGAGACTGACGTTCCCTCTGAGGATGCTTAGAGTGCGTGCATGCGCCGAGAGGTCTGGGTACATGGTGTCAAGGAGCCTCATGGAGTTTTCCTGAGATGGACTGGAGGAAGATGGCGAACAAGAAGCCATCGGTGTCCTTGGCAGGCGGCCTGGGACTGGCACGGCGTGTTTTGGAGTTGCAGAACCAAACTGAAGTGGTGATGAGGGGATCCCGCGGACAGGACTGCTTAGAGATGAGGTGCTCTGCTGCTGACTGTTGGGTGTTAACTGGGCCTGGATGGGAGTGGTGGGTGAAGTCAATCTATCCATTGGTGAGGGGAATGAGAGTTTCCCAATGGCCTGCCTTGGATTGATTGACCTGCCAGTCTTTGGAGGGGTGCTCACAGGAGTCAGGACAGGAGGAAGTGGAGGGCCCATCTCAGTGAGAAGTTGGCCTAAGAATTCAGGCTGATGAGCTGTAATTGAATCTGGCCCAGGCACGTCTGCAGATTCTTTGCATTCATTATGTTCTTCATTAATACGGGCACTTTGCTGTGATGAGGTAGTAGTATGAGACGTGCCCAATTTACATTCAGTAACTTTATGGATACTTGCATTAATGTTGTCCTCAGGCAAGTCTTTGGCATTCGTGTTTTTAACAGCACTTTCCTCCTCTTTATTGGGCTCAGGTTGTAAAGTTTTCTCATTTGTTGAGATGTGTTCAATGCTCACACCTTCATCCAATTGTTCTTGGTTTGGATTAGTTTCCAATGTGTGCAATTTGACAGTGGGAAACAGGCATTTAGGACTCAACGCCCTGCATAATGAGGGTGTGTTTTCTTTGAAAGATTCACATTTAAGAGTCTTTGTCTCTGGAGGGTCAGAAAGAGAACACCCATGATCCACTGGTTCAGTGTTGAGTGTTTCTGTGTTGCGTTTCATTTTTGAAGGAGTTTCTGAATTTGTTTGACCAGATTCCCGATCATGGTGGGATTTGTCATTTTCCATCTGTAACAGTGAAGACTGGGAAGGAGACAGAGGTCCATTGTCATGATTTGACGCACAGGGGAAAGCTGTTACATCAACCCCCTCCTCCTTCTTTCCATTAACTTCATTCCCATCTATCTCCTTTGGGAGTGCTGTGGGTGCATCATTTTCACGCCTCTCTTCAACAGTATTGCAAGAGTCACTGCTGCTTGGCAGACATGTCTTTTCAACATCTGTGTCCCCGGCAAGACATTGTGTACTCTTTTGGGGCTGAATCACTGTGGCAACTTTGCTCTCTTCCAAAGCACAAGAGTCTTCACGAACTTCTCCCATTTCTAAACCATTTTCTTTTGTAACCTCAGCACCTCTGTTGGAGTCTATGAATGTTGAGGGAACAGCTGAAGCATTACCTACTTCGACATCTTCTACTTCTTTTGAGATTACAGTTGTATCACTTCTATTGAGTGACTCTCCAGCATCCCTAGGCTCTGTTTTGGCACTCAGGTCTGTGTCTACGTCCATCTTTGTGATATTCTCTGATGTGTTATCCTTTGCATTGTCCATTTCAGGGTTGATATCGAAACCTTTGCTATCAGAATTTACCCTGTGGGACGGCTTTTGACTGTCAGTTTTTTGCAACGCAACATCAACAATGACATGTACAGGAGAAGCATTTGACATTGATGCTGATACTACCTGCTCAGTGGCTGGCCCCTGCTCAATCTGTATGTTTTCCACAAGCTGCATTTCTTCCTCCTGAATTTCAATAATGCTATTAATCTCATCTCGCTCAAATGCTAGTGAGTTATTTTCACTGGACAAGTGATCTACTTCCTGTGTCATGATCACCGGTGAGTCTATGTTGTCTTCCACTGGTACAACAGAGGTGTTTGACGAGTGGGTTGAGGCAGATGTTAAGATGGTTGAGTACTCCTCTTGTTGAAGAGGATCAGGATTTGTTTCTTCTCCATCTTCAGTCTCCATAGATTCGGAGGGCTGACAAAATGAAGGAAGAAAACAAAGCTGTTACTTTCAATATGGCATACCACACCTTGGGAGACCAGACTAATTGGAAGGCAAGAACATTTCAATAGTAAAACTGACTAAATTACAGATGATAAACTTATACTGTATCGCTTTTTTGTCAACATTCATTTCCTATGTATAGAATAGATAATATTTTACACTTAAAGAAAAACCATGGTATTTTGCAATACTGATAGAGTACCATTCAATTTGGTAAACTTACAACTAGATTTCAGTGTAATTTCATTTCAAACTGCAGGGTGTTTGATCTCCTTGCGGGTTAATGCATCATGTATTCATGTACAGACGTCTCCATATTAAAACATGTGAAGAAACACATAAATAAATGTATAAAACAATGTATTGGCTTAAAAAAAGAAGAAGAAATTCTCACCAATTCTGGTAATGGTGATATGCAGGGAGGCATTGGTTCGAAAAGTTTCATTATCGCCTCAAAAGAGAGTTCAGGGATCTCTACAACTGGTAACATATTCTCAGTTTTGGGTTCTTCTGGAGACTGGTGGCTCCTTTTGGGCGTGGCTGTTTTCTTCTTGGACCTCCGTGACTGTTGACATGTTGGATGTCTTTCAGCTCTTTGTTGACGGGGAGAGGATTTTAACGGTGAATAGGAGGCATTTGTTTTGATGGAGTGAATGTGGGGTTCTCTGCTGTGACTGGATGGAGACAGAGATGTGTGGTTTAAATTGCAATGGAGTCCTTTTGGCGGAGAGGAGGGCAGAACTTGCTTGGTACAGGGCCCTTAAATTAGAAGAATAAAGAATTGGATGTTAGCTTTAACAGATGTAGGAGAACAGAAGAACATCTGATTGTGAATAACTAACTTCTGTTAAATCAAAGGCAGAACACCAAAAACCAAGATCTCAACAAATGGGATTCATGAAGCCTCACCAGGTAAGCACAACATGTTTGCAGCATGCTGCTGAGGTTCAACACAGGTCCACAGACTTGCCAAGAGCGAGCGGACCATTTCTGAAAGTAGATGACCACACATGCAAAAGTTTAAATTACAAGGTACTCCCAGGATTCCTGAATGTTATTACTATTTTTTTTTAAATGAGCAGTAAGGAATACACCTGAATACCTTTGTCAACCTTATGCTCCTCTGGTGCACTTGCTTGAGTCGATGTGTTCCTATAATCTGGAGAGAAGCATTAATATACTCAATGCATGTTTATGTTCAAAAGCAAAAGTAAGTCAACAGATGCTGCTGATTAAACAAAACAAAACAAAACAAATAAGGATCAATTAAATTAAGTTGTTCATCAAAGCATTATCCCAGTATGTTAGAACTTAGGGACCCAGTTAAATTACATGTCAAGTTTGGTATTTTAAGATTTCCTCAGTGTTGACCAGATCACATCATAGCATATCCACAGCAAATAATGACATTTGTTGTGACATCTTTTATTTTGGTGATTAAGTTTTTTACTTACCTTTATTCCTCTCTTTTTCCAGTTTCATCAGTCTTGCCTGTCAAAAAAAGGGAATGTTGACTATATAGAATTACAGATTTTTTTTCCACAATGTGCTATTTTGAAGTATAACTATAGTACCTGGAGATCATAAATATTTCTCTCCAGCAGGGTCTTCTCTTTGGTCAGCTGGGTTATTTGATGGTTTTGTTTGCAAATTGAGTCTATGATAAAAACAAACAAAGTATTTTTTCACAAAATCACCAGAAAGGCAGAATCTTATCATCAAAGAGTTAAGATATACAGTTATCAAAATAAGATCATTTCTAATGTGTAGATCACATTTGTCAAAACTAACCTTCAAACAGCCTCACTTTATTTTCAAGGTCTTCTTTTCTGTTGATCAGAAGAAAGCAACTGTTAAGGCACGTTTGATTTTTTATGATGTTGTTAAAATACTGTTGAAAATGTATATGGGTTTGATAATGAAAATAGACTGGCAGAGAAAAGCCCTGCATTAGTACAAAAGTAATCAACACAAAATGTATCAAGAAGGTTTGAGTTCTTACATGCTTGTTGTCTTGGCGTTCTTCTCCATCAGTTTTTCAATCTGATCAGCCTGTGCCTGAGATTTCATCAGAGATGTCTGGAGAGGTAAAATAAGGATTTTAATTTGATTAATAATCAATCCAGTTATTGTAAGTTATGTAATTTAGCAACATCAATTGACTGAAATGACTAGACAGCTTTTCTGGCATACCTGTGCTTTCAGCAGATCATTCTCTACCACAGCCTTTTCTCTTTTAAGTTTTCCATTTTCCATTGACTGTGTCTCCATCAGTTCTGTAAGTTTGAAAAAAATACAAATAAAAAAAATATAGGAAGTGCGTATATTCACTTTTTCACTCATTATCTTTGACAAATTTTGCAACTATTACTGGTACCTTTCACATCACTTAGCTGGTCTTCAAGCTTCTGCTTCCTGGGGGATATTGATAAGTTTATTAGTCACTTAACCCCGATGACGAAACACAATACAATTTTCATATCTCATAATTTCTTACTCTGCTATTGAATTGCTGTTTTCCTTCTTTAGTATGTCCATTTCCTCAGACATCTGTCCATAAACCTGCAGTGCAACCTAAAATAGACAAAAACACAGTTCGAGTTCAAGTACAGTAGCAGAATATATCTGGATTATTTATTCTGCAAGGCTGAATTTACTTTTGTTGGGGTTGTAGGGATAATGACATACCTTCTTTTCCTCCAGTTCAGCTTGCATGGATTCATAATCAGCTGTCTTTTTCTCCAGGGAAAGCAGTCTGATCTGCAGTTCTTCCAGCTGCTGTTGAAGCCTAATTGCATCACTGTTTAAATTAAACATGAAGCATAAATATGAGGGCATGCAATGCAAAAGACCATAACACCCATGTGTGTGAAATCCTCATACAACATTGAAGTCCTGAAGTCTCTTTGCACTTGTTTTGTAGGATGATATGACTACTGATACTTGACTATTACAGATGATGAATCAGATTGCTGTTATTTTTGTCCAACTTTTAGTATGAAAGTGCTTATGCTGGGAGGAAAACATTACAATAACAACAACAACAAAACTATTATCGTTGCTCGGCAATGTACCAAAACAACGTGTTTAATTGACATAAAGTATGGTAAAATACCTAACAGATAATTTTACAGTTATTGTTAAGGTCTTCAGAGAAGTTACCATGGTTACAAATCGGTTTTGCTGTACTCACTCTGAAGCTGTTATCTTCTGTTTCAGGGCCAGAAATGACGACACATACTCACTCAGACTCTGGAACAAAAAGCAAAACAAAATCTTTGAAATCAAGAGTAAGAATAGCAGACATATTCGCTCATCATAAAAATAATCCCAAGTGATGGGTAACCGTTTGGCATTTTTGTTGATTTTGCAGTCAATGACAATGATCCAACCTGGTGCAGAACAGAGCAGTTTTGACAGTTTCCAACCGTTGCATCTGCGGCGATCGCAACCGTTTTAGACTGATTATCCCCTGGCATCATGGTAAAACTGGTTCGGGCAGACTTGAAGTCCTTAGTTTAAAACTTCTCACATAAATAAACTTTCGTTGATCGCTGACACAAACACCAGGCAGGTTCAAAACACCTTCACATTTTCGCGTCTCGCACGTTGATGGAAGACCCAGTCAGGACCCCATGAGGGAAGCCTCGAATAATGCCGGTCAAACTAAGCCATATTTCGATGCCAGAAGTCTACCCAAATCCATGGATGTGTTCATTTTGACATCATTATAACTGTCTGATGAAGATTGATTCGACTTCATGGAGATTAAGCGTTTTTATTTTGGTTCATTATTTATTTGTGTCAGGCAGTATGTTACGGCCTATGGGGGCGTAAACGTTTCTGACCGCGTTGCCGGTGTGTGTAAACGCATATGTGAAAACTAGCATAGACATAATATACGTAGACGTCTCAAAACCTGAAACAGCCTATCCGAGCCCTCGTATCAGCGCGGCCGCCATCTTGGATGGGTCTCCCACGCGCCTCCAGTGCATTAAGGTAGTTAGGAATGGTCAACCATATTAATAATAACTCTTTGAATCTCTGCCCGATTTTGACACTGATGTCGCAATAATACAGGACAATGTCACACATTAAAAATAAACTAAATAATTTTTCAATGCTATTTGTGGATTGTAATACTACGTTATCTGGTTTCAATACTGCGTCGGGTTTTTCAACCATTGGGTGCAAAAAAGCGTGCATAGTTGCTCGTTCTCCATTGACCCCGTTTGGTTCCTAAACGAACCTGGAGTGGGGAGACCCATCCAATATGGCAGTGACGCCAGATTACGCTCCAGCACGTAATGAGGCGTCTACGTGTATAATGTCTATGGGTGTGTAAACGCATATGTGTAAAGTAGCCTCTCGCTGCTAAGGTGTTGCTGGAAGTCCAAATCAACATTTCCAAAATTTAAAAGAGCCCTTTTAAAGAAACCTTTTAACTTCACATTTAAACAAACTGTTGAAGAAATAAACACATTCTCTAAAATTAAAACTCAATTACAAATAGTAATAATAATTATAAATGCAATATATCTCCCCTGCCACTTCGAGCTCAAAATGATCATCGTAATTTGTGAAACGCTATTATACAAAATAAACTTTAGGGTGATGCTTCATTTTAAAAGCCTCTTAATGTAGGATCAAAATTGACCGAAGAAAGTAATTACAGTGAGTTTAAAAGAACTAGTCGCACTATAAACTCATTTTACAGCAATTATACAAATATGATCTACTTTATGTTCGGATAATGTAAATTTCTTGTCCAGGTTATGCAGAATACTCAAGCAAGGGGTTTCCATTTGATAGTATTCAATTGTGGTTTTCAAATCTTGCGCACATCACACCAAATGCTTGGCAAGGCTTACATTATAAGACAACTTTGATAGACGGTTTAGTTGACGGCTGGTCGGTTTTCCGTCATTGATACGATTGAACCATACAAATAAAGCCAAAGAAAAACCATTGTTAAAAATGTAATCTGAAGCAATTTTGAGCGGAGTATCTCTCCCTGGTGGTCTAGTGGTTAGGATTCGGCGCTCTCACCGCCGCGGCCCGGGTTCGATTCCCGGTCAGGGAACACCTTTTAGCACGTGTCACCCTTACGGGAAACACATGATTGTGACTCCAACAAATTGGTCAATTTCCAACAGATCGGTCATCAAACGAAATTTAACAACGTGTACGTAATGTCCACGACATTGTTGTAGGTATTAAGGTCTTACTTTGGGTGTTATCTCTGTTTGTATTGTTGCATTGTCGCAGTTTTAAGAGTTATTCAACTTGATTTATCAGCAGAGTGCGCTATTGCACCGATAGTGGACCGTATTTTTTCTCTCACTCTTTTTTTCCTCTGTCCCTCACTCCCCCTTTCACACACACACACACACACACACACACACACACACACACACACACACACACACACACACACACACACACACACACACACACGAAGCATTACTTCTTTGCTTGAGAACAGAACTGAATGGCTTGAATAGCTGCTTCCTACTGGTTTACCATACAAACAAGCTGTAATGTTGTAATGTTAATTTCCCATTACATCATCAAGATACAAATTTATTAAAATCTGGGTGTCTTTAGATGGGTCTGTCCTGCCACACAAAGGTCCTAACTACTTTGACAGCATGTCCTTGGCAGCTTGACAACAGCTGAGAGGAAGTGCCGATAACTAAAGGTGCTGCAGCTTGCTGTTGATGCATCCTGATGGGAAGATAACTCTGTAACTTCAGATGAACCTGAGTATAGCCTCCAGGCTTGAGAGCCAACTCTTTTGAAAAACAGATGAAGGCAGAGATAGCATAGTTTCTTTTAAGTGGACAAGGAGAATGTTGGACATGCGTTCTTGCTTCCTGTCTCTCCCTGACAGATCATCTCCTCTGTTACCTGACATGGGTTAGGTAACACTTTGGATGATGCCAGATTCTTCAAGATTACCAGTGTCATCTCAAGGAAGTCTTTGTCTGATTGCTATCTTTGTAAGAACAAAAAGGCTTCATCCTCCAGTTCCTTTCTTCTTGTTTTTTTTTTTTTTTTTTTTTTTTTTGTGGTTGGATTTGATCTGTTTTTTTCTTGTCAAGCCAGTGAAAGGGGTGTGAGGATGTTGTCTAATAAGAGAAAAAGCAAAAACAAACAAACAAATAAACAAACAAACAAACAAACACAAAGACACAATACACTGGTGGTCTTGTATTTACAGCTACAACAGTTCAATATCTAATCGACCTAATGAGTATATCTTTGACCTGGGAACATAAATACACATTTGAAGTCAATACAAAGACAAGACCAAACAACAGCCGTGAAAGATATAGCAAAATATTTCAATAAGTCACCATTTATAGTCTGTAGATGATGTTTTGTATTTTCATGTATTTAGATAAACCACCTTTGTAAAAGTGAATATTTAAGTTTATCAAACACTTTGCTTATATGTATTTGAAAAGACCAGTACACAGGGGAGGAGTAGTCTATCTAAAATGCAAGCAAACTCTTGCACATTGTTTAAGTTGCGAATATTCACCACAGTTTGATATTTAAGATCTTTTGTTGCCTGTGCCTTTGTTTTTGGGCATTAGACAATGTTCTGGAGTTTCCTTAAACTAGATGGCATACCAACTCCAGATTGAGACTCACAGATTGAAACATTTAGAGCCTACACTCAAAAACGCTGTGAGAAACACAGTGCCCACAGCTGACCAACTATAAATCAACTACAGAGAGGTGGCTGACGAGAAGGAAAACCCCTTTCCCTCTTTACACACACACACCTCTCTCTTTCTCAGGGCATTTTCCTAAGTCAGCACCAGTTTCCCTCCTCCCCTTTTCTTTCTACTGTTTCTCCTTGTCCTCTCACTCATCTCTCTCCTCCCGCCGTCACTCTCTGAAGGCCTGAAGGCTGTGCCTCTGGGATTATGACAATGAGTATTTTGTTTTAGGCATCTGTGTCTCTTTGACTTGTTGAGAAATGACTAATGAGTAAAGTGCAGACACAGTATGTCATAGGTGTTGACATGGATGATATAGCCTTACAATTAGCCAAGACGCTGGCTTCAACAGTGCACTACAGCACTGAGATCTAAAGGCTAGAGCTAGGACTGCATGATAATTTGTCAAACATTTAATTGTTTTCTTTTTTTTTTTTTTTTCTTTGTGTACTCACAATTCTGGTGCCGAAACATACACCATACAGAAATAAATCTACTTTCTGGCCCCTGACTAGTTGATGACTACAAAGGAGAGGCAACAGACTGGTAAAAGTCCAACCTCCCATAAAACTTTAAGAAATGAGTCTACTGCTTCCAGGCTGTTTGGTGGAGTTACCTTTTTGGTTCGGGTTTGCGGACCATTTGGACCAGTGCCACACACAGAGGGAGGATTACCCAGAGGCAGTATTGTGTATCAAAATTTAAACAGCTTCAGCCTGCTTACTCTGCAACCACTGTGCTCTGTTCTGCCTTTTTTTTTTGCTGCTGTACTCCCTGCCTTGGATCTTCATGTATGCACATGGAACAGAGAAGTGTGCCCACCCTTGTTAGCAAGCTGAAGAGAAGGGAGCCTGCTGAAAGCACCCCAAAATATTACTACTGCATGCAAGTAATTAATTATTTTAACAAAAGTGATCCCAACTAAACCAGTGGTTCAGATCACTGTTTACTAACATAACCATAATTAAGATTGAAAAAAATAGACCTGCTTGTGTTTACCTTAAACTAAATGGGTCAACCTAGCTATGAGGCTATGATCAGATTTTACTCTCTGCAAGTCTACTGGTACAGTTCTAAAGTTTCACTCCCGTCCTGTTGTGAAATCAGTTTTACTTAAGCACACGGCAGACAGAAAAGAAAATACATTACTACCCAGTTGCTGACATGACACACAGTTTATTGTTTTTTTTTCACATACACTCAAGGAATTGTGATAAAATAACATCATCAATCATCTGTGATTGCTTCAAAAACCATCACCAAATTATTGTATTACTGTTGTGCCACATCAGCACTTGCAACACATGCATGGCTGAGGAGGACAATGTGCTGTAAAAATGAAGCAGCGACTCTTGGGTGTCAAACAGTATGCTTATACCTTTCCTTATCTTGAAGACTTAAAAACAGGCAACTGGACTGTGTAGAGTTGCCTGTTTTTAAGTCTTCAAGATAACCATGACCTGGATGAATGAGAATCTACATGGACATATACCTTTCCTTATTGGCTAATATATAATTAATGATCAATGCATGGTGGTGTATTGCTAAAGTGGGCTTTTGGTATCACTGATTTTCTTTCTTCAATAATAGAGTAAATGTTTGAATAAAACAAAATGTGAATTTGTCAGCATGAAATCCTTTGAAACATAGTAGAAAATATAAAGGTATCAAGCTTAGGGAGGCATATGACAAAAGGACACAGCTATACCACTTATGAATAGTCTTCCAGCAAAGCTGTATTGTAAAGCCAAATAAATAAAACATACAACACTATACACAGGTCACACAATTCATTTGTTCTTTCCTGAAACTTGTGAATTTCACATTGCTAATGTGACACAACATTGTAGCACCAATAAGTTTGACAGTTCACACAGCCTTGAACCGTCTCAGAAAAGTTCACTTGTCTTTGATACTTTCTATTTCTTTATCTTTTCAAAACAGCGCAAAGCTTCCTGTTACTGTCCAGCTATAGAGGAAGCCCACTTTGATTATTCCTGGTCTGCTTTGTATCAAGACTTTGATTAAAATGATGTTTGCTCCTTTGAATTGCTGCGCAGTTGTCACACCCTTGATTTCCCATAGATAAAGAATTGAGATGCAGAACAGGGTGTATCACCTGCTGAAGCGTGGAAGCGCCTGAAACTTTTTCAAGTCCTTTTCTCTATCAGCCCATCATCCCTGGCCTTTGAATGACTAGTAGGAGTAGGGTGTCCTGGGTACAGATCTGTTAAATTACAAACAGTATATAAACAAAGCTGGTGATTTTCAGGTTTTCTGTTTCTTTTGGAATTGCCAGTCCTCTTCGCTTTAATCAAGAATCCCACTTTACCCGTTCCTCCTCATAAGTCTCTCCTGTAATTGTACTGTCCTGATCACATTCTTGTGTAGTGCTGTAAACATCAAGCTCTTGTATCCAGATGTCCGGCATCGCAGGGAGAAGAAAGGGCACTGCAACTCTAGTTTTTGCACTTCAATTGAAATGTCTTTTGTTTCTTGGTGCATGCCACACGCTCAAAGCAAAAACACTGTCCATCTCAGCTTGGGCTTCTTACATGTCCACATAACTGCTGGTCTGTCAGTATCCTAGACAGACTCACTCTTCTTGATTATAGGTTTGAATTTGAACAGGATTGGCAGCACTGCTTGCCGTAGAACTTGTGGTTGCAGACTCCATGTTGGGGCACCAGGTAACACCAGTTGAAGTAATCCCTACAGGCAGCATCTGCAGAGAAAAAGGGAGAAGAAAAGACTTAAGATGACAGAATATAGTTTATGAGACGCTTTGTTTTTGGATTAAGTAGCATTACGGTAAATAACTACATCTGAGCTTGGGTACCTTTCTTCTCGGGCTGTGGGCAAAAGTTCGTGTTGCAGGCCTGTGACATGACAGGCTTCAGATGAAGGGAACAGCCTGGGGAGGGCTTCCCTTGGACCAGGCATTGGACTGACCTGGCCTGCACTCCCCCTCCACATGTCACTGTGCACTGTAGAGTAAAAATAGAGGAGAATATGAAGCTCCCAAGCCACACATTTCTTGTTTAACCCAATTTACTCAGTCTTAATTAGCTTAAAAAGTGACGAATCATAAAGAAAAGAAAACAGATACAACGTAATTCAGCCTTTCTTGCATGGTCTATCTTACTTTTGGGCTCGGCATACAACTACATGATGATTGTACTGGTTTTGGGCCTGGTGCCCCCCTTCTCATAAAAATCAGCAAAGGCCCAATGTACGAGGAGTGATTTTTTTTTGTAACATGTTTGTTTCGAGGTTACTAGGGTTACAAAATCAGAACAACAGCTGACTTGACTGACAGGTAGGCACACTGTGGCCCTTTGCAGAGAGGCTAAAGGCCCAACTCTGGTAGTTTGACTGAATATTAGGTTGAGTTGGCATTACCAATGTGGTGACCACCAGTGAGTGGCTTCCAAACTTTGCTACAGAAACAGATGGGCAATGTCACAGAATGCTTTGTCCAGTAATTGTACAGTCTATGGGTAAAGCACATGGCAACCAAAGTCTGCTGTGTCCTCCTACCTGAGACCATGGAGAGGAGTGCCACTCTGGCTGAGGTGGAGGTTGAGGGAGGGGTTGTAGAGGATAGGTGATAGGACGATGATGTGTGATCCATCGGTGGACTGGTGGAGTTGTGCGGATGGGGCAGTCTGCCATGACACAGGACCTCTGGAGCTCTACTGTAGGTTTGGGGACATGGTGGCACTTTTTGGCAGCAAGCTCTCTGTATTTCCCTGCAGTGTCCTTTTGTGTAGAAATCCAAAATAACAATGTTAGCCAGAAGATGCAATTAAAACCTCAAGGTAAACTCTCATCCAAAATACAGAGCAAGTTATAGCTCTGGATTTATATATTTATAGCACAGTGAAAAAAATATGTACCGTAATATAAAAAAGAGGATACGAAAGATTAAAACTTGGGGCTGTGATGATGCCAAATAAAGCTGCAAATTTAGCTTATAAGAATTTACATGCTGAGTAATTTGAGTAAACACAGACATGCAATACACACCTTCTCTGCACACTTGATGAAGCGTGCCTGATAGCCTCGGCCACATGTAACCGAGCACTGGAAGTTCAGAGAAGAAAAGGAGCAGACAGGAAATTGAGGGAGAGAACTTAATCACATCAGCCAAATATATCAAACTGTAATAGTATCAAACTGTAATAGTATAAGTCTGTAGTATTTATGACTGCTCTTGAATTACCTGTTGCCAGGTGGAGACAAACCACTGGACTTTGCGTTGTTTCTGGCAGCGTTTGATGAAACAGGATTCTTGACTTGCAGGTTTCTGCAGGCCGGCGCACAAACTGTCTTCCATTGTTTGTTTTTGGATACCCGGGTTTGTGCTCGTACACAGCACCGACCTCTTCTTCAAACCGTTGCCACATTTACGAGAACACTGCCAGAAAACACACATGAAAATGACGGTATCTGGATATGCTCTAAGTCCATAACCTGCCATCTGTACCCGTGCTACATATTCTGATTATGGAGTAACAACAAAATAGTGTTCTGGGGAACATTACTGTACTTCTTACAAAGAGAGGCCAGAGCAATTCCCTTTACATTATAAAGTTCTTGTATTGAAATGAGGAAAAATGTCAGAGGTCAAAGATCTTAACTTGGCACAGGAAGCATTTAAAAGCACAACTACTATATTTTCATGTTCTCTACACAGTCATTTATTGTGCTTCACATCCTTGATGTTTTATTTAAGGGAGTCCAACAATTCCTAACCCTATGGCAAAGCCTAAATCAAAACGCTGCAAGTGTTGCACTGCATCCAAGAAACTGGGCAGTGACGCACTTCACCATGCCTCAGAGTCACAGAGAGGAAGTAAACTGGACACCATTTGTAGCAGGAAGTCAGGGATATTTGGGGTGAACTGGCAGTTTAACAACTTGAACAGTGCCACAAGTCACCAAGCACAATGAAATAGGGGTTGGATAGGGAACAAAAATGGGGTCTCATTGGGCACATTCATAGTTTAAAGCTGCTGAGATCACAGTCATAAAATGTGGTGAAGCCATCAATGCTGTGGTTCACCTAACTCAACATAAAGAGTGTGTAAGGCTCTTTCTGTTAAATGTGACCATGCAACCTTGAAGTGCTGCTGTGACTTTCTACCAGAACCGCTGGGATTTAATTAGCTTTTTCAGTGATTGTGTATCACAGACCATCTGGTAGGCAATAGTCTTGCAAGAACTTTTTGTGTTGATTAAAACAGAGCAGAGGCTAACGGTTATGGAAAATGAAATGGTTCTTTCTCTCACCACAAAAAGCTGCATCATTGATGTTCTACCTCAGTATTAGCATCAAATAACTTGAGATAAGCGCATTAATTAGTCTGGCTAGTTAGTTTGGCCAATTAATGGCAATATGAAATAATTGGCAATCACTCAACGCCTGTGCGCCCACGGCTGAGTAAAAAAATAAACAATGTCTGCAGACAATGCAGACGGCCTTGTCAATGTGGCTGCTTTTGAGAAATTTATATATACTTTTTCTTTCTTTGAAATGACAGAATATCAAATCTAAAACAGTTACAGGCTAGTCTTTCATAAATTGTTATGTTCTTAAATCTACAACATGATCCAATGTAATTTTTTATTCAATGAATTCATAAAATATCTATTTAAACATGTCGTGGCTGAAATTATTAATATCACATTTTAACATGTATGTGATAGTGGATATGTGAAACTACCATGCATTGACCATTGCACGTGAAACTGATCTCAGAAAACTCTATTTGATGTAATCCCATCTGTTGACAGGGAGGGGTCTTGGTTTATGACCTATACTGCGACCAGTCTTAAATGTTAAGGGTTTATTTTTTAGGGTCTCTAAATTTTGCATAGACTGTGCTGCAATCATGATGTCCAGTCATCGACTTTACCCTTACTACAGCAGTGTGCCTTTTTCTAACCTTTGTCAGTGTAGGTCCAGTGAGAGTTTCCTTTTAACTGGGTGTTGTTGGATCACTTTCACTCATGCTCACCTGTGACCATGGCCCGGTGGTCCAGACTGGAGGACAGCTGTGTGTGTTGCAGGCTTGTCTCCTGGCTGGGGTAGGCTGGACACAGGCAGAGTCAGCCAGAGTGTCTCTGTTGGTCTGGCTAGTTCTCTGGATACACTGGACCTGTCGCGTCTGCTCCCCTCCTCCACAGCTCCGGCTGCACACCCCCCATTCTCCTACAGACCAGCTGGAACAACACAACACCAGGCTGCTGAGTCAACATGCACGGCTACTCAATCACTTATCCAGACAGACCCCACGGGAAATCACAAATGACATGACCGCCGTACAAAGATAGTCAGTGTAGAGAGATCTGTGTCTTTTACAGAGATACAAAGTTGATCCTATGAACAATTTGACTACATCTACTGCCTCTGTGCATGAGGCACTTCCTTTACCAACACAGCCAAACAAGCACCCCTATGGATTGTTTTTATTTTTAACCATCACACACAGTCTTCTCCTTACTAGGACTAAATTTCACTGTAACACGCATAAAAGATTATTATTTGGCATACTCACAAATGAACTGTAGTTTGACGGATGTAGAATGATACAAATGATGCAAAAGACACATCAATATGAAACAGACTACAGAGGAAAAACTGACAGCAAGAACATGTAGGAAGAACATATACTGTGTTTGAAGTTAACCAGTACTTCTACTTCTACTGTTGTTTTACATGTCTCTGCATTCCTACAAGAGGAAAGACTGCGTTTGCCACATGCTAACTTGTGCCCAAAGTACTTCTCTGCTCTTGTGTACTCTAAGTCACCGTATGAGTAGTAAAAGCTTGAATAGCTTTTATCACATTTGCATTTCTTTATCTGTTTGCAAAGAATCTCAAGAGTCTTTATCAGTAGTCATACTCCATTGTTTTTGAATGCTGATCTTATCATATATTGGGATATTGCAGACCTGTCTAAGGGATGTTGGATATTTGTTCATGACTGTCTGGCTTCAGAACAAGTCGGGACATCTGCCATACTGAAACTGTAACTTTAACCTCCCTGTGCAGTCTTAATCCTCCTTCTTGTCTCAACTGTGACGCTTAACAAAATGTATTAAACTTATTTAAACCCTGATAAGCGCTTCATTTAGAGACACTATGTTGACTGTTAAGTATATCCTTTCCCAACATGGCACTGCTGCACACCACATGTTTTAGTTGCCCAAACATCAGATTCTCTCTCTCTTCCTCAACGAATCACTGCATCCAGTGACCCCAAACATAAAGTGCAAGTATCCTTCATCACACACTATGTCATCCTCTCTCTGTACTTCACCTCAGTACCCCCTCTCTCCCTAATGTGGACACTAAAAAACCCAAAAACCACACTGTCAGCACATAGTGTTGTGCTGTATATATGAACAGTGCTAACTTTATTTGCATCAATTTGGAGCATCACTCCCTTGGAATGTTGTCCAAAGATGATGAGGAGCGTAAATCTGAAGTACAATAAACACGCAGAGCTGAATCTAAATAAATATGGACAGAGAGGTTCCATCTGGGTTATGTAGGTTATTGTTTGTCAGGGTGAGGAGGATGCATGCTGTATTGTTGAAGGACCATTTCAGAGCCAATGGGGGGACTGCGGAGATGCAAATTCATCTGTTTAGCTTAAATTTCAACAGTGGGGTCAGAACATCTGTGTTACATATTTGGAATTGTGACATGATTTTTATAGACCAATGGTGCCAAAATAGGACTCATACCCTCATGGTGTCCTTCAACATAAATAAATCCTAGCATGTTTGCAGAAGACAAGCTGAAACTATTTTATCATTATTGTAAAGTCTTTCAAGAGCTGAGGCCTGATTAAAAATTCTATGCTTGCAAGCCCCATAAGGCAAACAACATATTTCTTTCAAACAACTTTCTTTTTCTCTTTAAGTAAAAAGGATGCCCTGAATTTATTTTATGTAAAGTACAAATGTAAAGCCGTTTGTATCATTGATTTATCACGTAAGTATATTGACCAACTTGCTCACTCCTGACATCAGCCATGTAAACGCAATGAAATCTCATATTAGCTCCTTTACGTCACTCAGTCACATCTTGGGTATCAGTTTCTTCACAGAAGATAAAATACAGTTTTTAACCCAGTGGATGATGAACAGCTTTAATTAATAGTAAACGGCATGCGCTTTTAGCCCAGATTTATCCCTTTAATGAGCCCTCTGGCACCAGGATACTCGTATACAGATTAATACCCTATAATGTTACAACCTGTCTTGTGATCTCTGCCTCAACTTTTATTTGTAAGAGTAATTGAAGGATGAGTAAGCATGAGACACTCTGCACAGAAGCACAACTGGTCAGATATCCCGAGGACAGAGTGTCAGATCACCTCTGTGGTTTAAATGGCTATCTGGATGCTCACCAGAGGCATTAAATAACCTCTGACCGGTGTTTATAGCAGGACGGTTGTGTGTGTGTGTGTGTGTGTGTGTGTGTGTGTGTGTGTGTGTGTGTGTGTGTGTGTGTGTGTGTGTGTGTGTGTGTGTGTGAGCGTGTGAGCTTTCACGTGTGTGTCAGTGTCTGGGTGTTTCTTATATCCCTGCACATCCAAACTGTGAGACCCAGTGATATCATGCTCTAAATCAGAGTGGGCATCAGACACTGTTTTCCATGATGTAATGCTTGTTAGGACCGTCTTGGTGGTTGCACACACAGCAAAATGAAATAACTGCAGGGCCTCAGAATAGTACAATCTGCAAGGATGGACTGACCACAGTTAGACTGTCTAGTCTTTGCCTGCATGTTTGGGTAAGTCCAGCACATGGTTTGTCTCAGCTCACAGTTTATACATGCAGAGAACCCACAAAGTGCGAGAAATTGATGCACTTTCAAAAATGTGTCAGATCCTTGGTGAGATAAATAAACACATGTGCATGGATACTAAAGCAATATGTTTCAGTTTAGTTTTTTTTTTTTTTTTTTTGAAGTTCAAAATTCAGGCAAAGAAACAAATGAAATCAGTTCTGCTTAATTTGACCATGAAAGGGAACTGTCATAAACAAGGATACAACAATTAAAGTGATAATCAGAAAACCCTAAACTATAAAATCAGTATAACTTCATTATTTTTTTTTTTATGAGCATTAAATGTGAATAACAATGTTGGAAAATAGCTGTAATCAGAGTATAAAAGAATGGAAATGTGGCTTGGAGGTTAAGACTGCATCTAATCAGAAAACGATAGATTACCTGATATAAATACAGCACAAATTTTATGCTGTTATATGAGAACTTTGTTGTGTACTCAAATTTAGTCTTTGGTTTTATACAATAGCACACTGAGCACAGTTCAATCAAAATGTCACATAATAATTCTTCAGTTTGTAAAATAGTGTCAAAGTGTTATGACATAGTGCCACATCCATTTATTCAATGTTTGGTGCAGAACACAAACAATGTGGTTCACCCCTCTGTCTGTTTGTCTGTTTGTTTGTAGGTTGTTTGTTTTTCTTGTATTTATTTATTGATAAAATTGTCAAAAGTTGCATCATAAATGGTGCAGCAGTTCAGTCCGAGATAGTTTTCTATAGAGGACAATACCTTGTTATTGCATATCTGATTGCAAGGCAAACAAAGCATTATATTGTATTGTATTGTTGTATATCATCATATCATGGCATCATGTTGTATTATGTTTCATTGTATGGCATTGAAATATATCACATCCTACAGTGTTGTATCTTGTCACATCATCTAATCTCATGTCATGTCATATCGTATCGTATCATATATTAGACTGTATAGATTTCTGTGGGATGGCATGGCATAATATCATATTAATGGTAGTGAATTATTCTATATTTAATATCATTTATCATCATATCACCATTTGCATGGCATGGGGTGGGATGGTACTGTTCTGTGTCATACTGTAGTATATTTACTCGTCTTATAAAACTTAATGGGCATTGTACCAGCCAGTTTTAAAAGACTTTTAAACTATGCATTGATAATACTTACTGATAGTGTGAAATAAAGTTAGGTGCTTCAGAAAGAATTTTGCTTCCTCAACAAAATCGTCTCTTTTAATGTAACAATTACAGGTGAAGGTTATAATGTGGTAGCTCCCTCAAACTTTCTCTTTAATTACAGCTTATTTAGAGGTTGATCCAAGTGTCATTGTATGTATTATTTAATTGTTGTTTGATGATTAGTTCCGAAAGACAGACACAATGCACAGCAACTGGATGCAAAAAAAAAGTCATTTGCAATTAGCCCTGTCAGTGTCTTTTTACGTACCTGCTTCTTACTACGCTTGTGCACACACATGCTCAAGCACACAGGCACACCTAAGCAGCCCCAGCTGTAGATAATGAAAGAGATAGGCTTGAGAGATGAGTGTAAACAGTTGTGAGATTACTTTACAGCCACTATTATCACTGCCTCCTCATCTCAGAGTAAACACACAGATCCATTAGTGAGTTAAAGCTGATAGGGGCGGTGCGTGTGTGTGTGTGTGTGGCTTTGTGAGAGGTGGAATTTTGCACAGGAGGGAAAGTAAGAGATGGAAAAGGAAGCAAAGGGAAACGGATGATCAGAGAGGTGCATCAATATCTGTGACAACCAGGAGGAGGCAGAGGAGTAGCTGCGGGAGAGAAAGTTAATTAGTGTGTATTTATAAATGACTTTTAAATGATACAGACAGTGAGACAGACGAACAAGCAGACAGAGAGTGTGTATGTTTGTCATAAAGTCGCAGCATGACAAATCCCTGATGAGAGATTGGAAGTGCTGCAACCTGAGCTCAACACAGTTTGAATGACAGCTATCCTTGGCTGGCTGCTTGGGGATATCATTGAGTGTGTGTACTGTGTGTGTGTGTGTATGTGTGTGTGCATGTGTGTGTGTGGGGGTAGGTGACTGGGACGGGTCTGTGAGGTGGGACAGGGTTGGACATGTCACAGAGCAAAAAAGTTGTCCCATCAAAGTGTTTGGGCCATGAAGGTTATGTTTACAGCTGAAGTAATGGACACTGCAGTGGAGCTCTAATATCCTCCCTGCTGTTGCTCTGCAGTGTGCTTGTGTGTGAGTGTGTATGTGGACTGATGAAAGGTGGGACAGGAGTGTCTCGCAGTTGATCTGAAAGGCTTTGCTCTGTGTGAGACAGGAAGACACATGCAGACAGGAAGACAGACAGAATCTACAGTATGTGTAAGACGGAGAGCAGGGGAAACTCAATGTAAAGCTTGCAGAAGTCAACATATGTCTGTGTCCAGAAGAGCATCTGTTATACCTGGAGAGCCCTGGGGGATGACTAAGCATCTAAGCACTGCCTGAAACCTGAAAATGAAACAGTCATTGTCTCTGGCTAGCAGATAATGGCAGTGTGATCACACTCTGTAATGGTGCAGATAAAGCTTGAATTGTTTGGCTTGTCTGCAAACAAAACCACAAACACTGTGAATAAGACTTTCCTGATGTCCTTTTCCTTGATGTATACCCTGCTCTCTCCTGAATGTCTGGTTTCCTGACTTCACTAATCCATTTGACAATGAAACATAATTACATTTCCCATTATAAGCATGGTAGAAACATAATACACTACATACAGGTTCATACTGAGGTAATGTGTCCATCTGTATTAGCCTATTTCTGCACGGGCTATCACTTACAGATATATAGTATTTTATAATTTGTACTAAATGATTTCTTCAGGGAATACACAACATTCTTTGCACTGAAACACCAGCTCTCAATTATCAGGGAATCACTGAGTTGATTTAATTTCTTTTTTGTTCCTAACGTGTCCTGTCACGACCCTTTGGAGGCAGAAGAAGTTTCTTGTCCTTCCCCAGAAAGTGTGCTCATTGCTTATATAATCAACCTACAACAATATTATGGCCAAGTTAGTTTCAACTAATAGAAGCATGCACGTCTCGCTTACGTTTCATTGTTTCCAATTTGTTCTAGTTGAGTATCCGGGTGTCAAGTGACTAGGTTGCACTGCTGCACAAAACTGCTTTACTGATTTCAAGCTGCTACTGTGTATCGTGTTTTGACTATGTGCTGATATCCATTCGATGAGAAAGAGATGGCTGAATTTGAAGCCATAAAATAAAAATTATGATAGTAAGCAAGATGTTAAAAAAATAAGCTGCAGTATGAAGTTGTTATGTAAGTAACAATCACACACAGATCTCTTTCTCCTGCATACTGCTAACACATATTCAAGGACAAGAAGGGCTGCTGCATCTTAGCTGGCTGCTACGTTCACAGAATGTGCGAAATAAAGGCACATTTGTTCAATTTGATCATGTGGTATCAGCCCGGTTTTAGCTCAAACCCAGTGTTTTGGTATCTTTCACTTAAAGAGTGACACACAGAGCAGGGGAGAGTAAGGGTGAATGAAGAAGTGTTTAAACCTGTTTGTGATTACATGCTTGTCAGACTTCACAAGCGTATAGTCAACGGAAGGGGAAGTTAATCTCTGCCTTAACTTCGAGACTTACTTTGGAAGATCAACCCTTTTCTTTTTTTCAGTGTCAAAGTTAATTCCACCTGTTCTCACATTTGTCATGTCATTTAGTCTCTGAAGAAGTCTTGCTAACATGAATGTTGAAAGCTCAGAGCAATCTCTTTTCTTTTTGTCCCCAAGTTAACCCAGCATAAAGAGCTTCTTCACAGAGGACACCATTTGTTTTATCCCATCATTGAACAGTCAGTGGTAATGCATTTTCTACGCTGAGTTTCCTTGCTGACCTTTAATTCTGCATTATAGATTAACTAAAAAGTTTGTTGTTTAGCACAAAAAACACCATGGTAACAGTAATAACCTCAAATAAAAACCATAGATTAGTCTGTAGGTGGAGTACAGTGGGAGCCATCCTAACATAACATTTGGTTGAGCCCCCCAGCTGCATTAGTGCAGAAGTTTTTGGCTGGTGTGGGAATAATCTACAAAGCTGGCAGTAGTGCACTGCTCTTACACAGTGTCTGTTTTTCTGGAATATACCGGCGAAACCAAACAGGAATGACTACAGCACATTACCACACATGATGACACAGTAAGCAGCAATCACGCCATTATTACTTACAACTTCTGACCTAACATAGCTCTAGAGGACTGGGCTTCCTTTTCTTATGACTTGATATTTAAATATATATTTTCTGTCAGCACCATCATTACTTTATGTCAGTGACAATGACATGGCTCGTTGGTAATCATGCAGGACTTTCCTAGGATACCTGTTCCAAAACAACACAAACTGAACAGGCTCTGACATCGCCATGCAAAGGGAAAATCCCCTCTCAAACAGCTGTTGGTTACTATAAAACATGAGATAAATGGCAACCTAACTGGGACTCCATGATTTTAGTGCTGATTACATAATATTGGTGCCCTGCAGAATACTGAGAGACTCTTTCTGAAGCAGATGATTTTTCAGCAGGTGTTTGGACACAGATCAAAAAAGAACTTCATAGGCAAGAGAAGAGATTTGTAAGACGAGCTCGTGGAACAAAATAATCAGGAAAAGATTTAATATGACTGACTTTCTGCAACAGTGTGCTTCAGTGTTACTATAGTACACTTTGTTGTGCTGTTAAGTTTTGGATTGCAGCTCACTGGGTGTGGAGTCAGAGAGACACGTAAAATGTTCCTTGGGAGTCTTGATGAGCGAGTGAGAAGTGAGATTCAAGTAACAATAATTGTTCTGCCATTCTGTCTTCTCCTCCCCCTTTCTTTGTGTGGGTGTATGTGTATATTTGTGTGTGCGTGTGTGTGTGTGTGTGTGTGTGTGTGTGTGTGTGTGTGTGTGTGTGTGTGTGTGTGTGTGTGTGTGTGCGTGGCTTTGTTTTTGTTACCTTTTTATGAAATGTTAAAGCTCCTATAAGGAATTTTTTGACACTCATGAACTTGGCTGAACTTCATAGTGATGCCCTCTAATGAAATACAAAAGCAAGCAGAATCAGCAAGACTTTTAATAGTAATATATGTTTTTTTTTTATCTGACACAATTTTCTCTGAAAATACTCAAAGCGAATAGTACATTTGACAGTCAAAAATCAGCATTTTTGAATTGTGTTGTTCAATGTGGAATCATTAATGCTGTTTGCTATCAGCACATGGTAGTGTGCTAATTTAAATAAAGGTCAGGGTTTGTAATAAGAAAAAATAATTATCAGGATGAGATATGTTGTCATAAATCCCTGCACAAACATGTAGCGGAGAAGATAAGCAAAGACTGCTTTGATAGCACGGGGCGCTAATACTGACACAAGCCAAGGTTCCTTACAGATATAAACCAAAAATTATAATCCTGAAGGTTCAGGCTTAGCACTGCATATTGGTAAAATAAGGTTAAATGTTGGGAATGAATTGGTTATGGTCAATGTGTTGTTTATGGTTGGCTGTCCGTGTGCATGGGAGTAAAGGCAGTGATGTAGCATGATATATTGTTTTACTGTCACAAGTGCAGGATGTGCAATGTCAATCATATGACCTGAAACCCTCATACTATCATTTCTTCTCCTGTCATGAAGTGATGTAAACATGCACGCCTCCCTGCCCCTGCCACAGATGCCCTGGCATGATGCTAGAGACACAGGACCATATGCTAGCCAGATTCTGATAACACTTCACTGTTATTAGCAGCATCTTTCCCTGGTGCTCTCATATGCTATGGCACATTTTCAAATAGCAATATGCACCACAAAAATAAAAGATATTGCCACTTTTCATGTGTATTGTGCAGTCCCAACATGCACTGTAATAACAGTGATATCTGAGAAAAATTCAGTGTATGATTATGTTTAGCTTCCAGAAGGTGGCTGACTCCAGTTACAACACCATGACCTCTGTTGTAGGGAAATACACTAACAGTTGACACATGAATGTCCAGCAACAAAGAAGTGAGAGGACTGTATTGTTTCTGTCTCTGGTGTTGACTTTAAATGTTCAAGAGTAATGAGAGTTCTAAGTATATTTTAAATGGTTTGGTTTGGTTTGGCCACCACACAACAAAAAAGGTTTTGTATGCAGGGGACAAGGGAGCATTTGGACACACAACAACAACATTTTTGAGACATCCACATGCAACACGGACCAATATGAGGTCAGTGTCTCAGCTAAATCGCTCTCTCCTCATAAATCAAGGCATGACTTGTCAACAGTGTCCACTTTCTTTGCAAGGACTTGGCTGATATTTCAGACCACAGCAAAGAGTGTACATGGGAATACTCAGAATAGAGGCACAGAGGGATTGACGCCTCAACAGCAGCTGACAAAAGTCTCTACAGAAATGCTCTTGTTGCTCCTTGGGAGACAGACATCTACTGTCCTGTAAATGTCATGCAGTAGTATTTTAGAGGCTCTCGGTTTCATGCATGAGCTTTATTTTTAAAGTTGAGGAATAACTTCTCATTTGTCTATTTCACTGTGATATTAAGATCCTTCCTGAGTAGAGTTGATGGGTTTGCAGTTGTGATCCCTAATGTCTTTGAAAATGCTCAATGGATTTATGCTGTTGCATGCCTGCATACTCTGCTTTTTTTGCACGGATTTACTCGTACATGTGTATTGTGTGGCCATTAGCAGTAAAATAACAGTATTACATTCTTAATTTCTGAGGTTGATACAAGATACAAAAGGAAAACGCTAAATCTCACAACAGACATTCACTGGCAAAATCTAACCTCAACATCTCTGTGTCACCATGTTCCTAAACTAATGCTACTTCCGTATAAAAACAGGCGTGTTTGAGAAAGGATGTCAACATCACATAATGGCCCATGAGTAATATAGGTACTATTATGAATTTCAAAGAAAATATGTGGAAAGGATAGGAAAGAACTGGTCGCTGGTTAAAGTCCTGGCAGCTAAAAAATCCCCAGCACACCAAGGGGTTAAATATTTTAGTTGTGGTGCTACATATACCAGAGGTCTATTATTTTGAGGGTGACAGGGTTAAGTTTGAGAACTTTGTCATAATCGCCTGTGTAGTACAACATTTCCTTCTGGTATCAAAGCTGATGGTTGCAACTAATGTGAAGGCTAACGTTAGCATGCAGCTCTGTTAAAACTTCAGTTTGACAGGGAGATAGACTCCAGTCATACAACTTCAAATTATAGGTCCAACATGACATCTGCCAGTTGGTCCTTATCTTCTTGTTCTCTCTATCAAACATAAATGATCAAAGATGGTGACCCTTTGCCCTGCTAACCTGATGCTAATACTACTCCTCCATGTTTACAGAATGCTAGCCTCCCTGTAAGCACTGTTAGCAAAGTTAAAAGAAAGCAGAGGCATCTTTTAAGTCTCTTACACTGCTGACCTTCACTTACAGGGGTAATGTGAGTCCTAGAAAACTCGTCAGTGTGATATTCAAGAAATGATCACTCCAATATGTATTCAAAAAGCCCTAATGGGAGGCCACAGCTGCTATAGGAGTGACTCGCAGCATCTCTGTTGGTCAGTGCTCCAGACTGATTGTTTTCTAGGGGCTCTGTGTCTTATAACCTGTTGTGAATGCTACATTTATCTCTTTCATAACGGTTGTGTAACATTTTGTCTAATAAAAAAATATCATTTCATCACAACGTCTTAAGTTACTCCATTGTTAAAACCAGTCTTATCCCAAGAGTGTCTTCCACTGATTGGTTTTCTGGCCAGGGTCTTACCCTTCATGACACTGTCCAGAGCAGCACAGACAAGGGAGGGACACTTCCCCTGTGTGTGTTTTCATGCGTGTGTGTTTATACATGTCCTGACTGTCAACGGTCACACCACTCCCTATGATGTCCACTGTGAAGCACCGGTCCACAGTGACTGAACTTTGATCCTCTGCCGAAGCCCTGTATGTCAGGGGTATAGACAGTGACTGAACCAACTGAGCTGAGCCAAGATCCCACAGAACCGCACCCTAAAACCACAAAGCCTTGTGGATGATGCTCCCACTCTGTTCCAGTCTGGTATTGTCATACATCTTAACCAGCGTGTAAGTGTCACTCTAAGTGAAAGCAGTGACGTTAAACAACATCTCAAAATGCTGCCTTGGCCACAGAAACCTGGGAGCAAACCTCAACATATGCTAACATTTCTTACATTGGTTTCCAGCTACAAATTACTGTTGAGCTTTTTTTGGGTAGTGAAACAGAGGGAAAAAAAAAAAAAACAAGGCTAGGCTGAACCAAAATGCACCATCAATTCAGGATGCAACACATTCATCCCACACAAATTCTTTAACTTGACTTGTATGGCTCTTAATAGAGCCTTAAACTAGACTTTTGGTTCCTTTGTGTTGCTACTAAAGGGTTTACAAGTTCTCAACCTACTGTCATGAAGAAACATAGAAGCTTGTAATCCCTGACAGCTGGTGAGGTATCCTGCTGAACTGGGTGAAGACATTTACTGTATATACAGTGGAACTCCCCCTTCTTCCCCTAAAACACATGTTTGGGCTAAAATGCAAGTTATTTTTTCATTACACGTGAAGAAAACGTCATCGTCACAGAACAGGTGCTTGACTGAACAGGGGAAAGGGTGGAGAACACAGTCAGTGGTGCCTGACACCTTCCATTGACGTTATTATGGGGAGATAGTGTGAGAAGTTGGGAGAATCGGTTCAACCATTAAACAGCTCTTTCTGACGATGCATGTCAAGAAACTACAGAACAGATGTGAAGGTGTTATAATATACCAGTAACACATGGCAGTCACAGGAAGGGTGAAGAAGAAGGCAGGTTAAAAGGTCACAGGGAAGAAAGACAGAGGACCAAACCACGATGGAGAAGTCGGATGACAGAACAGATGCAGAGAGAGGGCTATTAAGACAAAGCAGAGAAAATAATCCCCTGCTGGTCTTGTGAGCTTAAATTTCTGTATCAGTGTATTTGGCTTGTGGCCCCTCAAGCTGTCTCCTCAAGTTCCAAACATGAACATGCATGCACTGAATGTTGAGCTGTTACAGCCAACAATGGTTTTGGCTGTCACATAACTTTCAGTATACTACAGGCATACAGCCGTTCCAGGGTGTGTCAATTGAGCAATTGAACAATTGACATACCATGAAGTCTGTCAGAGCCAAGTTTTCATTCTTTTTCCATCCAAAAATATTTATCAGAAAATTACCTGGAAATGTCGGAATCATTTAAATACCAATTTTAATGATATCCAGACTGAGTTAGCTTAAAAGAGAGCAGCAGTGAGGTCATTCAAAAAATGCTTGAAGCCACATATTAGCACTGACATAACAAAGGTTCGAGTTGAGTAAGTTGGGATCTTTAAATTAGACCAACTAAGATGCCATCATAAGTCTGCAGTCATGAAAATTGGCACCCTACAGTTAACACCACATTGACTGGCTGTTTGACTTACCAAGTTTGTAACATTAATGGCCTGAAATGGCAGTCCAATGTTGCGTCTACTTTGTGGCACAACCATCCCTCACTACCCGTGATGTAGCTTTGGTTACCGGTGAGTGCTCTACTGTTTGGATGTAAATTAACACAAACAGTCAATAGCATCTCAACGTTTAGGCACAGCTTGGCAGTATTTTTTATTATTTTTTTTTTAATCAAGAAAATGAATAGTAATATGTAGGTAATATGTGGGCTGTGTCTGGTTAACTCAATGCAGTTTACTTTATATAACCAGCAGAGTGCATGTGAATGTCAATCTGCAGGGAGGACCAATGGCCGGTGGTACAAGCTCTGGGAATATCAGCCACACTTAGCAAACCAATCTGGCAGTATTTACCCACAAACTCTGTGACCCAGTGTTTGGTCATGTTAAAAAACCCCAGTCTAAATATGAGTGAATTTAATTTTTTGTTAACAACAAGGATATTAGTTTCTTCCCTGATTATTATATCCACAATGACTTGCTGACCCCAATATTAAGAAGTCACAGTCCTATTATCAACATTTTTTGTTAAGCCAAGAGTGCCTAATTTTGCTGATTAGTGCCACGAACAAAGGACAGCTTAGTCTGAGGGAGAGGTCTTACCTTGAAGGACATGGTTGGGTGTTGCAGGGCATCACTCCAGTGGCTGGTCTTGATTTGGGATTACAGTAAGAAGTGTTCACTTGCACTCTTAAGTCTTTGTAGCATGCTGATTTGGTGTTCATCTGGCCTGTGTGGGTGATAAACCAATGCATCAAGCTTAGGCACATCATGATGGGATCATTCTGGTTTGCATCTACAAACTATTTCAGCTATCTCTTGGATGTAAAATAACAATAAAACAAAACAGCCAGCTCACTTTAGCCATGTGTCACATTTTTGGCAAGGAAATATGTTTTAAAAAATGGCAGAGGGGGTATCGTATTTTTAAGATGAAAATGTAATTATAGTGTGTTACAGAGCTCTTTCTTAGGACCGTAAAGACAGTAAAAGTTATTCAAATAATGATTTATAACAAAACAGAAACATGTTTTAGGATGTGTGTCAAATGTTCTTTCTCATATTGGTAAAATACCTGCAAAATGTAACATTTTTTCAAAATTGTAAAGGAGAAAAAAAAAAACATCTTTCACACTGATGCTGTAATTTTTACTTTTTCACCATCTTACATTCAGGTTGCTTTATTTCCTGTACTAAAAATACCTGCTTTTATTTTGAAATAGTATACATGACATCACAAGTTACAGAAAAATTACAATCTCTGACTTGTTTTTAAATTCATGATAAATCTTGTAACTTCATAAAAGTACATGACCCTTTTTTGAGGGCTGCTAGCACAAGCTAGCTAGCTAGCTGCTGCCACTGCTTCTTCATCTACTATCCATCATGTTGTCCTACTTTGGTCCAGTTGCTTACACAAAATTTCCATGGGATTACTTTTAACACATTACTTATATTTATTTGATTCAATTTAATTAGATTTAATTCAATTTAACTTAAGTTAATTATCCAATTTAATCTAATTTAATTTGACATATGGTCAAAAACTTCCACAGCCCTATCTCACACTATAGATTAGATTCAATTTTGAAGAATAACATTTCTTATCACTTCATCCACTGCATGTGTATGTTCAAGTGTGCTATTCTGTCACTTAGAGCAACACTTAGACATTTTTAAAAAAAACCTCAAAAGGTTATCCATGCATTTTTGCCTGTATTTGACAAGACATTTAATGAGAGACAAGCTACAGTATATGGGTAATGAAGAGTAGAAGGAGACATGCACCGAAAGGTTGTCAGCAGAGACCAGTGCAATAAGGACATTAGTCTCTACAAAGGGGGACATGTGCCTAAACTGCTAGGCCAACCAACAGTTTTTATTGTTTAACTTCACTGCTATTGTAAAATAAATAAAGTCATGATTCCTTTTGATGCTCATAAATTTCTTAGATTGTGCTGATCAGTTGGTCATACATGCAACAAATTGAGATCCAACAGTGCCATCTAAATATGTGAAACTTGAATCCCAGACTCATAGATTCCCTGGTTGGTATTTGGCCTTTGGCATGGTCAATCTGCACATCTTAACCCATTTAGTCAGTCACACTCTTTAATAAAGCAAATGACCCCCAACCCATTATGGCCTACAATAAGGACACAAAGGGGTGGAGGCGCTTAGGGTGGACCACAACAGGCTGGGGTGGGGAACTTTAACCTGCAGTGTCAGTCAATAGGAACTCTACACAGGGGGCTTTGTTCACACACATGAAGACAGGCCAGTGCAAACTCAAATACACACACAAAGACCTTCAAGCACAAGGTCTGCTTAGGCTTGGACAACAGCTTCACCATGTTTTTGTGTGTGCAAGTTTAAAAACAAGGCCTCTTATCAGACTGGTCAAGCCCTGCATGCGTGTGCTTGCTTGCTTGTTGTTGCGGGTCTGTGTGCGTGTGTGTGTGTGTTTGTAATAGCAGGTGTCCTTGAGAACAAGAAGAGGTCCCACCAGTCTCAGAACAACAGCTCCTAATGTCCCCTCAGTAATGATGGGAAAGCGCCCCTCTCCATTTAACCTGCAGCTAAAAGCCTTATTATAGATCACAGAGGTCAGACAGAGCTTTAGATGCTGGCCCAGATTAAAGATCTGAGCTGATCTCTCCCTTTTCATCAATGCAGTTTACTTTGAAATGGTTCAATCAAGTTCAATCCCATTCTGACTTTAGTTTTAGCTTGAGTGTAACATGACACACAGGTAGACATTTCTTTGTTGTTGGTTTTTACACTCACCTCCAGCACAGGTGGCTGAGCACTGGGAGCGTACGATGGCCCATGTATAATTGTGTTTGATGTGATTTCTTTTCTCGTCTGCTTTTTTCAGAGTGTATTCCCAACGTACACCTGGATTCCAGCCCTGCAACAATATCTAATGGAGACAGATCGATGATTCAAGACATTATAATTATACTATATAGTGATAAAAGTCATAGAAAGTAGCTTAAGTGTGGTAATAGAGCAATGAAAGCCAAGAAAAACACATAACAGTGTCGCTGCACTAACAGAAATGGACGTAGACATCGTACTTTGTAGATTCTTTTATTCTTACCTCTATGACCAGCGTCTCATTGGTTGGGCCACTTGATATGAGGCTCTCTGGTCTGTTGTAGGGTCTTTTGTATTCAAAAATGGCTCCAGCGATGGGGTGTCTGCCTGGCCAGTCTACTGTCCATTGTCCATTCAGGTGGTAGCGTCTCTGTGTGTCCCTGACCGCCAGATAAGAGCTGGATGTATTCAACTCCATCACGCGGATACTCCGAGCACCGGCTGGGATGGTTACCACCCCATAATACTCTGCGAAAATGCAAAAGAGAACCATTAGAATCTGTCAAAAATCGCAAGAGTAGCAAAACTACGACCAAATATTTGAATGAGGACAACTACAAAAACATCAACCAATAATTCCAGGATGTGCTTGAGCTGAAAGAACAGTTTTACTCGAATAAAGGAGCAACATATTCACTCAAAATTAAAAATTAAAAAGCAACTAATAAGCAATGAACTTTACAAGGTAACTACCCTTACTTACGGTTTGTATAATGTTGCTTTGTATACTGTCCTTTGTAGATCTTGCAGGTGGAGTTGTCTCCTTTACACACACCGCAAGCATCAGGCACAGCTGTGGAGCCCAACACCCGGTCACAGCCCACTCTCTGGGGAGAAAGCCATCAAAAAGTACATGCAAACATAAAATGCAACATTCAATCATCAGTTGAAAACTACCATCATAAATCACTTACATGATGACAGGCCTACTTAATCTTTCTCAGGATGTATAAAGGAGTTTTTAAAGGGTGTCAATTGGTGTTTTTTACAACCTAAAATTCATGGCTCAACTTTAAAGATTCGCGTCCAACATTTTAAAGTCATTCTTCAATCAGTCATTTTATGGTTTCACTGCTGGTATTACCTCACACAGTCCATCAATACAGACGTTAGAGCTGTCTTGAGAGCAGAGTGTCCCGTCCTTTACTTTGCTGGCCAGCGCAAAGAAGAAATCATAGCCTTCAGCAAAGCAATACAGTTTACAGACGTCTTGATCTGAGGAAAGTACATGCAAAAGGATTGAAGATGATGAACTGTCTTTACAAAAAGCACAAAACTTAAAAAGAAAAAAAAGAAAAATGAGGTAAAAAAAAAAAAAAAAGTCTCACCATCCACTCTGGTGTAAGGCCTCCAAGTGTAGAACCATCCTCTGAATTGTTTGCTATTGAACTCAGCACACTGCTGCGCTCTGTAGTCAGGAGTGTTCGAGGGGCAGTCCTGAGTATTACAAAGTTTGTATGACCTGGACGATCCTTCACAGAACTTTCCTCCAAATGCAGGTCTAAAGAGAAGGATTGAAAAGTAAGACATGGAAACAAAGACATCTATATGTTGCATGACAACTAAACAATCAGCGTCTCAAAAAAATGTGTTCCATTTTTGCCTTTTTTTTAAATTCACAAACAGTATTCATTAACAATCATTATTTTCTAATTCTGCAGAAACACATCCACTTTGTACGCTTATAAGAGTCTTTCAGAAGGGATTAACATGGAAGGTAGATTTTTGGGGGGCCAAAAACTCATGTAACCAATAACCGTAAAATTCAGTTGTACAACAAATCTTTTCATACATTTGATATGGATGGCTTAAATCAGTGCAGCTCAATCCAAGTAACTCCAAACTGTACCATAAGTGCACCATGACTGATGTGTAAGTCCGGTTGTGTGTGATGTGTGATTGCAAAAGCCTGCTCATTCACAGGTGTATATCCCCGGGCTATTTTCTTTAAAATCCCCTCTGTGGATGATTACACCTTTTATAAGCCATCCAGTCACAATGTCACTTATCTTGTCCTGTCTCGCTCTCAGATAGTCTCCTTTTATATGTCTGCATTTCATCTTTTCCCTTTCAAATCCCTCGCTGTCATCTCTCTGACCCCTTTCCCCTACTTTCTCCCTTCTCCTTGCCTCTCTCGTTTTATTCCCTCTCAAACCCAGCGCTTTCTTCCCTTCCCAATCTCCCTTTCTCTCTCTCTTTCTTTCTGCTCATCACTCTCCGTCTAATTTAGTCACCACTTGTCAGGATCTTGGCATGACATGATAGAGAAGAGGCCCAGGTATTTGGGGGTAGGGCCCCCTTACTGACTGGCTGTGCAAATAATCCTGAGTGACTGATGAGTAGCAGACTAAGTGAACAGATAAGTGATGAAGCGAGAGACCCATGTGAGCCATCTTCACTATTTTAATCACGTGTCACTATATACTCTTGGCCTTGAGTCAAGAGAGCACAAACAGTGCAGACAACCTCTGTACCGAAACATAGTTACTCTGCAAATCTTGTGTGCAAATTACAGACATGACAGGTCAAAGACAGTTTCCTGAGTTATGCAACCAAAAAATATGAAAAATTGGCTAAAGATTTGAGTTTTAACCTTATTTTGAGCTCTCTGTTTCCATGGCTTGCTGTGTTTATTTGCTTTCTGTTTGGATAACCGTATACCTAAAAGGCGTCACTCAATACTGTGTGAATTTTTGATTGAGCAAGTACACACTCCGGGCCATTGTTGATGGAGTTGAAGGAGAATTGATAAGACTTCCTTGGATACATTCATATGTATTGCGGCCATGTTCAAAGTTAGACTCGAGATAAAGTTCCTCACCATTTTTATGTCAGTAGCATTTATGCCAGGGTGTGAATAAGCTTTGCTTTGACTGTACATCTATGGTGCCATCACCCTGCGGCATCACTGTCTGGAAGCATGATAGCAGAGCTGGTAACGCTGTCATCCCACCAAACATAACCTTCAATCACTCTGGGTCAGAAGGACACCCGAAACAACAAAGAGTGGCTTTGGTGTCCATTGACCATGTTTTTTGCAGCTGTTGTTAGCGGTTAGAGATGTGAGCTTTCGCCACCTTGAGAAAACACTTGATGCACACCCCAAAACACTTTGGAGTGCAGTTTACCTCACTGAATTGATTACCGACCTCTTTTAACAACATCCAATGGTATTTAAAAAAAAACACAAAAAAACAATGGCTAAAGCACAGAGCTCCTCTCTCTCTGGAGATAGTTAGACCTCAAAAGAAAGTTAACCTGACCGTAGGTTAACTTGTATTGCCCTTCCTATTCAGAGAGCTTCATAAATGTGCGAACTAAGGTTTTATTTCCCCTGGCTCTCTCAACATATCTAAAGACTTTAACTTAGCATTAGCATGGGAGTCAAATTAACATTTTTTACAGTATTTAGTTTGGATAATGTGCTACCTTTAAGAATAACTGATGACATTGCTCCCATGTGTTGATGGCTAAGCTTACGTTACATTTTGCCACTCATGTTAGCGTTTCATGAATCTTGTTTTGTGTAATTTAAAAGATGATTGAGCAGGACTAGCTACACTTAATCGATCGTCTGTTGGCCTCTAGCTCCATATGTTGTTCTCGTTCATCACTGATTTGGAAAGGTTTGGCTCTGTTATTACTGTATTTATGCCTACCTGGGGTTGTTGCATTGCCTCTCCCGGTAGGTGACTCCACTCTCACAGCTCCGGGAGCAGACAGACCAGGATGACCACTCTGACCAGTGTCCATGCTGGGGCCTCGGGCCTTCATCCCCCTGTTTCACACACTGTCCCCTGCGACACCACTGGAAAAGAGAAAGGAAAGGTGGTTGAGACAGAGAAAAGCAGAGGAAAACAGATGTAAAAACATACACAACCAAGAGAAACATATCACAAACAGAACTTTTTCACAGGGCCCTGTGTTTTTCCCCTCCTCACAATGACTCTGTTTCACCAAAGGAGAGGTCTGTCAGGTATGATTCAAAGATTAACTGCTCTCAAAAAGCCCCTGTTCCAGACCTGGGTATATACTCACAACCTACCAGTGAAACTGCAGCTGTACCCTTCGGACAGTCACTCCCATGAGCTGTCATCAGCTAGCAGAGCTAAATCAAACACAGCTACAAATTGGAAAAAGATGATCATATCTTGCCTGGATCCTTTTGAAACCATAATTTTACACTCATTCATTTACATTTATTGAAATATTCTTCTTCAAAGCAGTCAAGAAATAAAAAACTGTCAGAAAACAGCTATTCTCAATTTAATATTAAAACAAAGTAATGAAATGACTATGATGACATTTTTGTGGAGGGTACAAACAACGGCCTGCATAATAATCGGCCTTGAAGACAAATTGAGATGTGATCGCTCAGACCTCATACAGAGGTGGTCTGGGAGACATTTGTCAACTCTGGACTGGCAGAGCGCTGGATCACATTAAGGACAGCCCACCATCCCAACATCCATGACAATGATTGGAGTTATGTAAAACTCACTTCTCATACATGAATGACTGAATATTTCTCAGCTGGTTGTTGTGAGAAAATTCATTGTCACATTAGTGTCATTCCAAAATATGAAAAGGTACCCTCTGCTTTAGAGTCAGGAATATGTTACACTAGATGTTCATGTTTCTTCTCAGACTGCATTTTGTCTATTATAATGGAACAGCCTTATGTTGACTTCCAGAGAGGTGATCTGCTCTGTATTTTCATGCACAGTCTGCTATAGCACAGATTCCATAATTTACTGTCTGTAGTTTCACTCTCCAGTGTAGTTTTTCCCATTGCCCTGATAAACCTAAGAACATCATCCATTCAGTTAATAATCACCACCATTTCATTTCTTCCATCTTGATAGCACATGTGTACTGTTTGTCTGCATGACTGTTGTCATCCTTATAAATTTTTAATGTAAGGATGAAGGTGGAGGGGGCTTTGAACTACACTGGAGATGTGTGTTAATTCAAAGCAGGATTCCTTGTCCTAATGCGCCGTCCATGTGATGGGATGGATTTTAACAGTGGTGTGCTTTTCTGTAACTAGTTAATAAGTCTCTGAATTTGGTGTGTGTGAAATGTTTTAAAGAATTAAACTCAAACATAGACTCCCATGATTTATTTCATGCTCTGCCCAAAGCAAAACCACTCACTAAGAGTCAACTTTGACTGGTATTACACATGTAATGCACACATGAAATTACTCCCTGTATTTTTTTTCTCTTGAGCTGGGAACTTCATTGGGATACACAAGGGCGACTTTGACCAAACATAACCACATGTATTCCCACCAAACAAAGCAAAGAAGGTTTTTTTTTAACCAAATGGCAAATCATGTGTAAACACGTTGTCAAAAACGCTTGCCTTTTCCCACATGTGATGATCGAGGAAGTACAGGACACATGGTCCTCATATGGCTTAAACAAACTGTTTACAGTATTTCCTTCAAAAAGGGCTGAGTCATGTCACCCACTAACATGTCACGTGTTTCAAACTAAGCAACAAATCCATAATGTAATGTGAGAATATTTGCAAAACCTCGACTCACTTAAAGCAACACTATGTCACGAGCTGCTTTTTGGCGCTGGATTGAACTGGATTTGTACAAGATGTCAAGATGACATCAGTCACAATATACTTCACTGCTCTGCTTACAGTGATCTCAGGGACCTTTTGCCAGCACACACACTCATGCATGAGTTTTGATAGGGGGGGCATATGCTCAGCTGTTCATGTTCCCACTGTGTGTTCATGCCTGCAAATGAGCTTACACACACATAGACACACACACGCTCCTCTCGCTAATCTCGTGGTCCTTGACTAAGAGCAAGAACAGCTGATTTCCCCTCAGTTTTCCCCCTGCGGCTGAGTGCCACAGATTCCTAAGTGGACCTGTCATTGTTTGCGTTCACTTAATTGTCCCATGGAGGCAGAGGGCGGGATTAAACCATCAAGTCCAATATATTGAGAAGCAAATGTGAATGAGGGGCTGTCAGGAGAGCGAGGGTGAGAGGAGAGCAAGCCTTGGGGGAGAGTCATCTTGAAAGAAGTACGTAAAAGGAACAAAGAATAAATAAAGAGCACAGATTGCTTTTTGGACCAAACTCCAATGGCTTTTTTTTTTTGCCCTGTCAGCAACAAACCGATTGCAGCTGCTCCCTGAGGTGCATCAGTGAAGGAGAGCTTTACCTATCAAAAAGAGAGATTTTATTGAGACTGAACTCAAATGAACCGAAATCTTAATCAAATATAGTTGGTCCAAACTATCCTCTTACAATGAGATTTATTAGTCTGCACTGGGACAGAGACATGAGCGTGTAAGAGGATGCTGTTAAAAGTGCAGCGTTGCTTAGTTCAAGGCCTTTTGTCTTAAAATGACCAAACTGAATGGGAGTATAAGTGTTATATAACACTAAAACACCCAATAAATGTTACTTTTATAATGGTATATCCATAAATTTATCCTAAACCACCAGTTGCTTTATCTAATGCAGTCTTCTCTCCCAGAGGCTCCCCCAGTGGTTTCTCTTGGAGGAGGAATCTACACGTAAGAAATCTATCATACTAAATGTCACTCAGTTGATAATACTAAGCAGCATTTGGGAAAAAAAAAATATGAGGGCCAACTGATGCCTTAAAGGGAAAATCTACTCAGAATTGACTCATTTCATGTGTCTTGTGCAGCATAGTCTCTTCAAACCGGACTGTGCATATGAGAGCTGTCACTTCCAATGTTCTTGTTTGAATTTTGTTGCTCTGCTGTAGGGGACATTTTCACCGAAGCTGCAAAGAAGTGTTTGTTAAAAGGCTCTTGTTTGGTGTCTTTCATTTGTGTTTTATTTGGTTAAATGTTGCCAAGGAGTGATGTGCTGGCAACAGACATTACAGAAAACACATGCTGTCCTTATTTATGTAAACTACACAAAGATATCTCCAAGAAGTATCAGCTGCAAAGTCAATTTTGCAAAGACAAACTTATCATAGTGATGGGATGATATGATTTTTGACACTTGGATGGATGGCAAGAAACCTTCTCGTCTTTTTTTTTTTAAATACTGGCATCCTGTAAACAGACCTTTTGCTGCATGTCTCTGCTAATATCTAGAAACATCTTTGGTAAAAGCTCAATAGCCCCAAAGACAAAAATGTCCAAAACAAATGAAACAGTTCCCATGCGAGTCATGGGACACCACTCTTGAGTTGGCAGAGCCAAAGAGCACATCACCCAAACCCCTCCACCTAATGCACACACACACACGCACGCACGCACGCACACACACACACACACACACACACACACACACACACACACACACACACACACACACACACACACAACAACAACAACACGTGTTAAGTCACCATTTCAGGGCCGCAGGCGGATCCTTCAGCAGCTGGCATGAACTTGGTCTCACACTTCCTCCCAACACGGTGGCACCACAGAGCCTTGCAGATATCCTGCAACAATATGAGGAAGAGTGAGTCAAAACGTGTGCAAACAAGTTTTTTCAGCGCTGGATTTCAGAAGCAGCATGCTCTATTTCCATCTCTCAACAGCTTTAAACAAAACTAGCAAAAAGAACGATGATAAATGACGACTACATTGTTAATCGGCCGCTAGAGAGCTTTTAACACATGTTGATGGAAACGCATTGAAATAGAGAGGGTCTTTATAACGATCTCTGGCAAACTATCAGCGTGCAGCACCCTTGTATCCACCAAATATTTATGCTTCAGTAGTTAGGATGACAATATTTCAGGAAAAAAAAAGGAAGAAAAATCCTGCGATTTGGTCCAAGGCATTATCCCACAGGCGCTGAAATGCATGAAAATAAAAATGCACACCCTTTTCTGTTATATGATGACAGAGAAAAAACATGAAAGAAGCTGCACTTCCCTTTTCCTAACAAAATAATAAGAGTAACACACAAGATCTGGAAATGAAAATAAACATGTAATCCCTGGCAATTATTTTCATTAAAAGTGCTTAATTACATAACCAAACATTCATGATGTCATGGCAGTAATTCTCAGCAGTGGTCTCACAGATTCAGCTGGGAGACTATTGCCTGAGAAGGAAAGCTGGCTACTTTTGAACATGTCTAATCTCTTACTATCTGAATGACTATATCAGATTTTGACAACTCGGTGCAGATGCTGACAGGCACCTCGGCCTCAGTTTGCTGCTGCCAAAAGCCACCATGGACTCCATCCCAAAGCCTATTTGTCCAGCTGTTTTGCTTGCTCAGGTCTTTTTGTGGCAGTAAAAATGCTAGAGAGAGACAGGGTGAGCGAGTGAGTGAGAGAAAGGATAAATTAGAGGATGGCAAAAAAGGCTGAGATATGATTGACACAGTGAGACAATGTTCAAAAGAGAAAAAAACATACATAGTACTTTCCCTATCAATTGTAAACTCACAAAACAACATGAAGAGTATCATTTGGCTCCTTGCTTCACCTTGTCTTGCCAAAGGCATTGAAAAAGTTTACTGGAGTATGAATTCATCACAGGATTGATTGCACCTCTGAGGCTTATTCTTGAAGTGTTTTTTATTAGTAACAAGTGTCTGGACAGACGGTGAGCGTGATGGCTGCTCAGGGACTTTTAGGGTCCTGTGCACCTTGCTACAACCAGGTGCATGAGAAAGGATAGTTTGAGACCGAAATAAAACCACAGGGGAGCAATTCTCAAATATCTTGTTGCTGAAATAATGCATGGGTGTGTTAAAGTTGAAGCGAGAAGGTGGAGGAGCACACCATGTGCTGATTTCTCAGGTTCATATCCAGTCAATAATCGCTGATGCATTTGGAGGCATATTCCCAGGTCTATATTTACGAGAGAAGAGACAGCCGGCTCATATCTCCTTTGTATGTCCTTCAATTATGTTTAAGAAAATAGTGAACAAACGAATCAAACATTTACACATTGTGTCCTTGCTAATAGGCTATACTGACCTATTGAAACAGATTGAAGGGTGCTGTACAGAGGGATGTAATGGACCGAGAAATACAGCCCTCGCTGTAGCAGATGTAAACGCTGCACCAAAAAAGAAGTCACAAAAAATCACAGGCTACATCAGGATCACTAAAACGTTTGCATCCAATCTTTGAAGTTTACTGTATATGCCTGTCGATAATAAGTTCAAGGATTGACCTAAATTTGAGTCTGGCATTCAGGGTACTTTAAACTACCATACTTGGCTTTCAGCCAGAATAAAACAGAAAACAAACACCCCCCTTTGTAAAATCTGTCTGCTTTGACCATATGCAGATGGCTATTGATGGCCAGATAGCACCAGACCTTTTCTAAAACAGCAAGGCTACAAGTGCATTGTCACGTTATATACCTAAAAATTCCTTCTTATTTAAAATGTGTTTTTTAAGTCCTTCTTTCGAACAGAACCGATGTCAAAAGATCAAAATGTAAAGACACAATGCATTAGAATTTGATGACCTGACATGGTAATAAGTGTAACTGTCATGGTAACAATCGTTTATCTGAAGTCTCTGGGAGCACAGATTGATCTTCAGGTAAGAGTTAGGGTCAGTACTGTGTCGTAAAGAAACCTAAACCCTATGTGGGCCATGCAGAAAGTCTCAAAGTGAAATATAAGCTCCAATGAGACAATGGGAGAGCAATGAGGAAAGATTCCCATTGGCATCACTCCAGTTTATATTTAGTCACCCATTCCTGTGAGTATTTCATCGGCATCATTATGACTCTCCCCCTGTTTATTTTGCGTGTGAGAATGTTTGATATCCCTGTATTTGTGTGCATGTGTGCGTGCAGATAGACACACAACTCTGCTGAGTTTGTCATTTCCCTCTCTTTTCCTTTATTCCATTTCTACTTGACCTTATTTACAAAGATGAAACTCTTAACTTCTTTTTGCTTATCTTTATATGCGGTTGCAACCAAACTCTTTAAGCACTCATATTTCAATTCCCACTACCATCCTTTTTTTGTTTTTTACTACTTGAAGTGTTCTCAGTGGTCTTTAAATTGTGGTTTCTTCTGCAGAGCTCCAGTAGATCATTAGTAATTCACCTCTGAGCTGTGGGCGGAAATAGCGCTGCTCTGCACACACGTCTTCACGCTAGCTTGCAGATTAACATTGCTTGTGCAGCAGAAGTGGCAGGTAACATAGGAGCTATTTAGCTGTCAGACACTAATGTCTTTAGGGACACGATGAAAGCTAATATCATTATTCGCTTCCTTACGAGCATTGCAATCCGCTACCACACACACTTCTTCCGCGATCTTTCTCTCCCGAGTGTGACCTGCACAGTGGGACTCTAGGGGCGGAGTTTGGATTTGTTACGTAGGAAATCTCACTGTTTCTGAACCTCCCATTTGGGTCTGCCACAGATTCGCAGATTTACAGAAATACTCAGAGATGCTATTTTGCACTTATTTTTCTCATGATATGTCCTGTAGCATCAGAAAAATACCATATGAAAAACAAGATAAACATGATTTTCATCAGAGTGGGTCTTTAAGCAACTGTCCTCAGACATCATCCTTACCTTCTTAAAGTCAAGGGTGCAGAGCTTGGCCTTCTCCCCAAATTGCCATTTACACTGTGTGTCTGCATCGTACAGTTCTCCAGGCAGCTTCTCAGGGTACCGATACTCTTTTACTGCTCGGGGTTCATCTGATAAGCACAGAGCCTGGGCAGAACTGTCAGAAAGGAGAGGTGGGTATGCAAGAGACAAATGCAAAAGCAGGTAAAAAAAATAAAGGAAGAAGAAAGAAAGAAATGTAAAAATAAGAGAAAACAAGCCAAAGGAGGAAAAAGGGGAGCAGAGCAGCATAAAGAAAAGAGTGGGGGTCAGAGGAAAGCAAAACACCAAGAAAAAGAAAGGAGGGTAAGTAACAAATGATGGAGAAATCAACAGTTACCCTGAATACAACATTGGTGGTATGCGCAGACAGGAACAATCTAACAGACATGTCATTTGGTGCCTGTGTTTATGTATGTAAAGAAGCCAGTGTGTGAGGCTTCATCATTTGCACACAGAAATCTGTCCATCAGTCCACTCTGTTCCATTGTTTCCCATATTAGAGACTGCTGTGAAGTGTTGCCATGGAGACACAACAAGCTGCCAAACTCAAACCTTGAGAGAAACAGTATTTAATGCATCAGACACTTAATTAAAACAGACATAAAAAATAAAAAAATCCCTACCCCTATCGCTCATATCCTAACACCAGCAGGGGGGTTTCCAATGTTAACTGATATCACTCGTTACTATATGGAGATGTTTTACTGCTTAAACACTGCAGTCCAGGGAATATAATACAAGAATATGCTGGAAAGAGCATGAAAAAGCAAATATGTTGGAAGGATTGGTTGTGTTAGTGAGTGGTCCTGATTGCTTTAGCAGAGAATATACGTGTGTGTGTGTGTGTGTGTGTGTGTGTGTGTGTGTGTGTGTGTGTGTGTGTGTGTGTGTGTGTGTGTGTGTGTGTGTGTGTGTGTGTGTGTGTGTGCGTGTGAGAGAGAGAGATTCTCTGTAGCTTTATGGCCCCTTTGTGTCCACGCAGAACAATGGCTGTTCTGCAAGTGTAGTTTTCTGATATTCTACATTATTCCCATTATAAAGTATCTGAGAAATACATTACATTTATAGTGTTCACACATCAGCAGGCGCACAAGGAAGGCCTGCTGGCTAGCACAGGCAGTCCCCCATAAAATTACAAGGCCAATGTAGCCTCATTTGCAAGACCTCAGGACAGATTTGTTTAAAAACAGCTTCATCCTTCCACTGATGGGTCTGTGAGAGGATTAGAACAAAATGTTTTCCCAAAGTTAAGCTGTAAGCAGTTTACACCACAAGATTATCATCAGCTGGGGTAAAAATAAATAAAATAAATGAGAAAACAAGCACCCATTCTTTTCAAGGACTCCCTGTTGATCTGCTGATTCATCAGTTCCAGGCGCTATTTAAAGGGGTGCATGTTACAGACTTCATAGCTGATAATTTAAAAGATAATCTCAATTTAGGACAAACTAAATTGAAAGTAATAACACATTCAGGGAGTTGTTCTCCAGAAGAGAACATCTGATGGCACCTTTTTATTTACTCAAGCATCCCTTTCTGCTCTCAGCTGATGTTAATAGCTGCCCTCTAAGCTGAAAATAACTCAACATTTGGGATACTGCCATGCTTGTTTGTGTGCCCTTTTGATCACCAACCAATCAGAATCAAGAAAAGGCGGGATTTTTGTTTTTGTCAACAATAATAGTGAAACATAAACTATCTGTACTAATTTTATTATATACATTTTCAGGTCTCAAGCTGCTGATGCTACAATACTATTTCTATCCATCGCTTTCACATTTTCTTTTCCAAAACTGAGGTTACAGCTGCCTCAAAAAACAGCATTAGCGGACACAAGAAGCCTGTTTGCATTAAAGTAAAAGCTAATATATAAGGCTTAAAAAACAGTAACAGTCTCCACACACCAAATGCCAGTAAAATCATTTGTGTGGATGCATTACATGTCAAGTCAATGCAAAGATGTGATTAGATGCTCCAACTACCCAGGCAGTGCGAATGATGCAAATTAGGCAGGAGCTTAAAATGTCTCAACTTGAGCGGATATTCATATAGCGATAACTGATCAGCACGAAGGTTGCCGGGTGACAACGGGCGGTTGTTCATTGGTAGGACAAACTGATTGTTTCTGTCTGTGGATGCCCCGAATTGTATGATACCTTTTCTTTCAATTAAACGAGAAACCAGAATAAAAAAGAGCTCACCTGGAGGCAAGTGAATGAGGAGATTGGGTTACCTGGTAAATTGTAAAAAACCTTTGTCTATCACTTGATCCCAACAGTTGAATTGGCAGGGATTACCGTTAAAATCACCATTGAAGCAAGTAAATATTTTTCATTCACGAGTCTAGATTCTCGCGAATTTTACTCGTGCTTGGTGCAAACGCCCGATAAGGCTGGAAAATGCGTACCCAGTACATCAGCTGATAATTGATAGGAACAGTATGTTGTTTGAAATTGTTGGGTGTTAAAAATTTTACAAATTTTTTTCATGCATCAAACAAAAAAGACACCAACTATACCATCAGTATACTATCTTTCACGATAAGATAACCCAATTGTGAGATTGTTCTAGCATCACTGAACTCAAGCTTTACAGTTACCCTGAATGTGAGCTCAAGAGCCAGAACTGTGCTGCAGTGAGCATGAAGCTTAACCTAGCTGTAACCTCCATGAAATAGACCGATCCACTAAACCTGTCTTTACACCATAACTTGTCAACATTCGTAAAGAAGGCAGATGCAGATGCTTCAGAAGTGATGATAAATGGATATTACTCTTTTGATGCTGGGCTTGCTGTCTTGCTTTGAGATAACTGGCTGCTAGCCTCATAACCAATATTTATGGTACAGACCTGAAGTGCTGTCACTCTTACTGTCTTTCCAATGAAGCAACAAAACATTTTAAAACATGTCACACAAGCCTCGAAAACAATCTAAAAGATGTCCCTTGTGAAATCTGCTCAAATGTGTCCAAAGTCCTTCGCAGCGTGTTCCTGACTCTGGGAAAAGTGAAGTCAGACTTTCATGAATCACTGCTTTCTTGATGGCTTTCACCAGTGGCCATGCAAACAGAAAACAACTTTGAGTGACTTTGAGGGGATTTCACCCTGCCATGAGAGCTGTCTATCCATGTTAAGCATGACAAAGAGTTCAGATTAAGCATCTGACTGTGCACACAGTGTTTGCACAGACCTCTTTGTCATAACTGGCTGAGTAGAGGCAGATTTAGAGTGAGTGTGACGTAAATTGTGTTGGCTAACACAACAATCCTCTCCATGGCACATACAAATGTGGAGAAATTTAGTAGGGTCAGTTAATGCACTGAGACACACTTAGCCAAAAAAGAAACCACTCAAACATCATGCCAGTCTGTTGATTGCTGCTCAAAGAACGTGAGACATTTCAGCGTTTATCATGCCGTGATTGTGCGGGAAGAAGACCTCTTGGCTGTTTCAGTGGTGCAGAGATCCCCTCCACGTGGCCTCAGAGGGTGATGGGAGTTTAATATAAAGCTGACAGGCCTAACAAGGGTGAGGTCACCCCAGCTCTAATAACTCAGCGAGGAAATACACTGTCTGTCTCCACCACTCTGAGAGGGGAGACCTGACAGTTCGGTTAACACACTGGTAAATTTAGTGGAGGTGACTGGCTGTGGGTTATCTGGTTTCAACACACACACACACACACACGCACAGGCTCATAGAATCGCAGCCAGACACATGGACGCTGTGCCTGTGATGCTTGTTGCTCTCGCTTGGATTAACAGGCTGCATGCATGAGAATGCAGTTATTACACACACACACACACACACACACACACACACACAAATGTTGCCCATTTCCCTTCACTTGACATATGACACACACAGTACGCAATCTGTAAAACAACACTTTAAATAACAGTCCTGCAAACCACTTCTTTGCAGTGTCACCTTAATATTTTAGTCTCACACACACACTCAAGTCTGTTTTTCCTTGAGTTAACAAAAATAAAGAATGTCCTGTATAAGTTATAACATAAGTACCGTTTTTCTCTCAGCACTCTGTAGATCAGAGCAGCATTTGTAACTGATATATCTCCTGCTGACATGTTTTTTCTACAACACATGTTCATCTATTAGTAACATATGTAGAAAAATATAAACACAATGCATGTTTGAAGGCACTTGGGGGGACTCATGCTTTAATAATTTTGTTGTATAAAAGTGATGCAGTGCCTTATGTCTTTGTTGCATGAGCACTTAACTCAAGTTTGCATGAGGATTTGCTCATTACACAACAATGAGCCATGTGGAAGTGATGGTATGTCCTCAAAGCCTAATAAGACTCTTAAAACATTTATACCCATTTATGTCGTTCTGAGCTAGTGAGCTCCTTAAATCAACCCCCTCAGCATTGTCGCCACAACAAACGTTTTGCAGTAAAAAAAGAAAAGTGGTTTCTTACTTGAGGAAACGGCTGAGGTACTGGCGGCTGCAGGCGGACCAAGAGAAGACGCCATTGTGACCGGCTAATGTTGGTGACATGATGTTGCCCTCAGATTTCTTGCAAACATTTCCTTCACCGTCGTGGACCATCCCAAAACTAGGCAGGAGTAAAAAAAGGTGTTATATTAATGTGTTTGTAGCAAAGACAAGCTAACAGACAGCATAATATGTTCAAGATATCTGAAGTTGTGAAACTCCAGCTTCAAACTTCTAGCACGCAGAGATCTGAAAAATGACTCACAACACATTTTTTGGTGTCGCGTAAGTCGTTAATGTTGAGCCATATTTACACTTGGTGACCGCACAGCACCAGGGTTTGTGAGTCTGTTGTTATGTCGCTGAATTGTGAGTCTGTCTTTTCGGTGTTACCAGTTCCTGATGGTTGGTTCTGGCATGAATTAGGGAATGAGAGTCAGCTGGCTACTGTCTCCAGGTCTGTCCCTGCTGGTAGTCTGTTCATTCATTACTTCTGCCTCTGGCATCATGGTACTTAAGTGATGCCTCATTTCTTATTATGCTCTGTGTTGTTGAGCTACATGTCCAGTTTGTTAAGCTATTTTTCATTTTCAAACATGAAATTGGAGCTTTTGGATAACTCTGCTTGTACTTGTATTTGGGGGATTTAGCTTTATGCTTTTAGATATGTTTTTTTGATCTGCAGTTTTTCTCCACTTTTTACAGTTGCATCTTATGAGGAGAGCTTTATTTCCAAGAGTGGTTGACCTCTCTTCCTGCAGAAAAGATTAAAAAAAGGCTTCAGGAAGTGCTGCTTCACATCTCATGGTTGGAAAATCCTGCTGTAATACTCCGTTTTTAGACCATATGCTCTTATTTATATATTTATGACTCATATGGGTCAGTCTGAATATCTCAAGCAGCTTGGCTCCTGATAGTATTTTTGGACATAATTTACAGATTGTAATTGATCCATTGTAAATAAAGTGCCCCTGATTCATCTTCACTTGTTGAGGCTTCAGAGTCAGGCCACCACATCTGGAAGACTGCCGCTGTAGCTCTTTTGCTTGCTAAGTTATTATGGCATCTTAAACTTTATACATTTTTCAGTATTTGTTACCATATTTTGGGATTATTTTCAATCTCTCTGGTGGATGACAGGACAGAAACATTAACACTAGGTAGACAGCTTTACAGTACAGTGAAATAATCATTTCTTTATCTTTTCCTTAAAGTAATAATCTCCATATTAATAATCATTTTACACTGCAGACACAGTAGTTCTTTTGCCTTAGCGTCTCGGTCTGATTGCCTTTCCATGAAGAAATGATCACAAATGTTCTTCCTTGAGCTGCGTTTTGGTTGAGGTTTGTTTATGGTTCCTCAGACCGCTGTGTATTGCTATTGTGCGGTCGTTATTAAAGTTGGTATAACTAGAGAAGCAAGCGGTTGGCAACATTAATCTCCCGACAGGGTGTCCAACTCGGTGTTAATGTGTGTTTGCCCCTCATTTAATTTTATGCTGGAATATCTCTTTAAAGCAACTTTTAGCAGAAAAGATTTAGTACAAAAAATAGAATACCGTATTCATGTTCATGTTTAAATTTGTGTATGAATTTTAACTGCATGAATCTCTCTGTCTACAAAGGAGCCTGTCCCCATCCTTAAGAGCTGCCATCTGCCACCTCAGTGTTTTTACATGTGCAATTTTGCAGCGATCGGCTATGTGAAATGTAGGTTGGAAGATGAAAAATAAGACAAAGAGAGTATTTGATGTTGTTGTTCTTGAAAACTTGACTAGTAGAGGATCATAGAGGAGCTTTTTGTACTGGAAATCTATTGTTGCTCTACTGACAAGAAGGATGAGTAAGGATTCATGAGATACCACTAAATACTCCAATTTCTGCACACTGTCCCTGACAGCACCACAAATGCTATTTTTGAGTCTTTTTTGTTGTTGTTGATGAGATCTCTCGAGGTTTGCGGATCCTTACTTGTGTCCTGATTCATGTGCGATGGTGAATGCTAAACCCAGGCCCGTGTCCTCATTTATGGTACAGCTTCGGTACTTGCTGCACATCCCACTTATTGGAGCGAATCCTGCAAAACCAGAGATGAAAATGACATCAAACTTAAATTATTTCATCAGTCATTGCAGAAACCTTACCCTAAGTCTGAATGACTTTTGGGCTGAGAGCTTCTAAAACTTCAAACACAACATAACTGGGTTAAACCTCCTTCTCATGTCAAAATATGGGATCTTGTGGGAACATTCCTGGATCCCCCTGCTACCTTCCACGTCATTGTAAAACACTCTTTGTCTGTCTTCACTTCTTTCTCATATCTCTCATTGTCTATTAAACTCCCTCTTACTATTCAGCTCTTTTCGTGCCTCCTCCCTCCTAACACACATGCACATGTACATTCACACACAGAGCACCCCTGGCTGTGAATCAAAAAGGATAAGACCCACAGGGGCCTCTCTTAATGTTTTTGTCTCAGTGTCTGAGGGAGAATTTAGTCTTATGTTTTGATATTTTACAGCTCTAAGTCGAGTGTGATGGAGTGCACAACCCCTAATATAATGTTCTCATGTATGTAACTGGTGTGAATCATGATTTTAAACATAAGCCGGCAGATTGACTGTGAGAACTATCACTTGGTTTAATTTTTTGTGTCAGCAAAGTGGTAGATCATTGGCACTATATACTGCTTTTGATGAATGGAGGAAAACATTACAGGATAGGGCTGTTATAGTACTACAAATAAACTGTGTTGCATACTGACTGGTAACACGAAAGGTCATTTTGCAGTGTACCTTTGGGAATAAGTCAGAGCTTACTCTTCTTTTTTACAGCGCATACACGCAGGCATACACAGACCTTTGAACTGGGGTCTCATGGCCACGATTAGAGATAATGCTAGCCTCAGCACTTTGAAGTCAGAACTTAAGTCTGGGGTTTAAAGGTAGTGTGTGTTTGTTTCCACATGTGTGTGCCTCACTCTGTGCTTCTCAGGAAGACATTATAGATGTTTTTTCTCACCGTGAGGAAGACAACAATGTGTTGCATGGTCATTACCGCAAACAAGCTGTTGTTAGTTTGTTAGATGGCGTACAGTCACAATGACTGTGTTTGTTTAAAGCAGCCGGACCTGGTCCGCGCAGATGATAGCTAAAGGGCACCTTCTGGACGTCCTGTGATTTAAGTGAAAACACGGTTGTTCTTTGAGAGGATATAGTCTCCTAGTGCTACTCATCTGCAAAGCTATTTTTCTGGAGATCTGTACTGTACTGCAACTGATAAATATGTTGCAGATTTACTCCTCTATGATGCTTTCTTTCACCTTTGACACTAATGGCTTTATTAATCAGTTGATGATGCTGTGGCGTTGAAGAGAGTTGGATTAAGTACATTTTTAAACATCTGGTTTGGCTGATGTAATGCTCTATCACATAGACAGAAGACAGGGCCACCTCTTTGGAAAAAGACAGAGGGCAAGAAAGAATAAAATATTTGTATCAAAAGTAAGCAACAAACAGATAATGAGGACAGATGGGATTAAAGCTGAAGTTAGACAATTACACTTTTGCTGTTGTTTTCTAAAACTTGTATCAGTATTTGCTTTTTTATCTTCGTAAACTCTCGATTGCACTTTATGCGATCCAAAAATCTGCTTGTTAATGTTTGGAGGAAGGAGAAGATGTACCAAGAGTGTCACAGGGTTCATTCTTCCACGAGCAGATGTCGAGTCCTGTGAGGAGGATGGCGTGGTCGTGGTGCCGGCCCTCCCTGCCTCCCAGCGTCGACTGCCAGTGACAAAAGCTGTTCAGTGTGTGGTCTGCATGGTGGTTGATCACCAAGCCATCCTGCAAATCAGATAATGGGAAGCAGAGAAAGAGACAATGTTATCATTTTAAATGGAGACTGTGTGGCCAAATGTTATCATTTAAATCTAAAGCGTGTCAGATTAAAAAGCATAACCTTTTTCTTGAGACTCATGTCAAAGGTGCTCTGTTGATTTATGGAGTAACACTGATAAAACAGGGTGCAGTTGTCCCCAGAATGAGTGACTTGGACATTCTTTTAAATTTTGACATTCCTCGAGCTGATATCGGCTCTTGAGGAAGATTATAATCTAATACCATCACAGGTGTATGGAAACTGGGATCTGTTCTGACTAGCCCCGCCTGTTTTACCCTGTTTCTTTCCCTCCTTTTCTTTTTTTTTTCTTGTAGTCAAGCTGGCCTTTCCTCTCCTGAACTCTGCAAGAATTTCCCCCTTATTCTGGCAAAGATCCAAGGAAATGCATACCCTATAATTAACCACTGTAAAAGTCCTTAGTAGTTAAGACCACCACGGGAAAATCTCTGAGAGAGCAAGGAGATCTGGACCTTCAGGCATAGAAACAAACAAGCAAATGATCTGCATTTAGCATTCCCCTGGAGTCTGAAACACCCAGTGAGATACAGCTATCGGTGGGGATTACGTGAGTACTACATATAAAAAATTTTAAAAAAATCCCAATGCGGTGATTAATCTCAGAGTTTGCTGTTTAAGAGTTTACATTGTCTGACATAATGCAGCTTTAACCTTACAGTGCTGACAGGCCTTAAAATGCTCACCTGCTCTTCATCCAGAAGCACGAGGCCAACGATCACAATGTTGATGTTTCCTCCTATTGTACCGTCTTTGAAGAGGCTGGAGACCTAAAGGACAGAGAGGCCAAAGTCTTGTCAAAATCACCATATCAGAGTCTGCAGCTTGTTACCTGAATAAGATTTGTTTTAAAATAAATTTTGACAAGAGTTAAAGGAGAGGTTCAAGTCTGACATTAATGATTCTGATAGGTCAGTGTTCCATCATAATAATACACATCAGATCTGCTACATTATTAAGATTTATTTGCAGGCTAAATCATGAGAAAATTTAACATATTTTGATACTTTCCTTCACTGGCAAAACTTAAAGTCTGAACAAAATATGTGATACACTTACTGTACCAATAAATAAATAAGAATAAAGATCAATCCTAATCAAAACGTTAGAGCAAGTTGCTTTGTCATGATAACCACTTTATTTTAAGCAAAGATCATTTCTTATCACCAGTACCAAGATGACTTCATCAATAAAATAGACATTTTTGTAAGAGGATTAGCATCTTAGCATACCATGCTAAACTAAACAAAACATATCAATGTTTCTTGTTCTGACTCACATAACACCGGACTGTCTATCAAACAGGAGTCAGTTGGAGGTAGACGTTTGGTTTAAGTGCAAAAGTGCGTTTCAAGGCCACTAATATGCTAGTTCATCTGAATATGAGGACCTTTGATGTCATAAACACCTTAAAACTTCATCCAGTAGCCTTGGTTTTGATTTATTTTAACCTATTAACTCATCCTGTTCTTATTAAGGAACTTATTTCTTATAAAAGAACTTATTTCTGAACAAACATTTTAGCTGGGGAACATAAGTTACCTTTGTTATTTCAGCCGTTATTTTCATCCTAAAGCCAACACAAGCAGTCAAGTCCTCCTTGTCCCTCCTCTCACTTTCTTCAGCCATCTTTATAATCTCATTGAGGGGGAATAACTAGGCTCTTCATTGCACAGACAACCTGATAAAACTTTAAATTAAGACCTACCTTTATTTGTAAAATGTGCAGCCACACCCTGCAGCTAAAAGAGACCCACCTATGATAAGCTTTTATTGGAAGTTTCAAGGTATATTAAAATATGAAAATCATTAGATGACTATCAACATTTTCAGTGAGAGCTCAAGCTTAGATTACCAAGACAAATACTGCCCAACCTTCTTCACATAGAATGAAGAGATCTGTGTCAAACCTATAAGTGAACACACCTTAACATTCCTGTAGAAATAACACCTTAAACCTCTTTTGATGGTATCAGTGATGTTTGACAGCCACAACTGCTGTTTCCAATTCAGCTTCTCGTACTCACACAGATATCTGACCATCAATCATAACAGTTTTGGCTTTGAAAGTGGACGCCCGATCTTATTGCTCTTGCTCGCCCTGTCTTTCTCAAGGGTCCTATGAATACCTCAGGTGCCACTCACTAAGCCTTTTTTTTTCTATCTTCAGGAACAGCCTCATTCATTCCTTATGTTCCTGATGGTTTTGTCTTCCTTTGCACTGAGTCATGAGAAGACACACGGCCAAGGTTTGTTACCGGGTTGGAGCAAAATTTGGAGGTCAAAGAGGCAATCAAAACCACTTAGTTAAGCTAAGATCTCCTGGAAACGAGCGTTTGATGAATTTTCAGATATACTCAACAGAACAGATTGTTTTAATTGTCTCATAAAAGAAACATGCACCAGTTACCATAGAGTTTAAGTGTTTAGTGTTACAAAATGTGGAGTGTTTTTGCTACATTAGTGATTACAAAACATTTTCTGCTGCAAAGAGAAGATAAATCTGAGCAAATGCTGCTCCAAGCAAATATTAAGTAACCTCTTTAGCCCTCATGAGAGTTGTTGGCGTTGGGGGAAGAGACTTGGGTGTTTTCTGTGAAACTCCATACTGTATTTAGGTGACTCCTCTGAGGCAGGCTGTGACCGCACCAGCTTGGTTTCTACTAAAAGGAACTGTGTTTTCAAAATAGACGGATTATCTTTGGATTTGTCAGTCAGTCATTAAGTAGCAAAACGAGAGTGACGGAATTTTCTCGCAGATCAGCTGAGAAGGGTGAGGAGATTGTGATCTCACTCAGATATCAGTTTCTTGTGTTTGAATAAGCTCTTTCTCACCAAACTTGAAACTGTGGTCAACTTCTATGTATAGCTTTTAAATAATTTTGAACTGTGTTGTAGCTTTTATATGCTGTATAATGAAGAAACATATTAGAACAACTGGACTGTACAGCTTAAGTTTGGCATCACATGTAAATTTTTATCACAAAGCAAAGTAAAAGGAAAGTTAAATATTTATAAGGGTAACATTAACACTTTAAAGGACCAGGCTGCTAGCTTGTTCAGAGCGTACGGGCTAGCATACAGTATGTAGCCACATCACACCTTTAATAAAACCCATACCTTTCTTTTATTTTCTTTCCTCGTTGCCTCTGCTCCTACTGTGTCTGACACACAATGTTCACATAGGATTTCTCACCATGTTGAGCACAGTCAGAACATATGTGGTAATGTTCTCATGGCCGTGGTTGTCCATCATCTTCTTGTCCACCACCACCAGCATCTCCACGTTGAGCCTCTGGTTCACCTGGTTCTTCATCAGCACGGCCCGTTTGTTTCTGGGGACGAACTTGTACTCATCTGGAAGAATGAAGACGTCTCCTTCTGGAGGTTTAGGCATGTCTGGAAAAATCAAGGATAAGAAAATTTCATAGCTTTTTGACTGTTTCAGGCAGAAAAGACAAAACTTGAGAAAAAACTAAACAGACATTTATGAATTACACTGTGGCTTGAGGGTCAGAATGATTTAGGACAAACTCCTATACAGTAAGTTGTGAGCTGTAAGTGATAAATGACAGAAAAAACAATTGTGCGTTTAATAGCAATTTAATAGTAGTTATGGCGCCTATTACAAATATACAACACTTCCCTCTCACTGATGATTATTTGTTGCGCAATATTTATCTATAAGTGAAGGTAGGGCCAAGAGCTTTGCCTGCTGGCGTTAGCGGACAAATCTGAAAAGAAGCAGACAACCATTTAAGATGATTAACTACGCTCCTACCTTCATGACCTGATGTCATCAATGTGCTGCAAACAGAGCCTTTTTCTGCTGTTGAATCTGGCAGTAGCGTGTGTTATGTTTCCATTTAGTATAGTGTGAAAACACAGAACACAGTATGGCTGTAAATTAGAAGCAGCTACAGCGAGTGAAATGTTCTCTACTTGTAACAGTTCTGTGAAATTTACCACGCTAAAAAAAAAAAGTCATGTTTGACAATTGATACATCTTTCTTGACCAAATCATGAGGTCTCTTATCTTTGTTTTTACACATAAACTGTTTAAAAAGGGGATTTTAGATGGTGACCGTAAGTATGTCAGTGTGTCAGTTATTCTTTTCCCCGTGCAAAGCTTGAATTGAAGAAAAATGTACACTGGGATGTTTTCAAAACACAATCTTATGTGAAAACTTATCACCACTTCATGCAAACATGTGTCTTAATCTCAACATCACTGCACAGCTCTGCCCTGTTTTTAACTCTCCTTTGAAGCTACCTCGCCTTTGGGGAAAACATCACACAGCCATGTCCACTTCTACTCGCTGACGTTAGGTCAACAGTACAAACAAGTCAAAGCAGAGCACAGCTTGAGAGTATTTCAGCCAAATGTGACCGCTTCATCTCAAATCTCCTTTTTTTGTTATCTTTGGTCATCAAAACTTTCACCCATCACTGCCTGGCTTAGTCAAACTATAAAGGCTGGAACGTTTGCTTATGTAGGCAGATAGCAGGTGAGCCACCAGTGTGCCTTTCTGTCTAAAACACAGCACAGGTGTTCAGTGATGTCATCCTGTGGGAATGTAAACATGGGTGTGTTTTCAAAGGGGACAGATGGCTGTGGTTCTGGAGGGTAATAATGATGGTGATGGTACTGGTCCAATCCCTGCCCGCTTTCTCACAAGTAAGACCCCTGTGACCCCAACCAAGATAATCAGTCTTGAGAAAATGTCTTCAAAGCAAACATTTGTCACAGTGTGAAGTGGATATGTGATATTTTCTTTAACCATTCACAGATTATGTCACTACTATCACTTAAACATCAACAATGAATTAGGATAACACTCTTCTTAGGGATTTTTTTTAGATTTCCTTTGACAGAAAGTTTGTCAAACATGTCAATGGGACTGAGAATTTAGCGAAAGATAAAAAAATGCATGTGGAGACTTAAGATTTACCATCTTTTTAAATCAGGCTAGACATTTAAGTAAGACATGACCGCAACACTGGGAGGTTGAATGCCAACAGAGTTCATACATGGAGAAAGTCAATAAAAGAATCTGTTATTCTTTGTCGGTCCTTTTCCCATGACACTGTAAGTGGAATAATAATACTTAGAAATGTGGCTTTACTTCTTTGGGCTCAAACAGGAAATTTAGTTATATCTGGAGAATTAGGAAAGGTGTGTAAGGTGACAAATGTGGGTAATGTGTAATGCCATACTGTGATTGTATTTGAACACTCTCATTTCAGTGTCAAATATCAAATATTGTTTTTATTCCAGGGGTTGTTAAGGGCACTATGACGATGAGTTATTTTGTAGAACAGAGTATATTACATAATCTAATTTTACAGTTTAAAGTGAAAAAGATATCCTCTCAGTGAGTAGACATAATTGATCTCACAATTATGACTGAAGATTTCACAGGTTGTCAAACTATTATTATGATGAAAACACGAACTCTCTGTGTTAAATTACTCTTTACATTGGACGCAGTGTTAATGTTTCATAGAAAGGGCAGAGATGTGAAAGTGCAGTTTGCATTCATGCTGCTTGCTACATGAAGATTAAAATGAGAAATTGCCCTTACATACATTTCTTCCTTCTCCCACAGAAGTGTTGCCTCTGCCTCTCTCCGTGCCTGTAGTCATTGTCATGGCGATGGCTGTTGCTCTGATGTTCCGCCTGGTTCCTGTGGTCATAACCGTTGCCATGGTGCTGCTTTTGCTGCTCTTCATTAACTGTGTTGTAGTTGGTCTCTGTTTTGGAGTTTGTAGATCTCTTGGAGATGGAGTGCCGGTGTGATTTGTGATGAGCTGAATCTGTGTGTCTCCTCTGAAAACCTTGTGATTCATGACCCCCAGGGGACCCTCTGTCGCTCTTATAGAGGATATGTGGCTGGTGAGTGGAGGGTGCTGTGAAGTTCTCAATCTCAGCAAGGCTGCGGGGCACGGGTCTGAGGAAGTAGTCTGCGTCCTGCGTTCTGATCAAACCTGACTGAAGGCAAAACAGAGAGGACCATTAGCTTTGTAGAATTATCTCTTTAACCTATCTAACCTCGGTATTAGATTGCATTAGAGGGACTTAAAACAAACACATGTACATTTACCTGTCCTGCCTTTATTGCAGTACTTACAGATTCTGCCCAATAAAAACACAACCCAAAGGGCTGCAGTCGTATATTACAAACGGACAAACATTAACCTCATTTTGCTGTTCAGTTAGCTTCCCAATCTGTCTCTGTCAGCAATAACTCAAACTTGAGTCATGGGTCAATACGTACGTGACCTCCCTGGACCTCTACGTGGCTCAATTACTGGTCTTGTTACTTCATGTTCAACATCTGTTTAGCTGGTCAGGGTCAGATGCTATCTCAGGGAAATCTAAATAAGACCCAGTCAGATAGGAAGAGTTCAAACGAAAGGAAAATATCTGGGATGAGGATAAATAAGGCCCTTTCCTCATCCAAATTGATAGACATCTAGCAAAAAAATAGTTGTGCAAAAGCTTTACAAACGCATTCTTCGGGTTAGGGCTGTCACAGTATACTGTCCTTGAAAAATTGAATATTGACATGGGGCTAAAAATGAGCATATGGAAACCCTGTGTTGCTTATTGGTTTAAAATTAGGGACGGTAAGGTTTCTTTATTCTGGTTGCCACATGCCGTAAGACAAAGCTGATGCAGCAGCTAGCAGGCTGTAATAGCTCCCTAAAAGATAAGTCAAAGTTGAAATATGATTTTACTTCCAAACAAATTATTTTGACTGTTTTCATTCACTTTTTCAAATTGATGTCTTCAAAGTGTTGTGTACTTCATTTCAAAATAAAAGCATGAAATAACAAAACAGAAAATAAAGTGATTTAAATGCAAGACAGTGGAAATGTCAAACAAATAAGTAAACAATAAATTATCCCTTAATAAATTAATTTCCTCTCTGAGGAAGTTTCTGTCAGGGGGGCCTGTGACAGGGAAAAAAAAATCTTTTAACATGACTAGAAACTCCTGATGACATAGTAACATGTGTGGGTAAATTATGTTTAACCTATGGTAACGTGTCAGTAGATGGGATGGGGAACCACTTAAAGCATCAGAACCTTATGTTTTTAAATTCTAGGGCATAAAGAAAAAGAAAATCTATTAAAAATATCCAGTTTTCTTCTAGTGACCCTTTTTCCTTTCCCCCAGTCTTTTAAGGACAGAGACAGAGACATTTTCAGCCTGTAAGAAAAATTATCCACATAGCCCCCTCTGAAACTTTCTCTTGCTCTCTTTGTCCTGCTGAATCTCCTTCAAAACACACACCACATCTGTGTTGACAGTCAACTGGCAAGAAGTGTTTGGACTACTCTTGGCAGGAGTAATGGTTTCTTTAAAATCCATTTTTCTTCTCACTTAATGTTGATTGTGAGATCTTCCCGACTGCATTCAGTCTGCTTGCTGACAGAAACAGCTGGATGCAGTGGCAGAAGGGGAAGCTGTGACAGACCCAAGTGTACCCTGTGAGTGTGGTAGCTTAGAAAAAGGAACTTATACTGAACATGACAGAGTAAATCTAACTGTTTCAGTGTGTCAGATTTTGTGCATTCAACTGGTAATGTCTTTTTCCCTAATTGCTCAATCTTGCCTCTATAAGTATTTGATCTATGATCCTCACTACTGATTTTCCCCATGTCATCATTATTACAAACAAAAGCCTCCAACTCCGCCAGCCTGTCAGCCTCTTCAGGAAACCAGTGAAACAAATTTCTTGGAAAGTGTTGTAACTGTAAGAAGCTCTGTGGTGGAGAGCGAAGTCATCTAGGAATACAGGCCAACACAGATGTGAAGCTGGGACCACAGCGACTGCACAGTTCACAATGTGTATTGTTGTAAAATAGAAAACTATTATGCATTTCCTATTATTTTTTCAAGAGAATCCAAATTGGCTTTTATTTTGTAAGAATTTTCAAACTAAAACTCTTTCTTATCTCACATCAAAAAGGTAAAAAAAAAATGCAAAAAGCGTAAATGCATCTGTAGTGATGTCTGAAGTCATACGAATGTAAAAGCTTCCATTTGGGAACTCTTCAAATCCTACTGTTAACTTTTATGCCCTCCCCATGGCGGCGTGGAGCAGTTGCTGTTTACAGGTGTCTCTGCGTCAGATAATGATCATTTCCAGGTGTACAGTAACTAGTATTTGACAGACAAAAGATAACCACAAACATTGTCATGGCAACATATTCAGTCCTCTTTATGGCCGGAAACACACTTTTTGGCTTAGTACTTATCGAGATGATTACAATCTTTTAGACACCTTTAAAAAAAGACGCAGAAACAAAACACTTGCTTGTTAAAATGATGCGCTTTAGTCTCAGACAGAGTGCATGTTTTGCCGCATCCAAAAATTGCTGAGAGCGTCATTTCTTGAATCTGTGAAAAATCCAGGAAAATGTCAAGCCTGGCTTTACTCACTGTTCACAGCACTGTCTGTGAAAACACTGACATTTAACCCCAAGAGATACTTAAGATTTTAGAGGTGAGGGTGTCAATTATGAAAGCAAAAAGTTGGAACAAAAGGGGGTCCTGCTTGTGCATCTCTACCTGCTTTCCTTCCAGCAGACAAACAATAAACCTTACTGAGAACTGCAGAAACTTTGATTACAACCATGTGAAAGCCAGTCCATGATCCTGTCATCCACCTGGCACCTGCCCCTGCACTTGGTAATCACAGGTGATTGTCAGAATTTGGTTCCAGGTCACATTGAAGCCTCTGACCTGGACTGTACTGCTGTAAAATGGGGGGTTATTCACCACTGGGGGATTCATGTGGAGATACAGCAGGATGCATTGCTGTGGTTAACAAATAGATTTGTGCTGATTTGGTTTCTACTACACTGGGGACTTGAGAATTTTGGAGGAAAGGTAAAAAGGTAAAGTTCCCATTTTCCTGCTGTTTATATCACAGAGGATCTTTTTCATCAGCTTGTTCCAATAGCAGAAAAAGTAGATGGGAGAGATAAAGTTTGGAGGAAATCTATGATGGAAAGATAGGATCATGGGACTCACACCTGCAGCCTTTAGACTGCGCTGTGAAGTCGGGACTTTCAACAGAACCTGTCAAGTCTTCATGTCTGGAGTCGACAAGATCTGCTTGACATTAGAACCGTGTTTTTACTCCATAGGTATGCACAGAGCTGTACTATCTCCAGTGAGATTATTTTCAACTGTTTACTGCCAATTTCATCCATCCCACAGGATTAAAAGCACCATCCAGAGCACTATGAAGTATGAATGTGTAATTCTGCAGAAACAGTCTTCAAAGATAGACGTTGTAGAAAAAATGCAACCAAAGACAAAACCTCTCTGACACTTGAGGTATGTTAGCTGTGTGCATGACATGTGCATCATAACTTCACTGTCTGACTATGACTTCTGTCTCTCTTTCTGCGCAGTTTGCATGAGCCACAGCTTCATGATTTCTAGTCTGTCTTTTAGCTCACAGTAAAAAAGAAAAAAAAAAAAGAAGTTAATTGGCTCTTATTGTCGGTTTCTGGAAATCCTCAGCAGACTTTGATGAGGTTCAGATCCCAGAGTCCCACAGCAAAATCAGGGATTCATTAAGAGCATTTTGTATGTGTAATTTTATCTGCGTACTGCCCACTGTCTGCATTTGATACATGGAGGTGTATTGTTAGTACTTGTTAGCACGCTTCCTCGCTTATCACTGGGCTGCGCTAAATGCCTAATTTTGATTGGTCAAAACCCAATAACAACTGTTGTGAATTTTTAAAGGATACTTTGGGCCTTCAGGTATTTATGTAGAAAATTTAAAAAAAAAAAAACAACAAAGTAGAACATTGGAAGGGAAGTAGAGAATGACATACAGCGAAGAAGAGCCATAAATACAAGCTGAACTCAGCCTGCCTGCTTTGAAGACCACAGTCTCTGTCCATGGGACATGCAATTTAACCCCAAAATCAACCTTTGGAAAGGAGCCCAGTACATTTATAATATGTCCTGTTGACAATGTAGCAAAAACATTTTGATATTCCTTGAACAAAAAAATCCTGTACTGCTGAACTGTTGACCACGGAGAAAAACAATGCAAAAAACCCTGAGGTTGAAACATTGAATGCTAGACCACAAAAGAAGCTGAAATGAGTGCAGGCGATGTTAATCAAACTGCAGCAAAAATACTCAAAGTAACCACACAATGCAAAAGGTCTGGGCTTTAGAAGTGTTATTGGCTGAGTGAGAGGGAAATGGCAACAGAAACGCTGCAGGGAAGAGGATCTTATAGAGGTGCTGCTGTTTCCAGTCCCAGGCCCGACCATTTGCTGCATGTCATCTCGTCTTTCTCCTCTATGTTTCCTGTCTCTCTGCATTCTCCTATCCATTAAAGGCTAAAATGCACAAAACATACCTTAAAAACATAAAAAGGTAAGTTCTTAGGTATCTTATCTTACCTTTAACAGCCATATATGACCGACTGTGAGTATTTTAACCTCCTAAGACCCGAACTCTTGCAAGGCATGCATTTTTATTTTCTCTTTGATATTCAGGCTAATTGGGACCTGATGAGTGTAAAAACAAAGAATGATCTTTTTACATGATGTAGTTTCTGAGAAAAATGATGTCCACAAATGAGGACATTCGTTTTAAATTTTGAGAGAAGGCCCTTGTGAACAAAATTTAATATTGTGGTCTTGACAACCAAAAATGTGATGTCCACACATGTGGACGCCAGGTCTTAGGAGGTTAAAGTGGAAAATATAAAAAAAGGGGCGGTTTCTTCAGCTGCTTGGCTGACACCTATCCTCTCACTTTGGTTTCAGTGATGTCTTATTAACTTTCGCATACAACTAAATGGTATGAATATCAGTTTTATTCTTTTACATAAATGTCAACAAAACTCCTCAGTGGAGCTTAAAGTAAACATTAATTTGTAAAACCACGACTACTTCCATCTGTTAAATCTGAGAGACTTTGATGAATATCAGTTTGTATGAACCTTTAGATAAGTAATAAGCAGGATAAGGTACAGTAACTTCCATGCTCCAATTTCACTCACATTAAGAACATAAGGAAACACATGAGCCAAAAGTAACATGTTAAGAGTAAAATGATTGATGTTTTCTGTGTCTGTTGCATTTCCCCTTCAAACGTACTGCTTCCCCACAGAAGCTTTAACTTGCTGTCAAATAAAAGTTTTTCCTGATTTTTGAATGCTTTTTTGTTAGTGATCACAAATAAATCAAAACCATTTTGTTGCTGAGCAAAGAAGGGGATGAGCTGGTATGGTTTGTATTTAGGGCTTCATCATAACAAGAAGCACAAGTCACTCTCTAAACATCCTTTTGTTTCATCTCCTGTGTGTCTGCTGTCACCCTGACTGGGCGACTGTCTCTTCTCAAAGCTCGTATTGCTTTGAATAGTTTGTCTTTATGTCTTCTGTCCTGTCTTTTAACCTGTGATGGCATGTCTTGTTGTCTTCTTAGCATGCAAATTTTCTGTCATGTGCAGAAAAGGCTTACCTCTGTAGACAAACCCTATTTACAACACTGTACAGAAAACCATATGTTAAAGCAGAATGGGTAATGATTTTTTAAACAAAGCAACATGACTTCCCCTTTCTTCTCCAGCCATCAAACACAACAGATCATCTTTTCATGTCGTCTCCAGTCTGTAAACTCTGCACAGTCTTTAAGCTTAAACTTGGCCCTACATAAAACAACAAGTATCTGTCACTTCCTCTGAGGATGTGTGCATGCAAGCCTCTAAGTTAAGAGATTAGGTCAGCTAGAGCCTTTCCTAAATAGCCAAAGTCATCAGATTACACAGTGCGCTCTACGAGGTGCAAATAGCAGTCATAAAATGCTGAAACACTACTTGGGAGGGTGCAAACAGCTGGACTCTGTGGAGTCAGACGCATCCAGACAGGCAGCGACAGGAATCGGGGGAAGGGGGGGTCGGGAAAAAACGTCAGGAAAACGGAACTGAAGGGGGGGAAGGTTTCACAGTACATTACAAGGTGCACCTGACTGTGCAGTATATAGTGCCCTCTTTTTTCTATCTACCCTCGTGAGAGGTCTTCCCAATGGTGACTGAAAAAAAAAGAAAGACATTTGCTTTTTATTTCCCACTAACTTCAAGTGAAGCACAGAAAGCCCCAGAAGTTAGTTTGGGTGTTACAAATAATAATCTGATTTACTTATCAACCATCTAATCTGTTCTTTATTGGCTCAGCAACTTAATCTCATCGTTTTCCAACACTGTGTTTTTTTTTTTTTTTTACAGTCCTAATTCTTCTCTTTTGTGTTTGTTTAATACTAACTGGTTCCCTGATGGACACGTTTCCAGCAGCTAAAGGCAGGAGTTCAAACTCTGGCTCAGTGCTGACAGGACTTATTGGAAAATTGGGAATGCAAGTCTAACATTGAACCTCGCTAGACACCCTTCCTTAATCAATTAGCTGTTTCGCTTCAAGCTGCACTTTACTCATGTGTTGGCAGGCTCTGCACTCATTACACAAACTAGAGGTCTATCGCTTTGGAAACAACACATTCCCCAAAGTCACACAGATGTATGCACATGACTCAACACCAAATCTTCTTTCTTTGAGTAATTTTTACTCATAGTTAACTTGGGGGAGTGGGAGTGGGGGTGGACTGGGTCTCCCTATATGTTTTGAAATTGATCATAGCATCTAGCCAAGACCACACAGTCTGCTGTTCAAAGCTTCACCACTTCAGTGAACCATCCGCCATTTATTCTTGGAAATCCCAGAGGTGGGACGAGTATGCAACATTCTATTATTACTACTACTACACAACCTGAGGCGAGAAACACACCCGACCTTTTACAAGAGGAAAACACATGACCTGCAAGTGATTTGTAGAGGGAGGACTTGTTGCATTTCCCTCTGGTAGGAACAAGAGGTGTGCATGCGAAGTCTGAGTAAAATTAGCTAAGACAAACAGAAAGTGATGTATGTGAAGCTCAGGTGCATTGACGTACAGTAAAGGGTAAAAATAGGCAAAGACAGGGCGTGATGTGTCCTTTAAAAATCCTTCTGTGTTTACAAAGTAAATGTAGCTCATGTAGAACTAACAGCTCCATGATGAATGAAAGATCTAATGATATCCACATGTAGTCCTAAAGGTTTAGTATTTTGTCACTTGCATTGTTATATATGTGCTGAAATGATGCTAAAGCAAAAGTGTGAAAGATGCAGTTAAGGCTAGAGCTAAAAGCCAAGGAGACCCACCAAGAGCCCTGACATCCCACCTTTTTCAGCAGGGCTAAACATTCATATGACAAGTTCAAAAATAATTGACAAAACTAGTAGATCTGTGGTCCATTATATTGTTCATAACTAATTAATTCACAATAACATACCCTACAAGAAGTCAAACTCCTTTAAAATGCAATCAGTGCTTTTGTCTCCAACCTTGTCTCTTGGATACAGCAGTGTTCATCCTTTTTCTACTAAACACTCCAAAAAAGAAAAAACACAAATCTCTGTTGTTGTTGTTGCTGTTGTTGTTATTTCTCCTCGATTGCAGGTATCTTTATGCTCAGAAGGGCAGCTAATGTGTCAAGAATTTACAAAACAAGTTTTGTGAGCAGCAAAAGATTACCATGAAGCCACAGACTCTACTGAGCATGGACATGGTGCCAGTAAGGTCACCCATCGGCCTCTAAAGCAGAGTTGTGAAGCCTATCGTTTGTGGGCGCCATCGTCAAAGTGCTGATTTGATCCAAGCTGAGTTGGGGTAGAGTGCCCACCTATTGGCCAAGTCATCTCCTAAACACTTGTAACCTTGATATCTTTAAAACCATTGAATCATTATGGGTAATAGCTACATGGACCAAAGTTGTTTATGTATCAGGCTACAAATGTGTTTATTCTTTTGTTGTAATTTGGCCTCTGAGTCCTTTGCATCCAGCCCAAAGTGGACACTACAGCGCTACAAATCACTGCCACATCAGCTACATTTCTCAAGCCCAGAGGTTGCCTCCCATATAAGGAGCCCCTTTCGCTACATTAGGGACATGACTGTTGATTGTTTGTAATTGCTGTTACCTTTTTAATCAACTTTTAACACGGAACTTAATTTATTGAAACCTAAAACTTCTTTTGAATTCAGTTTTGTTTAGTGTTGTCATTCTAACATTACCTGACTTCACTGCAGGAACACAGCACTGTAACAGCAGACAGTATATACGCTGAAGTGGGAAGTATGGTATGTGTCAGTCTCAATTGACTTGGCTTTAACAGACAGCTCTTGTAAGCCAGTATGGTACTGTGGGAGGCTGATCTCTGTAAAGATCTCCAAAAATTTACACTGGGGTTGTTTTGCCTGAAAAAAATGGGGGATTTACTTGGTAAAATGGACCTTTGTAGATTTGTAGGAAGGAAATAATGCGTTTGGATTAAATTTTTGACTGTCTGGATTGCGGGGACCCTCTCCTTTTCAGTGTCTGTAAGACTTTCCATAGGTTTAACGTGAATGTTAACCTCCATCAGTTTTGAGTGGAATTAAAGGGTTAACTGTTACTGAGTTCATTCATCTTTTTCTGAGTGATTGACTGTCAAAATTTTGCCCACCCCCACTGAATCACTTTTGTAACTGCCCCTCCTCTTTCCAAGGGTGTAACATTTACAGTTTAGTCTCTATGACTCATTAATGTGTTTATAACAACTTTACAGGGGTACTTTTTGAAATAATCCATTCATTTTTATTCATTAAGGCAAGGAGTTGTGGGTAATTATAGATTTAACTTGTTTGACTGACAGATGGAAGCATAAACTATGGCCTCACTCCATCTCTTTGCCAATTCTAGCTGAGTCAAAAGTTAGAAACATGTGATTTCTGTACAGTACTTCATGCCAAACTATCCTGCACATGGTGAAATACAGCATTAATGTCAGCGCCAGGATGGTGGTCCGATGGCCCAATATTGTCGTTGCTTAAGCTTGGCTAAAAATCAGCAAGATGTCCTATATGGGGGAAATAAAAGGCTTCATGTTGCCAGAGTCCAATGCCTGAATGGCACCCTCTTCACCCCTCAACTCCCTCACCCCTATAAAAGCCAGACTAAAGAGGATTATTGTTCAGCAAAACGTCGACACAGCGGAGGACCTGCTTTATGATCTCCTCTTCCACATGTGTGTCACTGCAGATTTCAAACTCTTTGGCAGGTGAACAGAGTCAGAGAGATTGGCCTGCTTCTTATATTCTTGCTTGAAAGTAGGGGAGTTTTATGGTTGAACTCTTTACTGTCATTAAAAGGGGGGTAACCACTATACGGGCTGCCAGGCGAGGGGAGTTGAAAAGGCAACTTATGCAAAAGCTTTACAACCTAACACTCCTCACAAGGGGGTTTTCAGCACTTCAAAATGCCAGGGAGGGGACAATGACCCCCATAGCCTTCATCTCTACATCTCCCCCTCTCTCATTTTTAGGGCCCGAGCCAGCTGCAGAGCAGCCGGGCGTAGGCCCTATTATTCCCCAAGTGGTTTTTCTTTGTTTCTTTCTTTCTTTTTTCTTTTTCCTCCCCTTTGAACTGGAAAATGGCCCACTTCCCACTGGCGAAAACTCATGAAATTTGGCAGGACGACCGGGCCTGGTGAAAAATTCGATATTCTGAAGTCGCCCAAACAATAAAATGCAAAATGGCTCCATAGCGCCCCCTAAGGTGGAAATTCACACTATTGACTGTCACGCCTGTACGCTTTGTCATATTGACACAAAAATTGACACACATATGTATCTCAATAAGATCTACAAAAAAGTCAGTGCGGCCGTATCTGTCAAAATTACGGTTAAAGGGTTATTTCGCATTTTTTGCCGATCCGCACACATTGGAATTTCGCTAACTCCTCCGAAGGCTTTCGTTCCACCGGCACCACATTTGCTCAGGCCAATCTACACCCCGTGGCCATTAAAAGTTATCAAAATCATGACGCTGCACCCCAAGGTTTAGGTTCTAGGGGGCGCCAAAGATAACACTAAAATCCACATATTTAAAAGTCTTATAACTTTTTATTTTTGTCCTCACTGGCCTCCAAGTTTTCTAGGATGATGCAATGTCCAGCCATCGACACATTTGTGAAGGAATTTTTACTCCCCAAAAGAGCGCCCCCCCATGGCAGGAGAAAAAAGTCCATTTTTTCTTGTCCCCTAAGGTGAAAATACACATTGTTGAGTGTCACGCCTATACGCTTTGTCAAAATGACACAAAAATTGACACACACATGTAACTCAATAAGATCTACGAAAAAGTCAATGCGCGCGTATCTGTCAAATGTACGGTTAAAGGGTTATTCCGCATTTTTTGCCGATCCGCACACATTGGAATGTGGCTAACTCCTCCTAAGGCTTTAGTTCCACCGGCACCACATTTGCTCAGGCCAATCTACACCCCATGGCCATTAAAAGTTATTCAAATCATGATGCTGCACCCCATGGTTTAGGTTCTAGGGGGCGCCAAAGATAACCCAAAAATCCACATATTTAAAAGTCTTATAACTTTTTATTTTTGTCCTCACTGGCCTCCAAGTTTTCTAGGATGATGCAATGTCCAGCCATCAACACATTTGTGAAGGAATTTTTACTCCCCAAAAGAGCGCCCCCCCATGGCAGGAGAAAAAAGTCCATTTTTTCTTGTCCCATAAGGTGAAAAAACACATTGTTGACTGTCATACCTGTACGCTTTGTCATATTGACACAAAATTTGACAATCACATGTATCTCAATAAGATCTACGAAAAAGTCAATGCGCTCGTATCTGTAAAATGTACGGTTAAAGGGCTATTTTGCATTTTTTGCTGATTCACACACATTGGAATGTGGCTAACTCCTCCTAAGGATTTCGTCCCACTGACACCAAATTTGCTCAGGCCAATCTACACCCCATGGCCATTCAAAGTTGTAAAAATCATGACGCTGCACCCCACGGTTTACGTTCTAGGGGGCGCCAAAGATGACCCAAATATCCACATTCTTAAAAGAATCCACATCCCCCCCATCCCCCATCCCCCATGGCAGGAGAAACAGTCAAGTTTTTCCTGCCCATCACTCAATGGCTCAATCGCATCACTCTCCCGGCAACACCGTAACGAGGAGCAACTTGCCGTTTGGATATATCCTAGCTGTGTTTGTGCCCTCACTCATGGTCCAGACTTTTTTCAAATAGGACATGTTGTTTGTCTGCAGCGAGTGTTTTAGTAGAAACTGCGCCTCCCATTCATTATAATGGGAAATGACCACAGACAAGTGCGCACACCATCTTTGGACCTTGAGTGTGACGCGATCGGGAGGGGGAGGCGGTCGCGCTGGGGGCGGCGCAACGCGGCTCGGGCCCGACAGTGCCCCACCGGGGTCCTAGTTTTCTTTATTACTTTGCATCCATCATTCACCCTGAGGAACAAACTGACATAGAGGCTGTGCAAGTCTCTCTTAAAGTAGGTAAAACCCTTGACATAACTTTGTAACAGCTACAAAGGCCTCAAGTTTTCACAGATAGATGCTAGCATTCATGCAACGATAGCAACTCCAGTCCCATTGGAGCTAATGTTGTTCCATCAATAAACCTCTTCTCCCTCCTTTCTGTTTAAGTCAGCATGTTTAACATGCTAACAAGCTTTTGGATTATTCTGAGAGATTTTATCTAATGTGTCTTCAAGGACAGCCTCCAGCTTTAATAATAAATTAAATACAGTTTTCTCTAATAATGACGTGGCTAAAAAAAGTGATGGAATAACCTCATCTAAGTAGTATTGTGCTGCAGCTGGAGGCCAGGTCTGCTTACTGATACAGCTATTGATCTGTTGGCCAATATTTACTCTCCCCCTGCCAAATAGAAACCTGACCAAAGTACAAGGTCTCCTGTGAGCTCTTTAGTGGCCTACTGAACTTTGTTATCAATTTTGACCAGTCGTAGACAATACAGAAGGTCTGGAGCACACAAGTATAGTATGATGATATGAGGGCATACAGCACAGAAACACAAGAGCCGAATCAGTGTTTTTAAAAGAAAGTATCTAACTATACATTAATGCTTATGATTTCCCAAGGAGACATACTGTTGTCTGTTGATGTTTCAGCTTTGTTTTCTCTCATTACCATCAGAAAGTCAGATTCTCATTGATGCACTGACCCAGTCCATCCTAGCCAGTCTCAGTCGTGAGAACCACATTTACAGTCTCAGCAACCCCGGACCTTTTGGCTGAATCTTTTATTGGGATCTGGTCTGAGATGTAGACATGCACAAAGACTGTCCCTCTCTCTTTCTCTCTCTCTCTCTCTCACACACACACACACACACTGAAGAAGCATCCCTGGAGATGTGCCATTCTCCGTTTGTGTTTTAGGGGGGAAATTCTCAGGCACAGCAGTGGTCGTGCACAATTGAACATAAACAGCAAACCAAAAATGACTAAAGGCTGAAATTTATAATAATTAAAAAGCACCAAAAAGTGAAAAACTGAAATTGGGTCATTTTGGTTTTTATGCTGTTTGTTTGGATAAAATGGTCCAAAGAGAGTATGATCATGAAAAGAAAATCCCATTTTTCTCTCTCTAACAAAGTCTTCCAGATGCAAAGTTTATATGACCACAAGTCTGAACATTCTCAGAACTCAGTTCCTCTTTTAAACTGAGACTTAAAGACTCGTATAAAAGTGCAAATGAGCAGAGTTTCTCCGTTGTTGTTTTCCATCTTTAGTGATTGGTGAGGTTGTCAATAAAATTGTGTGTGTGTGTGAGAGAGAGTTTAGATCTGAAAGGATAAATGTGCATTCATAAAGTCTTTTGTTCTGTCCAGACATCTAAGAGGCCTTATGTAAACTTGGGTTCTAACCGGGGTGAAGCTGCACGGCTTAAGCTTAGTGTCAGTCTTACAGTAGTGTTTTCTTTCTGTTTATGCAGATGAGAAGGACCACCAGGGCAAGAACTGACACTCAGCCAACAATGCTCTCAGAATGCATAACAAATTTAGCAATATCAGCCAACATTTAACAATAAATGTCTAATTTGAGGATGGTTTTGGTGAGGAGGGTGGAAAAAAACCACTAAAAATTGGCAGACAGAATACAAAGCATTGGTTCAAGCAGTTCAATCTAACCCAACCAATCGGTTCATTTCATCAAATATAGCATCATCTTAAAAATGTTGACAAGTTTTAAAGTGATATTTTTCATACTAATATAAGCATGCACATCACCTAATTAGGGAGCTGCATCACATCCATCTTGCTCAGAGACCATTTAGTAAAAACCCTTTATGTCATATTTTGCTGTTTGCACATATTAATAACTCTTTATTTGCTGTCAGATGAGAATATTATTGCTCCTGAATTGAGAACCAAATACAATCCATGCAAAGTATTCCATTAATATTCAATTAAAATTATATCCATGAGCTGTACTTCACTTGTTTGCCATGGGAGTGGGTCAAACCAGATAGAGTGAGCCAAATAAAATGATGTATTACCACCATAACACTGTTTTGGCACATATGGGTTTTGGGTATTTTCCTGGCCAATTAACCAATGATACTGGTGTGTTTCACAGACTTGACTTTTCCACTCATTACTTATTCATTAGCTGATTTAGGCAGAAGTTCATTACACCCGGGATGAGCCAAAACAAACGGTGTACCATAGACTGGAGTGAGAAACTTCTGACTCACCACCATGGGTTTTAGGCCAACTTAAGTCAAGTGTAAATCAATTTTCTAAGCAGACCAGACAGTCAATATACTGATTTAAATTATGTGTGAAAGGCAGCTTTGCAGAAGCAACCTGAAAAGACTGCTTGTGGGTGCCAAATGCCAAACAATGAAACAGATATTTCATCTTGATTTAATGGAGAAGACACAACATTTTTTCCCCTTACTCTCTAATAATTCCTTTACCTCAACCCCTCATCGGTATGTTTTTGTCAAGTATTCACTGAACACAATTATAGTACATGACATGAAAAAAAAGACACAAAGATATCTTTTTTGTACCAGATTCAGTATGACAAAAACACTGATGGTATGTTTAAATTATAAGGAGTCTCAAGTTGAGCCATTTTCCCAATTCTGGCTCCCAGGCTCAGTATTTGTTTTAGGTCATTGGGTACAATTACAGTGCTCAGTTGATGGTTTAGTCCCAATGCTGCCATCATTTAAACAAAATGAAAATATCTAGTGTACATACTTTTATATTAATGGACTCTGGCATCCTCTTGACTTACACAAACACATACCAACAAAGATGGGACTCTCCCTTTACTTTTTTCCTTCTTATCCAAACCCTTCTGCAACCCGACCCCCTGCATGCTCACACTCACCATCCCCATGCATGTGGACAGCGCCACTGAGGAGTTGACCCTTGACCTCAGCGACCCCTGGTAAAAGCACAGGTCGTCCTGGTGGTAGGGCCTCAGGCTCTTAGTACCATTCTTTCCCAGGACCTGGATGGTGAAGCCAGGTGCGACGAGGGTTTCTGAGGCCTCCTTCAGCTCCATGTGGAAGTTCTGACCCAAGCCGCTCAGCTGGAAGTAAGCCACCTCACTGCTGCTGCTGCTACTGTCTGGACTTAAAGATCTACGTCGTCTTCTTCGGTGGTGGTGGGCGACTTCATGGGAGATGTAAACACCTTGGTGGTTGACCTCGAACGGAGATACAATCTCATATTCTAAATGGAGGGTGAAGAAAGACAAGGGAAAGAAGGGAGAAAAAAACTGTGGGTGAAAAGATTATTGGGAACATTTTTACAAAATATGGCTGCTCAAGATGGGAAGCAGACACTTGAAAGGAAAATGTGCACTTTATGGGCACATTAGATAAATAGATGTGTCACTGCACCAAATGGAGACATCAAAAGAAAAGCTTTTCTGCTGTCATGGATGATTTTATAGATCAAACTTGGCAAAAAGGGAACACTGTCCTTGTGGTCATTGTCAGCCGTCCCTGCTTATTCAATCTGCCAACATCATTTACCGTGATACACAGCATGCTGAATCAGCTGTTACCTCGAATGCATCAGAGGCAGACTGAATAAAAACACATCCCTTTGCCTTCCTTTGCACGTTTTCCTTGACCTGCCTCATATACTTTTGCTGGCAGGGTCAAGAAAGAGTTACAAGAAGAGGAAGGATTTGAGACGATTCCACCACACGTCCTTCCGTGGAGAGTGAATCATGTTTGACCTGTGTGTGTGTGTGTGTGTTTTACTACAGTTCTTTTAACTACAGCTGCAGGCAGGCTGAATAACTGCAGGTCATAAAGAGAGATGGTGGTAGGTCACAGGCCTGGCCTCTTTAGATCAGTTAAATGGCTAATGGTGCTGCGGCTGCAGAAACAGCAGAGTGAGCAGCTCCTGAAGATGCACAAATATTGGTCTCCAGGAGGAAAACATGACAGAGGACACTATAGCTGTCAGTCTTTGGAGTACTAAGGAGCTGACACAATGAAGAATTGCATGAGGCCTTATGTTACGCTTAGGCTTTGGAGAACTTGCAGGTTTGGGGGTTTTAACCTTAACCAATGCAAGCATTACATGTTGAAATTGTTTCTTTTTTGTTTTGCACAACTGATACTGGAAGAAATACCCACTTTTTAAGCTCAGATCATTCACTCTGGATTCTAAGTGGCTATTAATCTAGTCTAGTTAACCCACACAAAGCCTGACAGAGTATGCATGGTACAATTTTGGAATCCAACGCCATCTCTTGATGGTATTTCTTGTAGAAACTTACTTTTCTGTGCATTTGCATTTTTTATAGTCCCCCTCACAACTGCTGATGCGACAACCAAGTCATTTCTGGGCGATAACTTCTATGATTGACTTGCAGAAATATCAGACATCTGTTTATAGAACAAAAACGCATTTTCTGACACCCAAAACTTTTCTTCTTCACCTCCTCATTGGCATAATCTCTAGATCTGTACAGATTATGCACTGTATGCTTTGGATCTATGGATAAGCTCCAAGCAAACAAATGCAGCTGTGTCATTGCTGGTTTGGTAACCATGTCATTGTCAGCTTTGCCCTCGGAGAATGATACATGGTCGCTTAATCTGCACAAAAATAACAGTAACCTTGAATTTACAGTCAACGAGAGCCAGTGTCAGTTTCTGTACAGTATGACCTGCATTAGAGGGCCTGAATAATGAGTAAATATAGCACAGAGACAGACATGTTTTGCTGGAGCAGGGAGAAACATGCAGGGCGACAGACAGTGTGTCATCACTGGCAGTGTGAATGCCTGAGGTCTGAACTTGGATATACGATGCATCTTGAGGCTGAGTAATAGCCCCTTCTCACAACATGTCATATACTTATTAGTAGATGCATTTATTTAAAGGACCATGCATTACTGCATCTGCATGTGTTTTAGCTTGAGTGATGAAGGAAGGGAGCAAACCTCAAATCCTTGAAGTGCTACAGGACCGCAAAGAGCAAACACACACCTCGGGTCTCAAGTATTTTCCATGCAGACAGAAAATGGTCTTCACTATCTTTGTTGTTTGTCCACCTAGCCCAGACACACACATGCACAACACACATGCACACACAGAGTTACACTCAGTCCAGTGTGTTTGTTCCACCTTAACTCAAAACCCAGCTGCAGTGACCCGCGTCTGACAGTGTACAAACAAAGAGTCTGCGGGAACAGAGCATGCATGCACACCCACACACACATATATCTTGTCTGATGGACTGAGACAAGATCTTGTAGTGGGCAGTTTGTTGGTTTAGTGGCTCCTGAGTGCCATTAGCACTGATAGGGGGTCTAACCAGTGGGTGCCTATAGGCTTAAACTTAACAAAAGACTGAACATGTGAACTCTGTCCACACTCAGGCTGTATGAATGTTAAACACATTAAGCCTGAGTGTTAGCTTTTCAAACTTTGGCTGTGAGATGATCTGAAACAGAGGGAAGGGTTTCCCCTCTCTTCGGCTCCACATCATCTCCACATGTGCGCAGAAAAGAGAGTCTTGATGTTTTGTTTATTTGTTTATTTGTGTGCTTTTCATGGCAACTTGGGGGAAAAAGAAAAAAGCTAAAACAAAGGGGAGTGTGCAGCCAAAGCAGTCGCTGACTCAGCACCACATGGGGTGACATCCACAAAACAGAGAACAGATGAAAGTGTCGCACTGGCTGCTTGCACTAATTAGAGTATTGACTCAGGCAAGTTTAGCGCATCTTCATTGAAGGATTTGGCGACTCCCTGGAGAGCTATAAAACTCGAACTGTATTAATATAAAAGAGCTACTTTTATTTTTCCATTCAGCAGTTTTGTCAATGCACTGTAATGATTTTTCCCAAATAAATGGCATATTTCCCAAGAGACTCGTATATCTTTGCTAATTTAGAGTTAACGGAGAAAATAAACTGCACAAAATGTTTTCAATTGTGCTCTACTGCTGCAGCATAAACTGAGGGCACTGTGTTAGGGTTTAGGTCGCTCCCTAGCGGTGAAGAGAGGAAACACAGCGCGCAGGTGAGCGCTGTTTGATGCTTTTGGGCTTCTTTGTGGCAGCAGTTGACGTCCCTTCAAATCTTTTTGCAATTTATCTTCAATTACAACTGATCACAAATCATGTACTCCAACACACATAAAAATACATTTCAGTGGCAGAAAGGTTTAGAAATCTGCAGCACGCTTTGATCAACTCTTACCTGTATGTTGCGGTAAATTGAGAGATCGCAGCAGCCCGGACTCTTCTTTTTGAGGCTCAGCACTATCAGCAACACTGTTCAAGAGCACGCCCTGTAAAGAAAACGTGCAATTGTGAATTTTATCGTGCAAAATCAATCAAACAAACAAAAAAAAAAACACCACTTCAATCATCATTTTAAAGTTAACACCTCCGAGAGCTCTGCGTGCATCAATGTAAAAAAGATGACTTACTTTGCTTGGCGTGAAAAAGCAAATAAGTAAAAAAACGAGCAACGGCCGTGTCCAGGTTCTCCACTCTGCACAATTTCGTAAGAAAGCCATCTCCGTGAATCACCTTTACGCACGAGCTGGAGCCTTAATCACCCAGTCGCCCGCAGACAGTCCAAAGCAATTTGATCACCAAGTCTAACTGCAGCAGCTCTGCAGAATAACTTGTTCTGAATGAAGCATCAATCAGTTTCAAATGCAGCTTTTTTCTCTCTCCTTGTGGTGCCACTTTGGTTTCCATTCATTTCCTTGCGCGGTTTCCCCACGCGTAAAAATGCTTGAACTCAAATCCTCTTTCCCGGCGACTCATTTTCCCTTTTTTTCCATTCAGACAGTCCGACATGTATCCAAAAGTCTCTCTCTTACTCTGCCGTGTGCTCTTCCTCTCCCCAGTGACCCCCGCGGACCATTTTGACTCCCAGTGAAATCATGTGATTGTCTTAAATAGGCTGCGTCTCATCTTGGCAAAGACAGACCTTTATGAAAGACGCACAGACTCCGAATCTGTTTCCCAATGGAGTCTATAAGAGAGCGCTGAACACGGGGCGGCTGAGGACTCTGCGAGTTTAAGCCATGAGTGTGTGTGGGGATGTTTGTGTTTTGAGGAGGGGGGGTGTGGGTTGGGGAGCGTGGTTAAGTACAGCCTGTAGCCAATCACATCTGACACCTGTGCTGAAAGATGGTGTTTGTGCTGGTCCATCTCGGTTTGCAGAGGGATGTGTGTGAGAAGAAGAATCCCAGTGTGGAAATAAAGGAAACAGGTTGGATTATCTGTTTGCTTGTAATGAAGTAATCACGTTTTCTCCTTACATGCCCTTTAAGGACAGAGTGCATTACCAAAATTTGAGTTTTTCCGCATCGTGTCACTTTAAATTGATGGGACTTGATCACAGGAACGAAAAAAATCCAGTAGTCTGGACTCAGTAACCCAAACGTGACTCAGAGATTACCCCTCGAAGCAGGTAATCAGTAATTTGTGATGGATTATTGCCTGAAATTTCACCTCTGACCCTGTTTAATCCGCTCGTCATTCCCTCCATCTCTCCCATATTCCACAGCTGCACTGATAGGCAGCGTGCCAACATTTCTGAACTCCCCACAATCATTCATGGAAGTGCTTCAGGAGTGTGGGAGCCAGAGGGATCGGGGAGCACTTGTTTCATATTCTGGAGCATTTCATCCCCCCCCCCCCCCAAAAAAAGAAAACCAGATGAGTTTTCTGCTGTGCTGCAGGAGAAAGAAATGTGTGACGGTTTATGGTGTGACCTTCTTGGCACAGAGTCAGAGTGTCAGAGTGAGAAGAATCAGAGGTGAACTATGGATGGACTATGGCAGTAAACTCTTTGTTTTACCTGTAGCCCCTGCTCCACAAATATCAGTTTGCAACATGGTTTCATTTTGTCTTAATCTAAAAGCGCTTGTGAGGATGTTTTAGCTAGTAATAAACAGACTAATATGAACACTAATGCCTCTCAGTGACATAAACAAGAGACCATAATGGATAAGCTTTGTGTTTTTTTTAATATACTCATTTTTGATCTAAGTTATTTAAGCATAAAAGATATGTGTGAGCAATCGCACCCTCAAAAAACAATATGACAACCAGGTTTGGTGGAACTGTATACCATCAAAGTTACTATCGGGAACTTTGAATTTGTGTCCATTTTGGCGCCCTCTGCAGGTGCTGATTTTGCTCTGTACATGTGTCTGAGCTGCAGTGCTCAAGTCCAGGACTGAGTCAGGTCTAAGTCCTGATTATGAGGACTGGTGACTTGACCTCAGCTTTAGTACTGATGACTCAGACATGGACTTGACTACATGCTGCTTGAAGAGGTCTGTCCTCAACTCCACTCAATCTCCCCACAATCTTCCCTCTAACTTCACAAACTCCAACTACTTCTACACATTTCAATGTTTCCACAGGAATGCTGGCTCAGTTCCAGTCTCTTAAGGACTGGGTGGACTGCATTTATGGCTCAGACAGCTTGAAGAGGCCTTTCTCCTCAACACCCTTTAAACTCCCCACAGTCTCGCCTTGTAAATAAAATTTACATATAAATCACTCTCCACTTAACAGACTTGAAACTACTCTTCTGCTGGTAATGGAATTGTTGTGATGGGCTATAGAGCTGCCGCTCAGTCCACACCTCTGTTGCTGCTGGATCTATCAGCCTTAAACACAGTGAACCACCAAATCCTCTTCTCAACACTCTCTGGGCTCAGTATTCGGTATCTGCCTTCCAGTGGTTTATGTTCACAAGGAGATGTTTTAGGGTATTATGAAGAAGTGTTCAAACCAAATAAACCATCTGCCGGGGTGACTTAAGCTGAAAACATAGAAGATCCATAATGAGCACCTTCCATCAGCGTCACGTATTTGCTCCGTAGAGCAGCGCTGGGTATCACACACAGGATGCGTATTTGGAGTGTGGCAGCAGCGTAGTGCAGCCCCGGTCAGCTGGGCTCAGTATAGAGGAAACAACATGCTCACAACAGGTTGTTTTGCCTTTCTGTGGTCTATTTCCTGCTAATTTGGATGTAATTCAGTGACTGTCGAGCCTCTACTATCCGTGAAAATACAGTTTCGGTTTTTGCAGGTTTACTCGTGTTTAATAAAGTAAATTATGTTCCTTTATTCTATGCTGTTGCCATCAGACAGAGTTAGCGGTAAAAAGTCCTGTTGGGGTCCACATGGATCAGGGATTGACCATCAGATTGTTCTGTGTTACGGATAATACCATAACCAGGAAGTATTTCTCATCTACAGGAACTGATACACAGTTGTGGGTCTGCATATGGTGTTTTATTTTGAAATATTGGATGAAGTGCGGTTTTTGTGCTTGACATCCTGTCAAGAACGATATTCTCTGTGTGGAGTGATGCGTATTGGAGCAGCAAAAATAGACTTGGTGCATATCTTTAGCAGTGCCACGCTCGATATGCGTCTGATACTGAGTTGCGATGGAGCTGATACACGTCCTGTATGCTGCGCTGCATTGATTAGAACGGCAACCTATTTGCTGCATGATACGCGACTCTTACGTTACGCGCTCAATACGTTTCCTGTTTGTTTTAGCCTCTAGGGTTTAGCACGGGTACCCTTCTTTTTTCACTGTTCACCACCTCACCTGGTGCAATAATCTGCGTCCATGGTTTCTCATATCACTGCTTTGCCGACAACACTCAGCTCTTCTTTTCAGTACCACAAGATGACACAGCTGTCTCAGCCTGGATCTCTTCATGCCTTTCTGATATTTGAGATTGGAAAAAGGAACATCACCTTCAGTTTAACCTGTCGAAGACCAAGCTTCTTTTATTTCAGCCAATCCCACAAAAACAACCACAGATCAAGATCCATGTTAATCAAACCAAACAGTCTACTTGAAACTTGGGTGCCAGACTGGATGACCTGCTTCAAGGTTCATGCACACTTGATTACATGGTCACGCTCATTTGCCCTGTAGCATCAGACAGATCAGACCCTACCAAACAGACCATGCCTCACAACTCCTGGTACAAGCTTTGACTACTGCAACTCCCTACTGGCAGACCTCTCCACACGCAGACTGAAACCTCAGTCGATAATCTAGAATGCAGTAGCTCCGCTGGTCTTCAACCAACCTTAAACAATGTCACTCCACTATGTATATTCTTTGATTGGCTGCCAGTTACAGCTTGGATCAAATTCAAATTCTACTATTCGTTTAGCAAAAGCAACTCCTAGCTGCCTAATTGCATAGACGCATGCTTTTGCCCACTACACTCTGCCACCAAACAGTGTCTGGTGCTCCCTCCCATAGACTGTATGTACTATGGACAACTTGATTCTGCCTTCCACCATTAATTGGATTTGAAGCCAAAAAGCTCTCGGTATTTCCACGTTTTTCCTCCATTTCCTGTAACCAACATTGCGCAGTAGTTTTGTTCGCACTTCAAAACTTGCGCAGTGGCAATGTACGCTTTCAGTAGGACTTGAGCACAAACCAGTCTTGCAGTATCTACATGTCAACATCATAGCCAGGAGGTAGAAAAATGTATGTTCTGTGTAATACATTTCTAAACTTTGTCCACAGCTCCATAGGGATTGCAGGAGGAGGCGGGATTTATGACCTATACTGCAGCCCGTCACCAGAGGGTGCTGTTCTCGGGGTGGCTTCACCCAGCGAGGAGGCAGATGGCATCCATTCTATATACAGTCTATGCTCTCTTCATGGCAGGGCCCAAGGTCATTGGACACACTTCTTTTTAGCCCCCTGGTGGTGACATGATGATATTTATGATGACTTTCAGGTTGAAAAGCAATTCATCTGGAAGAAAAATCTTTATACAGACTCACTTGGTTCTATAGGTCATACAAAATCGTCAGTATTCATTTAGTCTATTTCATGATAAGTTGAAAACTTCTAACAGCAGCTTTTTAAGGACAGCGGGATACTTTGTTGTTCAGGAAAACTTTGTATAAACATGTTTATTTGCCATTTAACAAACTATTAACAGCATTCCTCATGGGTTTTAGAGTCCTGACATCTTATTCTGGTTAAATATAAGCAAAAAGTTCATTCAGGTTGTTTTTCAGGCATGCAGAAAATCAGTACAAAGGTATTTAGATAGAAAACTGAAAAGAAAAAACAGTATCACCTTTCAGCATTCAGTTTCAGGAGTGATGAGAGAAGAGCTCTATGATAAATTACAGTGAGCGATGGATGCCAGAGGAACAGAAACCAAATCTAAAAGTGGGACAGGACCTCAGCTGGAAGTGACAGTTTCCCCTGAGGGTTTTTGTAAGGTGTTTGATCCGTCCTCCAAACTCTCTGTGTCATGTTCAATCAGTGATAGTGTCATCAGTGAAGCTGTGTTTGTATGGAACAAATGAGACTTCAGAATCAGAACCAAATGATAAAATTCCTGTGAATGCAGGAAAAACTGAGAGAAAGTCGATGTAAGAACATTGTCATCCTGAGAGTAATATGCTTTAAGCCTTTAAAACTGATACATATACAAAACGTACTTCCAGATTTCTGCCGAAGTTTGCCAATTCTGGATTTAATCAGTGA